GGGGGGGGGGGGAAGACAAAAAAAGATACGGCGGCGTGGCATTTCAAGAAGCTGGTTGGCAGGACGAGCTTCCGCGTTTGAAGTTGTTGAGAGAGGGCGGAGGAGAGAGAGTATAGCCTGACGCATAGTTGTCTACGTCCCCTGAACAGGCTGCAAGATTGATGGGAAAAAAAAAGTTCAAAATGTCAAGAGCGGAAACGGGGAAAGGGGGGGAGTGAAGGAATGTATACAGTTGGATTTCTTATAGTACTTTAATCAATCAAGACATTGATCCCGCGCAAATATCAAAACCACTACTTAAGCTGCTGCAACGCTGTCTTGCCACCACGATCGCAACGTGCGTGCAGCGGATCACACACATATACGCACACACGCGCGCGCACACATACACACCCACGCACACACGCAAAATTCCCACACAACCCCTCTCTGAAAACTCATCCTTGCCATGGCGCACAAACAGATATACTGCAGGTCGCTCACTGCTCTTCCTTTCCAGTGTAGCATAAGCTCTTCGGAAAACGCTTTGATGAGACGCCATTCTCACTCATTCGTCGCCGAGGCAACACGGTGCAGAACGAGGCGAGCGACGTTGCCCAGTCGTAGTCGCTGTTGGGTCGGCATGTCCGAGCTAACATATTCCCATACTTGCTGGCGGGGCCGTCCATCTCAGGCTCCACACGGGCGAGCTACGGCGATCTTTCTCAACGAGATATGTCCGCCGAGAGGCGCGTGTCATGGAACCCCAAGAAAGTCGGGCAATTCAACGCATCGCTTGTCAGAAATAGTTGTTTTTTTATCGGTTTCTTTCTTTTGCATCCCGTCCCGTTGTATGACTCAATCAATCATAGGCGCCAGTACCTCCGATCTGACTTGCGAACGCCGTCGAGATGGAGCGCGCATCATCGTCGTCAAGGCCAACCGTAGGTCTGCCTAGGCCCCTTGCGAAGCCGCTTGTGCGTTCGACGCCCTGCCCATTGCTCTCGACGTAGCGTTTCAGGCGATCAGACTGGCTCAAACTCGTTGGCTTCGCATCGTTGATAGTCAAGCCGGCAAGAGAAACGCCACCCTCCTTGCCACCCGCAACGCTGCCTCCATTCATGTCGGTAAACTCGCTTGCTGCTTCGCTCTCGCCTGCGACGCTGGGTGCTGCGCCTCCGCTTTTGCCTTTACCGCCCGGGTGCCGGGGAAGCGAAGGCCATGCTTGATCGAAATTTTGGAACATGGGAGGGTAATTCGGGTTGCTAGCTCCGCCAAGTGGAAGGCCTACGCCGCCAATGGCAGACGAGTGGACGGAGGAAACGTCGTCGGGAATGTATCCCACGATGGATCCGGTATCCGTGTACTCCGATCGTGGACCGCGTACGGGCATGGAACTACCTGGACCTCCCCGTGCACCAGAAAGGGCACTGTTCGACTGCTGGTACGCCATCTGGTAGCGCTGTGGTCCCCGGTAGGTAGTCTTTGGACGGGAGAACTGCAAGAGGGAGACCTGCAAATTGGACAAGGGCCCTTCGACGAGACAGTTACGTTCTTTGAAGTGCAAGAGCAACCAATGCCATAGCGGATGCTTAGAAAGGACTTTCGGGTTGCCCAGGATGACAAGACCATACTTGGCACGAGTGAGTGCGACGTTGAGACGCCTCGGGTCGGACAAGAAGCCAATGCCCTGGTGGTCATTTGAACGAACGCAAGAGAGCACGATGAAATCCTTCTCTCTGCCCTGGAACGCATCTACGGACGCCACTTCAATCTCCTTGTAGTTGTCCTTCTTGAAAGTGCCTTGCGTTTGCATGGTGCTGACTATGTAGCTGCGTTGACCCTCATACGGGGTGATTACGCCAATAGAGTCCGGACGCACGCCAGCCTTGAAGAAGCGTGTGACAATCTTCTCGACGTTGGATGCCTCGGTGCGGTTGAGGTACGAAGTTCCCGAGGCGGATATCTCCTCATTGCCCAGATTCGACCAGAACATCATGGGGTTGTCAACGACAGGCCATGGGAAATCGATCTCGCGCTTCAGGCGCTGCTGTACAGTGACGCCATTTTGGAGGGAGCCGTCGTAGAACATGTTGGAAGGAAACTCGGAGAGGCACGGGTGCATGCGGTACTGGACCTGCAGACGAATGGGAGAACAGCCTAGGATGACGAGACGCTCGAAGAGGGACTGGTTAAGACCGGCTTTGGCGGCCTTCTTGTTCATGATGACGGGCCCAAGCTGCTGGTGGTCACCGACGAGGACAACCTGTTTGCAGCCAAGCACAAGCGGGATCATGCACTCCGGCTCAGCGGACTGTGTGCTCTCATCGATGAGCACGGTGCGGAACTTGAACTTGGCGAGTCGCGGATCTCCCGCACCGACGCAAGTGCAGCAGATGACGTCGGCATTAGACAGAATCTCGCGCTCTGCAGCGCGGGTGAGCTGCTTGAACTTCTTTTCGTCCTGGGAGGAGAGCTCGCCGAGTTCGTCTTTGAGCTGGTTCAGCTTGCGAAGTTCGACGTTTGTGTCGTTCATGCGGACCTGCTCGTGCAGAGACAAGAAGCCGACAGGAGATTCGACGTCTTCGCGAGACTTGGCTGTGACGCGGACGACTTTGAGGCCAGTGCGGTGGACGCGTTCACAAAGCTGGTCAACAGCGACGTTGGACGGTGCGCAGACAAGAACCTGGCCGCCGTTGATTTTGGACAGGTGGTAAATGATCGTTGCGGATGTGACTGTCTTGCCCGTGCCCGGCGGGCCCTGAATCAAACTGAGGGGCTTCTGAAGTACGGTCTTGACGGCGTTGATCTGACTGCTGTTAAGCTCGGGAAGTCCCGGCACGCTAAACTTGCGCGGGAGCTGCGTTTTCATGGGAGCGGCAGCAACGTCATGGCCAAGCAGCCGGTGGAAGATGTAGCCCGAAACGCTCATCTCATCGATGGCAAAGGTTTTCATGGCGTGCTGCATGCGGTCGAACGAGGTGGCTTTCCACACGTACTCAGCGGTGAAGTTATGGGTACATTCGGTGGGCACAGATTTGTGGTCGCCCTTTGTGCGTAACTCAAGTGTGACCTCGTCGGACTGATTGTTGGGGACTTTGATAACATAGCCCACTCCTTCCCAATGAGGCCGGAGTTCACCGGTGTACTTCAAGCGCATTTCGTCTCCGACTGCAAGTTTTACGTCCCCAAGCTCGAGCTTGGGCAGCACGAAACTGGCCAGGTGCTTGTTGTTCAGCGCGAAATCCCAACGCACGGTCAAACTGTCTTGAGACTGCGACTCCTTCAACTTGCGATCGTAGTCGGCCTCAATCTTGACCAGCGGCCCAAACACGTTCTGGTACTGATAGGCGTCGTCATAGCGTAGCAGGACCGGCGCGGGCTCGTCGTCCGCGCCTGCTCCCTTTTCCAGATCCTGAATTGTTGCCGCTGCATTCTCTTTCCATAGTTCTTCCAACTTGACGATGAGCTGCGGGCTCAAATGTCGTGCGCGTAACTGCTCCTGGTCACTCGGCTGCGCGACGAGCCAGGACAGAAAAGAGCGATCCTCGATCAGCGGCTGCCAACGCGAGGTGTCCCAGGTCATGTCCTTGGAGGAGGGCATCGCGGCGCAGGGCTGGCGACAAAGGAGGACGACGACGGTGTCTGACTTTGCGGGAATGAAGCCGAGCAGGAAGACGTTCTTGGTACCGCAGTTGTAGCATTCGAGCACGGTGTCGCCAAGCGCGGACGAAGGGTGCAGCTGGACCTCCTTGTGGCGAGCACGCACGAGGTGATTGATGATATGTGACGACGACGTATTGCCGCGAGCGCTGCAGAACCATTTCTGGCACACAAGGCACTTGACAACGCTTGAAGGGTTGTGAATCCCGCAGTACCTGTACGTAGCACACAACATTAGTCTGCGTCCATCCCGGCCCACGGCATACTCGGATGCTATGCAAGTGGTACAGAAGCATATCAACGCATAGGTGTATGGATGCGGAACAAACATGTCCCAAAAAATTTTTCACGGTGAAACGGACTCGCGATGCAGACGTACGAGCAAGCGTGAGGCGGCAGTTCAACCTGCTCCTCTTCCTCTCTCTTTGGCCCCTTCCCATTCACGCCGCCAATAGCCATGCTAGCCAGGCTCTCCGTGTCGTCATCATACACGTCGCTCTGGTCGTCGTCGTCGTTGTTGCGGCGTCTGCGCGGGCCGCCCAACCCGTCGAGGATACTCTCATCGTCGCCGAATTTGATGTTGGCTGTCGAATCGGAGACCAGGTGGTTGCCCAAGTGTGCGAAGGCGCCTTCCATCGCAACCTACGGCGGAGGCGTTCCCTAGTAGCGGAGGCTCGGATCTCGTGCTCTGTACGGCCGTACAGACAGAGAGAAGGTCGTCGCCGAAAAACTGGACACGGGTGTGGGTTCGGATATCAGTATGGGAGGAGGAGCGGACGATGCGTGGCGTAGAGGGACCACAGATTGGTTCATATGGAAACGGCTCCGTGGTTTGCCCAGCACAAACAGACAAGCGGACTTATGACGAAAGTGACAGAGCGCTCAGCTGCAGCGGAGGGGGCAGTGAAGGAGGTGGAGGCCGCCTCAGTGAGGGACAGACTGTATGAGGTTGGATATTTGCGGCCGAGTTTGGGCAAGGTTTGGTACTTTTGTGAGATCCACACACACACACACACAGACTCGCACGCCCGCACGCCCGCACGCACTTCGCTCACGGCTCACCTGCGCCCAACGGCCTGCAGCCGCCACGGCCACGTTCGCATGCAGGGCCCGCAGTCAGCAGTTCTGAGCATGGGCACGTATAAGCAGTCCCGCCCTCTCACCCTGCCATTGGCCCCGGCCCCTCCGAGCTCGGTGGCAAATTTCTGCTTCCGCCGTCTGGATCCGACCAGGCAAGATGGCGGGAAACGAACTTGATATCGTGGTAGCACCGTGAACGAGATGCCCTGACGCCGACCAAGTTCGTGATCGCGGTGGACGTCATGCACGCCTGTCCGCCCGCTTCCCAAGAGATGCCCACTGTGCGCTCGTGCCCGTTGATCCGGCCTGGTTCTTGTTCCGACGAGGGTCGGACACTTCGTGCCTTTGTCCAGAATCGCCGTTGGCGAGACAAGCAGGTGCTCAGAAGCTTCGATCCGTGCCTGCGTTCATCCAATTCGCGTTGCGTGGCATTGTACCGCTCTGCATCGATAACGTAGAGTAACAGAGGCAGACGTACAGAGTAGGTGTATTATTAGTGGAGAATTAAACGTGCACCCTATTTGCGGCCATGTCGCATGCTGATTGGCCCATAAAAAAATTGTTGCATCAAAAAATCACGTCCTACCCGACGGTCCCCGCTTGATGCGAGTCTTCTGCCCCAGACACTCATCGCTACAATGATTCGAAGACAGGCGCGCGAGAGGCGGGACTATTTGTACCGTCGGGTATGTAGCGCGAGTTTGAACACGTCCTGTGCAAGACCCAAGACTAACGAATCACTGGCAAGGCACTTACGCTGCAACAAGCCGAGATCGCGGCAAAGAGAGCCAAATTGAAGGATGCTCTCGCGCGAGGGAAGCCTCTGGACCCAGAGATAGCCAAGGACAAGAGCCTTCGAGAGGATTACAAGTTCGACGAGTCTCGCGCCGGTAAGTACGCCGCTCGACTGCGATCCTCTGCGCACGGAAGAAGAGAGCCAAGGATGTCCCGCTCACGGTTTCAATCGCAACAGACCGCACGACCGAGGAAGAGCTGGGCCTCGACGACGAGTATGCCGCCCTCTCAGGCATCCGTGACCCGCGCATCGTCGTGACGACGTCGCGCGACCCGTCCTCGCGCCTGTCAACCTTCGCGAAGGAGATCCGTCTCCTCCTCCCGACCGCCATCCGTCTCAACCGCGGCAACCAGATCCTGCCAAACCTCGTGCAGAGCGTCAAGGCCAATGACATGAGCGACGTGGTGCTGCTGCACGAGCACCGAGGCACGCCGACCGCGCTGACCGTATCGCACATGCCCCACGGTCCCACGGCGTCTTTCAGTCTGCACAACGTCGTCCTGCGCGCCGACATTCCCAACGCCGCCCGCGGCACCGTCTCGGAGTCGTACCCACACCTGATCTTTGAAGGCTTCAGCACCAAACTGGGCAAGAGGGTCGTGCAGATTCTTAAGCACTTGTTCCCGCCACGCGAGCCATCGAGGCAGCTCGGCAGCCGCGTCGTCACCTTCAAGAACATCGAGGACAGCATCGAGGTCAGACACCATGTTTTCGTCCAGACCGGGTACCAGAGTGTGGAATTGGCCGAGGTCGGACCGCGGATGACGATGAGATTGTTCGAGATCAGGAACGGAACACTGGAGAACAAGGACGGAGATGTCGAATGGCATCTCAACCAATACACGAGAACCGCCAGGAAGAAGGACTATCTTTGAAGTGGGCAAACAAGGTGCCTAAACCCGAGAGACTCTGGGAGAGATCTTTCGTGACTTGCCCATGTGCCCACGCCAGCGGGGATGTGCAGGTGGCATTCTCACCACATGCCCACACGTTGTCAACTCCACCTGAACGGCCAGACTGAGTACGCATGGCTCATCTCTTAATGGTCTCAATGAGCGACTACGTGGCAGAATACGATACCGGGCATCGAAGCAGTCATGCTTGAGCCCTGAATGGGCGAGACGTGGCGACGTACTAGTCGGATGTTGTGGCGCACTTTGCGGTAGGAGTGAAGGAAGCGAGAGAGCTGAATATGGTCTACTCGCCACCGATCTGGCGAAAAACACCTCATGCGTCATTTCCGCCGAGAGGATAGCGAATACGTAATGAAGACACTAGTCTACATTTCTAAGAACCGCCCCAATTCTTAACCAGCTCACTGTTCAAAGCCCGCGTGCACTCGGCAATCGTGCGACGTGCCACTGCGCCTCTCAGGGCCGCTGACCCGATGTACATCTCAAGCTTGCTCCTTCCGCACCTGACCTCCGTCTCCTCGTGCGGATCCCAGCCCAGGTTCAGCACGTCCGTCATGTAGTAGAGGTACATCAGCATTCGCGTGCAATCAGCTTTCTTGGCAGCCATGTAGACGGCCTCTGTAGCGCCCAGCGTCTCAGTCAGGACGTCGCGAATCAAGGTCCTGCCCCAGTCCTCCTGGAGGTCGACCGCCGTCTCGCAGTACCCGTGTCCCTCCACGGCGATGTGCCGCATCCACGCCCTCTCGATCGGATGTCTGTACTGGACACGCTTTGAGGAGGAGCACGGCTGGCGAAACGAAGGCGGAATGAACTCTTCGAAGTGCCAGATGGCGCGCTCGAGACGCTGAAGCTCTGAGCGTATGCGGTCTTTTGTCTGGGCGGGCTTTTGGGACAGTGTCGCCATGATCTCGTCCGTGCGGGGCGTGGAGCTGCGAGTGCGTGCTTTCGCGGAGGAAGCCATGTCGTCCCTGGAGGTGGTGCTGTCCCGTCGTGTCCTTTCTACTGCTCGCTTGGTAGCCTGTAGTTCCGGCGCATTCGTGCTCTTTTCATGCGGCAAGACCGAACTATGTAAAGCCATGGCTCCGTCCAATCTGACGTGAATGGTTCTACTGCTTGATCTAACTATGTCGAAGCGGTATTTGAATGAGCCTTGTTAATGCTCATGTTGCGCATCTTCGTCGCAAAGCCGGACGGTGTAAATAGCAATGGCACGCGTGCGTGAGTGATGTTTCTGAACGATGACCATTACTGGTTATAGTAATGTCCAAGTGAAAACAGATTCTTCACGAGGACCAGGAGCCGTTTCCAGCGACCGAACTGTGGTCGGCAGCACTGGAAGGCGCGCACGTTGGTGGGGACGTCGGACAAGCCAGTGAAGAAAAAAAAAATAGTAATAATCGTCATGGCATTTGTTGAACACCCGTCCTGAAGCAGTTGCATTGAGAAACTTTTTCTTTCATTGGCTTTCCATGATACATGCTCCATTCCTGCGCCCTTAGCCGCCGTGGAGTGTCGAGATGAACATGATGTGGTCTTTCGCCTGGATCTCATATTCACCTTCGCCCTCCAGCGACCAGTCGCTGTCGTTGATGAGTACGAGGATTCCCGGACGGCTGCTCTTAACGTTAGCTGCTTGCTTTGATGGGAAACCCGAATGCAGGCTGGAAGATTTACACGGTGTCGTCAAGCACGAACAAATCTTTCCGCGGGTCCTTCATTTTGTTCTTGCAGAGGTAGTCGATGAGCCAATTGATGTTCGGTCTGTCGCCTGCGGCTGTCTTCAAGGGAACTTCCATCCGATGCACCCTCTCATTCGCGAACAGCATTTCGAGACCGCCGCTGTCTTATGTTAGGTGCCGAGCTCTTGCCGTTCAAACACAACTCAGGACTTACGAAAACTCTACGGTGATGGGCAAGCTGGCTACCTCTGCAGGCGCTCCGCTCTTCGTCTGCTCAGACGCCGCCATTGTAGAACGCGATGTGATTTTTGTGTCAGAACGAATGCCTACAGGATCTTCATTTGAAGCTAAGTGCCTACGTTATGCCTTGAAGTTGTGTTGACAAGAGGCCGCCAAAGATATGTTATGCACGCAAATGTGGATCGCACCAAAAATTTATCCTTGACCAGCCAATCACCAATCACTTGCACATCTCTCAACCCGCCAGCTCCCTCGAAACATGGTCAACTCTGCGCATTATGACTGATGTGAAGCTTGAATACATCAGCGTGGGTGGCAATCGGCATCCTGCCGCTGCAGATTGGGACCGCCATTCAGGCATCCTTGCCTTCGGTGCGGACAACAACATCGCACTATGGGATCCTCTTGTATTACGCGCTCAATACTTAAAGATACTTCTTCCTTTGCTGACTATGACCCCAGGAAAAGAACCACACTGGCATCCATGCTCTGTTGAAAGGCCATACGGACTCTGTTAATGCCGTCAAATTCATATCTGCCGCTGGCTTTCCAGATCCGCTTCTCATTAGTGGATCTGTAGACAAGACGGTTCGGATATGGCGAAGATCGAACTCGGATTCGACGTCCTGGGCCGAGGTTGCGAAGCTGGATGCGCACGCGGCTTCCATCAATTGCATCGCAGAGCTTTCGTCACAGAACATTTTTGTGACGGGGGCGGCAGATGCCACCGTCAAGGTGTGGCAGATCCAGTCTGACAGCGCAAAAACTGAGGACGTGGAGGTCGCTCTCCTCCAGGAAATCCAGATTTCACCAAGATTCTTTCCTTTGGCTATTGCCATCGCCAGCCTCGCCCCTCGTTCAAACGCTAAAACGGGTGAGCTGATTTTAGCAATTGCTGGAACGAAAGCTTCGATACAAATTTATGTCGCAAAAGGCGAAGATCCTGCATCGAGTCATTTCTCGTTAGTGGCGACGTTGACGGGTCACGAAGCGTGGATACGATCTTTGGCAATCGTAAACGAGATACCGGGTGATGCGTCAAGCGACTTCATTCTGGCGTCCGCGAGCCAAGATAAATACATCCGACTGTGGCGGATCCATCGTGGACATGACCTTCCCACCTCAAGTCGAGCCCTCAATGATCCCACGTTGGGCATTCTGGCAAAATCTTCGTTGTCTAACAAAGCACATCGTTTCTCGACGGCAACACAACAATTTTCCGTCACGTTCGAAGCCTTGCTGTTGGGCCATGAAGATTGGATCTACACGGCATCGTGGCACTGCTACAAAAATCGCCTGCAGCTTCTCTCAGCAAGTGCAGATAACTCACTAGCCGTCTGGGAGGCGGATGAGTCAACCGGCATCTGGATGTGCGTTGCGCGCCTCGGCGAGATTTCTGCTCAAAAAGGCTCAACGTCAGCAACCGGAAGCACAGGTGGCTTTTGGGCTGGTCTCTGGTCACCAAATGCCAGTGCCGTTGTCAGTTTAGGTAGGACGGGAGGCTGGCGCCTTTGGCAAAGAGACATTTCTGAAGGGTCTGATCTTTGGATCCAGAAGCCGGCCGTTACAGGACATACCAGAGAAGTTAATGGTTTAGCATGGTCCAGAGACGGTGCGTACCTGCTGAGTACGGGAAATGACCAGACAACAAGATTGCACGCTCAGTGGAGGGTGGATGGCCGCTCATCATGGCACGAATTCTCACGGCCCCAGATTCATGGATACGATATCAATTGCATTGACACAATCACGAACTCTCAATTCATCTCAGGCGCGGATGAGAAGCTTCTTCGCGTGTTTGACGAACCAGATGGCGTAGCGGACCTGCTGAGCAGCCTCTGTGGTATCTCCAAGCCGAAAAATATTTCCCTCCCCGATGCAGCAAACATCCCGGTCCTCGGACTGTCTAACAAGGCCATCGAAGCCGTCGCCGACGACGAAGCTTCAATAGCCATCGGTGATGATAGAAATGCGGTTGACCCTGCGTCAATTGTGCACAAGTCCACACTCAAACTGGACGAGCCTCCGCTCGAGGACCATTTATCCCGACACATGCTCTGGCCCGAACGAGAGAAGCTCTATGGCCACGGGTATGAGATTAACGTTGTGGCAGCAAGTCATGATGCGACACTCGTTGCAACAGCATGCCGTGCAAGTTCTGTGGACCATGCAGTAATACGATTGTACGACACGAAGGAGTGGAGGGAGGTAAAGCCCGTCCTGAAAGCCCACACTTTGACGGTCACAGGTCTACGTTTCTCACCAGACGACGCATATTTGCTGTCCGTGGGAAGGGACAGGCAGTTCTGCTTATGGAAGCGGAGTGAAACCTCACCTTCGGAGTACAAGCTTGTGCAGAACGATGCGAAAGCGCACAGCCGAATGATTCTCGCGACGTCATGGGCTCCAGCTGCAGCGGGTCGCATATTCGCTACCGGCGGCAGGGACAAGACCGTAAAGATATGGAGACTAAGCGACGAAGGTGCGATATGTGTGCAGAGTATAAGTACGGATGTGCCCGTGACCGCCTTGGCGTTCGTGCCGGAACCGGTCGATGGCAAGATCGTGCTTGCGTACGGCTTGGAGAGTGGGCAGCTGTCTATCTGCTTCGCTTGTTTGAACGAGGGCGAATACGCTATCAGCCCCTATGCACAATTTGGCGTGCTCCAACAGTCGAAAGCGGTATTGCAGCTGTCCTGGCGACCGGAGGCAAACACCGAAGGTCAATTGCGGCATCATGACGGTGGAGAGTTAGCATGGGATCTTGCCATCGCCAGCGCAGATAGCTCGCTACACATCGCAAGGGTAGATTTCCGCTTGCAGTAGATGGATATCGACAGCGTCATCTAGCCTGATCCCCGAAATATCTGCAGAAACGAAGGGGATTCGAATGTGCAACAGACCAAGTCAGAGCTTGTTTGCTTTGAAATGCATCTCAGAACAAAAGGCCCGCATCAAAACGAAAAAAACTCCTTCTTCCACGACATTTTTACCACACTGTAATATGAGGGTACACAATTCTGGCTACCGCTGAGCTTCAACTCATCGATTCCAATCGAAACTCTACCACATGAATAGAAAAGGACAAGTGAAGTGCCCGAGTGCGCTTGTTTAAGATCGCTGTCCACAGACGCGTCCGTGTCATTAATATTCTATCTTTCATTGTGTGACTGCGCCTCGGTACGTGAGTCTGGCCTGAACGTCTACAGCGCCAACTGGCCATTATCGACGCCGGTTTCGTCTTCTTCTTTTCCGGCTGTCGGACTATACCCTCTGTAGTCATTCTAGCCCTAGACTTCAGTTGCATACAGCAGAACTTGCGCCCGTGCAGCTCACGCTTTGGACGTCCTTTCCGGTGATCGTCCTATCCGTCATATTCAGCGTCATACCTTATTCTCGAGCTTAAAGATCTCTTTTTTGACCTGTAAAGCCATCAAGCCAGCCCTCTCTTCAGCCTCAATCTTGTCGCTCGCCTTCACAATCTTTTCTAGCCTCTCGTCCTTTTCAAACTGCCTAGACATTGTGTGTAATGCCGCGCCGCCACCACCCCTCATCTGCTGTTGGTGATTCATATCCTGAATCTTATAAGCCAGATCATTTATCCGCCTCGTTCCAAAGTCACGGTTCGTTAACAATGGTGAGGACGACAGAGTATTGATCCAGAACTTGTTCCACAGTGCGGCAAGGAGCTTGGTGTCGAGGCTGGATTTGTAATGCGAAACTTCGAGCTGGTAGTAGCGGTCTGCATGAGCGCCGAAGTCTTGAATCTTCTCCATAGGGATAGTCTGGAAGCCGTCGCTGTCCGTTGCGGAAGCGGGCTTATAATTGTCAGGATATGTTCTGAAGGCGCCGATCTCCACCCTGCCCGCCGACACCGTCCTATCGGGATCAATCACAACTGCCAAAAAGGGATCCTGGTGCGCTTGTTGGAGGTTCTGGGTGCTCACGTCTATGCCCGATAGCCAGCACCCGTAGCCAGGGTGGCTGTGATACCAACCCACAATGTTCTCGCACTGTCCATTTGCTTTTGACATTTCCAAATACTGAACGATGTACTGAAAAGCCTCTTCTTGTGCATTTACTCGAGTCTCGGTCGCCTCAACAGGTAATCTGAAGGCATCGGTAACGATGAAGGTGTCTCCATGTACTGTGCCTTGCATCAAGCCCATGACTTCAATACTGCCACCGCTACGGGCGTGCATCACCATCTTAAGCAAGGCGACTGCAGAAATCCGCACGTGTTTGAAGTAGTTTGGATCTTTATTCCACGGCTTTTGGGTTTGCAGGGCCTTGTAGGCGGCCTCGTCGAAATCATAAAGAGCATCGCGAGTAGAATCGAGCAGTTGTATCGAGTTCTCGAGCTCTGTTGTTGTGATTAGCAGGTCCTTAATTCTTCACAAGGGTTCCATTTGCATACCCCAACTCTTCAGCGAGGCGTCCATGTTGAATCTGACTACGTGCACCTCGTCACGTTGGGAAGCATTCTAAGCTTTTGACGTTTGTACTCACCGTACTGGCGGCGCAAGGCAGAACGTGGCGGGGCAAACATCGAACAGCCACAATGGAGCTGAAGACAAAAGTGGCGCAACATGTCACGTGCGCCTTTACATGTCACAAACATCGCGAAGACACATCATTGTTCGTCTGAACTCTACGTAGATTCTGATCTGGCAATTCCATCCTGTTGCTTCAACACTTCCCCTTGTTTATCGCTGATGAATCTCTAACTTTCATCTGCGTCTTGGTCGCCGCCACATCCATCATTGTACGCTAGTTTTGAAGTAGCAAGCGATAGTCCGCCAAACTCCGTAGGCTTCCAGAGGCGTCAGCACTTGAAGTCCAGTGGGAAAACTATACCAAGTCTCTCTTGATCACGCCTCTACTACTTTCCATTGGGTCCAGCAGGCTGCCAACAATGAATCCGCTTCCTCAGGTTCAATAACTCAATCTCAACTCCACTTGTTCCACAGTCACCATTAGCGATTTTTGTTTCCTTACAGCTAAAAGAAAAGGCATCTCCATGGCTCCGAATGACGCTCACTACTCAGATGACGTTGAGTTAGCCGATTTCGATGAGGACGACCCTATTGCCGAGCACGATTCACCGCTTCCCCGTCGACCTGGTATGGACTCGCCGTGGAAACAGCCGCGATGGCTAACACAGCAAACAAAGCACTGGCGAATCCCTGATTCTTTTGTACGATTAATTCAACCTAGGCTGACATGGAGATACGCCCTGTTCATCTTACTGTTGCTTTACGTACTCTATTGCCTGGTCCGAGGGTCCCCGCTGCTGGCTTCAAACCTACCCAAGTATACCGGCCCTCACGAAGTCGGGGTCATGGACCTGGAAGTTCCCCTAGAGAAGCCGGTCATGATATCACAAACAGTATACAAAGAGACGGGGCAGCGCGCTTTCGAGCTCGAGACGGTGCTGTTCAAGCTCTTTTATCCAGCCGCTAAGGGCTCGCGGTCCAGCAAGCCTTCGCACTACTGGGTTCCTAAGCCTGTCAGCCTCACGGCTCGAGGTTATGCCAAGTTTGCGTCCATAGACAACTTCATCATGAGACCCATCATGACAGCCGCCCTCTGGGCCATCGCAGGTGGCATCACCATCCCAGCCAAGGTCGATGTTCCCCTCGCGGAGCCTGTCGACGAGGTTGCGTTTCCCATCATGGTCTTCTCGCACGGAATGGCGAGTTCCCGCACAGATTACACGCACTATGCCGGCGAGCTCGCCAGTCGCGGCCACGTCGTCGCCATGATCGAGCATCGGGACGGCAGCTGTCCAGGCAGCGTGTTGGTCCGCGCCGATGGCACGACAAAGCATATACTGCACTTCAAGGAATCCGAACTACTGCCCGCTCCGGAGACGGAGATGGACACCCCGCGCATGAAGCGTGAGCAGCTCAACTTTCGTCAGGCCGAAATCACCGAGACCATCTCGGTGCTGCGACGGATCAACTCTGGCCGCGGCGAGCAGACAAGACACGCGAACACGCGCGGGGAGGGCACGCATCTCGCCGACTGGGAGGGGAGGCTGGACTTCAACCATCTGGTCATCGCGGGGCATTCGTACGGTGCGACGGGTGCGCTACAGGCGCTCAAGCACGCAAATTCGTCTTCAAACCCAGCAGTCGGCGGCATAATTCTCGATCCAGGAAAATCGTCCGGGCCCATGAATCATGACATCGACGTGCCTATCTTGGTCATTCACTCCAATTCGTGGTCGTCGAAGCATAGCATCTTTGAGGGGCGCCCGCACTTCGACTACGTCAAGGACTTAGTGGTCGAAGTGCGAGACCGAGTCGGTGCGTCCTGGTTCCTGACGAGTCTGGGCACGACCCATCCTAGCGTTACAGACGCGCCACTGATAGAGCCGCTGCTTCTGAGTTGGACGACTGGCGCAACGATTGATGTTAGACAGGGTGTGCAAGAATATGTCAAGACTAGCGTCGAGCTATACGCTTGGCTTAAAGACGGGAAGAGACAAGGTCTTCTGGCCGAGGCTGTCACGCACGATGCGTACGAGCATTGGGTGAACGAAGAGAGGAAGAACGAATTTCCGGCCAAGTACAGAAAATACTGGGAGGTCCACGTTACTCCCGATCCAGTTCTAAATTCTAAGGCATTATAGAGAAGCGGGTGAGATCATGAAGGGTTTCAAATCTGTACAACTTGCATATATACATTATCATTTTTAACTATGCTAACAAGCAAAAATTTTTGCAACTGTGGATATGTCGCATCAGAAGGGGGATGCTTAAGAACTAGGCATCGACGTTTGACGCCTTCTGCGTGCGTCGCATGTAGACGAAAATATATGTAAAGGTGTCAAGAAAGCCAGCCATCGCTCGTGTCTTGTTGACCTGATGCCGCGCTAAACTTGCGAGAGTCTGTTCGCTCAATCGCATCCAGGCGCATGGGTTTTTGCAGATCGCGTATCGAGGACGGTGAAAAGATCGAATGGAATAGGCATTGTAAATGTTCTTGGTGAAGTCAAGCGCCAACGGTCGTAAAAGTCGTGTGGTGGGTATCTCAGTTCCCCTGCATCTCCAATCCTTGAATATTCAACTCATCCCCAGATATACCAGCATGTACGGAAAAGCCTCTCCTATTCCATGTTGTTTCATCGCACATAGTTCACTCCATGTGAAACCAACGCTTCACCTTGTTCGGTAGTGTCAACATGCGTGGGCTGGACAAGTAGCTTGCACCAGGAGCATCATTGGATAGCACAGCATCCATCTGCATGGGCGCGGCTTGCGCTGCGGCAACGAGGCCAACGAGGGCGATAGCTGCTGTGAACTTCATCTTTGGTATATTTTGTGCTGTGCGATCAAAGCGTTTCGATATCGATTGGACTTTGGAAGGATGCTTATCGTGCGCGATAAAGGAGCGACTGCAAAGTATGCGCCGAGAGCGACTCGTTTGAATGCTTTGCGGGAGAAGAAAGGTGATTGTTGCGTCGCCAAAGTGAGTGTCTTGTGTATGTACGTATGTACGTGCGTGCGACTTGAACGATTTATTGCCTCGGGTGTGCTCCTCCCCAAAAGGGTAGACAAAAATGAAAGAAAACAATGAAGATCGTGGCCTGGGGAGAACGCAACCCTTTGTTTCATCTCATTTCTCCAAGACTCATTATCGGCGCCATTAGCGAGGAAATGAGAAGTGAGGTTAGCGATAACCAATTGGCTGGACGTGAGGTAGGAGGGCACCAATCAGAGGCGCAGGCGATAGACGGGAAATTACGTTAGATTAGGCTGAGGGTCAGGCGCGCGTGGATCCAGGTCCAGATTCGAAAGGACGTAATTTCGAGAGGTAATGATGGGCCAAGACTTTCCATCCACCTACCACATCGGTAAACGATTCTTGACTTGATCTCACAGGGCGGAGATCAGACCTCGCAGCGAACAAGAAGTGAATTAAATGAAACTTTACTTGCTGTTGGGATGAAGGACATTGGTATGGAAGAGAGAGACTTTACCATCCCTCCTCGCGGCCTAGGATATCCCATCCGATCAACCTCCAGATCTCTTCCCTGAACCACCCTGGTGTATCAACGACTTCAACCCTGGGCGGGGGTGGCACCGGACCAAGTTGAACCGGCTTTCTTAGTACATCCACGAAGTCGTTGTCGACACCCGCTTCGCCGTCACCGTCGTTTGAGTCGTGAGATAGTGGCCGAGGGAATTCACCAAACATGCACCGAACAAGGGTGTGTTGAAGCTTTTCTTTCGCTGCGATGCTAATACCCGACTTTGGGGGATTCATCTTTCCGTTTCCTCTCGTCGTTGCGCCGGATCGAGAAGGTTTTCCTGAATTACTCGTTGTAAAAGCGGCTGACGAACCAAGAAATGCTGGTGCCAGGTCCATCGCTCGCTCGACGATTTGCACCAGGAAAAGCACTTCGATATTGGCAGCTTCTGCTTCGTCTTCAAATTTTCGTTCCTTGGCAATTTCCGCCGCAGCAATGTCTTCCAGGACAGATTCCCTCTGTGGATGTTTAAAAGTCAGCAGAAATAGCTTTTTTGCTGTCCTTTTCAGCAATAGGTACAGAAGTCCCTCGAACAGGGCGGTATGAGGTCCATTACACGATGCTGACAAACTAGACAATAAGGCAAGAGCGAGTGAGGTCAATTCAGATGGCACTGGTGCTTTGTTGGCTCTCTTGGTCTTAGAATCTTTCGTTTGCCTCATCCGTGTCGCACTATCCCTCATAGAGGCGTGTTCATCGCCGGGTACTGCTTTTGCCTGCTTATAACAGATCAACTCAATAGTTGATAATAGTGTGTCGAAAGCTCCGATCACTTCGTATGTGGCTACTCCGTGATTTCGTTTACTTTCCTCTGTTCCCTGCATCCACAGAGTGCTCAAACCTTGTAACATAAAGGTGAATAAGCGTAACGCTGCTTGTTGGCTGACTTTGAATTCTGTTTTAAGTTTTAAGGTAGCGGCAGACATACGCTGTACGCGCAATCTGCTATTTTTCTCCTGCGACGCATTATGAAAGTCCTCCTGGAGTTGTGTTGCCTCTCTAGCAATACGAGAAGCGACTTCCCGAGTAACCTGTACAAGGTGATATGTCAAACCATCGGCGTCATGATGTTTTTTCTTGTACAGTTTGTAAATGCAGTACAGGTCTCGAGTGATCGTCGGATCTAAACCGTCTATCAGATACACTTGCACAGATTGGATGCTCTTGCTCTTACCTTCTCCAGTGGCCTCCAGGAGGTCACGGAGATTGTCTCCGGCAGCTGCCTGTTCCTTGGGCAACACAATGATGTCCTTACTTTCAGTCTTGGGCTTCTTGTGTTGTATGTGGTCATCATTCTTTACAGGAGACTTTCTCCTCTTCTCTGATGTGCTTAATCGCTCAGTTGATGACCTTGTATGCTCAACACCATCCCGCAGCCTCTCAAGTTCAGCTTCCATAGATCTATTCTCTCGTTCCAACGTCACAAGATTCGTCTGCAGGTGATCAATCTCCCTCTGCGAGTCTTGATACATGGAGTACCAATGACCCACCGCGTCGAGGTACTTTTCGCGGGACTCGAATCCTTGAAGAGTATTGCCAGACACAATGTGTCGTCTGATTCTCGTGACGTAGTCTTCTAGACATTAGAACAGAGTCGATGTGTCTTGTCACGTCTGCTCCCTCACCGCGCACTGTTATTCGAAGAGGCTTGGACTTGACAACAGCCAAGGCTAGGGCCAGCTGAAACTGGGACGGTCGATTCAGCGGCCTGGATGTATCCATCGCTGCAATGTTCAACTGTAGCAAAGGGACAGACGTGTGATGAAGAGAAAGTTCAAATGAAAATTTGACGCGAGCTGCATGCAGATGCCGCAATCCTGAAGTCTGGAAGGAGCATTTCATACGTACGGTTAGGCAGGAGCGAGTTAACTGCGTTAAGGGAGGAGCGATGGAGCATCGAAAAGCGGTGGAAAGCGCTTCGTGACCACGAAATTGACAAGCAGGAGGCGAGGAAGTAATAGACCCAAACCTGGATGATGACGATGATGATGATACAAATGTCCGCAGCCCCACTGGCTCTAACAAGTTACATAAACATGCGCGAGTGTTCTTCTACTTCTTCCAACCCCTGTATCTCAAGCCGTCCTTGACGCGATACTTCTCCGGCAGCTTCTCCGGCTTCTTTCTTCGGAATTCGATGTCGGCTCCCTCGATGCCGTGTTTCTCCATAACCTCACGCGTGGTCTCGTCCCACTGCGTCCTGAACATGGTCACGCCCGTCGCCTTGAGGCCCGTCATCTCCACGAATCCACGCAGCCATATCTGTGTCGCGTCTTCTGCAGACGCAGTCTCGGAAGAAGCAGCGGCTTTCTTCACCGAAGCTATCTGCTCCTCCGACAAAGGCTTCCTGTCCGCGTGCTCGAACACGAACAGCGAGATTCTGTGGTACGGACTACCCTTCTGCGCATAAGGTGGTGACCATGGCACGACCGTTTCAAACTTCGCGTTTGTCCCGCCAAGCTTACCCACGTTCGGTTCGTTAGGAGATATCCGAATGCCCGTCCACACTCCATGACAGCGAGCCCTAAACCCGTCACTTTCCACGTCGGGCACATCGGAGTCGACTGCCACGACGGTTAGCATCGCCTCGCCCTTGTCGAACTTCTGGATGCGTAGCGAAGGTGGGTTTGCGCTCAAGGAGCAGGGCACGAAGTCACCCGGTGTGAAGCCACGACGTCGCCATAACAGATCCACGTCGAGGGTGGGATCAATGCCCGGAAGGGCATCTGGAACGACGTGCATCTGTGTGATACGTTGCATGAGGACCTTGCGCTTCATGGAACGCCATTTCTTATCGGCAAGGTAGCGGTAAATGGGCTTGTTCATGTCACCTGCACAAAGATCACATTGTACGGTTAGCAGATGAAACAAACAATGACAGGCTGTAATTTGAGCGTTACTGTTCAAAAGAGCACAACTTACCCATTCCATCCTCAAAGCGCTTCTTGACAAGCGGATCATTGATATCTGCTTGAATCTTCAGATACTCTAGATGCTTCCTCATGCTGTTCAGTCTGTGATTTTTGTGCGACTCTCCGCCCGCCTGTTCTGGATCTCGCGCTTCTAGGTGTGCAATCTTTGCCCGCATTTTCTCAATGGCCTGTAATTTCTCTTCTCTGTCGGCAGCAATCACTTTCCGTGCCTCCTGGAAGCATTGATAGGGAAGCTGTTCAAAAGGGATCGCATTTTTGATGGAGGAGAGTACGGCACGTCGGCGGCGCGAACCAATGGGATATTGGCCACGGTGCTTGATGAGTCTGTTCTCCTCAGAGACGGTAGCAACGGTGTTGGGATCTAGCTTGTCAGTTGGGATGAGCGGCGGCGGGTTGGCAGGCTGAGATGATGGTGTTGTCGCAGCAGATGCTGCCGGCGCTGCGGTTAGTGACGCTGTCGAGAACGTCCGCAATGGCAGCTTGATGCTGCTTTGAGACTTCAGACAGCGCGAGCAGATGGCCAATGACCCGAGCGACTGCGCCGCGGAAGCCATGATGCTGGAACAGGGTGATGCTCTGTCGCTGTCGCTGGTCGAACTTTTTCGAGAATGGAAGTCAACCAACGCAGGTCCGTGCTGCGTGACCACAAGGGAAGTCCGCATCCCAAAGCGGAAAAAAATGGCACAGCACCATTTGCCTTCTTCACAACTTTTCGTCTTCGTCGCAATGGCATCAAGGCATTGTGCCTCGGCGATGCGGGGCGGTCAATTGACAATACGATGTCGCAAAGCATCAGAGATGCAGGTGAGATATGCCACCCGTCTGCCTATACCGCAGAGGAACTGCCCCAATTCTAACACTGGCGTAGACGGGACGACGAATATGCATTCGATACATGTCGACAGCACTCTCCTCAGGAACCAATACCTCCTCCTCAGTCTCTTCTGATACCCTTCCCCCTCCACCGCCTCCCTCTGCCAAGGTTAAAAAGGGCCTCATCATCCCCAACGCGATCCCATCTCACATCCTCCCAACGCAAGATGTCTACACCACCGTGTACTCCTTTCCAAGCCTCGAGCCTCTTCGCGTGGAATCCTATCCACACACACATCTTTCTGTCCCCCTCCGACGAGATATCCTCCACAGGGCCGTTATATACGAGGGCGATCGCTCGCGCCAAGGCACTGCAAACACCAAATGGCGCAGTGAGGTGCACGGTTCAGGAATAAAGATTCGACCTCAGAAGGGAACAGGCCATGCGCGGTTGGGTGACAAGAAGAGTCCCATGTTGCGAGGCGGTGGTGTGGCTCACGGCCCCAAACCGAGGAGTTTTGCGACGGAACTGCCAAAAAAGATCTACCACAAGGCCTGGCGCATGGCACTAAGTTATCGTTACCGGCGTGGACAGCTGATCGTTGTCGACGAGTTGGGCGTGCCAACCGACATCCCAAAGGAGGATAGAGGCTACTGGCTCCGATGGGCGCTGGACGGACTTGGCTGGGGTCGGAACGGCGACGGCCATAGCTTCTTCATCACGCAGGGCAAGGGCGAGTTCGCCGAAGCGTTGGACAGCTGCGTGCGGTACGGACGCCTGAGGACGGCTTCCGAGGTGGATGTCAAGAATCTGTTGGAAATGAAGCGGCTGGTCGTGGAGCGAAGGGCATTGAGGCAGATGCTCATCGAACATCAGGCGGACTTGCAGTTGCCGTTAGTCAGGAGTCCAAAGGGCATAACGACATCCAGCAACGGCTCGGATGTACCACAAGCCGTGAAGAACGTGTCGGAGCTGGAGATGCGGAGGGCGGTCGCGGAGGCGAAGGCGCGATCGGGCCTGAGCCATTCGGCAGACGACTTCAGCGCCGCGGCTGCAAATGCTGCAGCTGCAGCCGCAGTATCTTCTGCAGTATCTGGAATGAACACACTGTCCATGGACGAGGTAGACGCCGCTGCTGCTGCGGAGGCCCACGAGCTTCGAGACGAGGGCGAGGATCTGATCGCCGACGAATATGTCGAAGACGACGAGTTCGACGACGAAGAGGTGGAGGAGCTAGCCAGGGAGCTTGATGAGAAGTCGAGGTGATAGCTCAGCTCACAAGCAAGGGAACATGTATCAAATATATATTTTTTTCCTATTACGCATTCGCGGCTAAGGTGTTGCCAGTGTCAAATTTAGCATTTGTAGGGTGGTGTAGACAAATCCCAAGAGATCGATCATGCGTCTGCTGGACAAGTTTGGAGGCTGTTGCGATTTGTTCCCCTCGTCGTTGCTTTGTGAACAATGCAGCTCGCAGCGTCACGGTAAAGATCGTACATTCTCGCTCCAACTCGCACGTATCTCCGCGCCGACAAGGGAGGTCAAAAGAAATGGACAAAAGGGCCAGTCGTGGCGTGAAGTGCAAAATCGCAAGCACTCAGATTGGAACATCTCATCGCGGTTTGACCGCGTGCCATGGCGCTTTTGCAAACCGCCACGGTCTTGATACCACCAACCCACCAAGCGACGGACATGCCAACCGCACCAAACGCCTGCAAGTCATTGACTGTTGGGAGCGGACGACAGCAGCGGGCTCTTGTTCCAGAGTCTCGCTTGGACTCGCCCTCCCAAAGTGAAACGTCGAGGCTTCACAAGGCAGTGCCTTGATATTGTTCCTGACTCCCTTGGTATTGTGCTCCAGCAGACAATTTTTTTTCTTTTTCAGATCGGCCCATCCGACTCACAATCCTCCAAGGTCCGATTGTCTACCTTACGGCCTTTGCATGTTTTTTTTCTTCATCTTACACGTCATTCTCCACCCCATTCAGCGTCCGATCGTATTGTTTCATGCTCGTCGGTATATAGCTTTGGCCAGAGTTTCCTCTTGTATCATCCTCTCTATCTCTTACTCCATCGCCTTCTTTTTCTTCTTGCTGGACGAGTTTACAAAATTCTAGCATCATCTCAGATCCCTTTGGCTACATACAATTCGGCTTCGTGTTTAAGCAACAGAGTTTCACGCACAGCTATGAACGCTTCAACCGGCGCAACAGCAGCGGTGGCGGCGGCGATGACGACGACGGTAACGAGCGTGGATCCCTGGACCCAAACCATGAGCTGGATCCAAGTGCTCGGTACATCACAGACGACTGTACCAGTGCCCATGGAGGACCTCGCCGAGTTTACATTTCAGAACATCCGGCTCGGACTTGTGTACGGCGCGCAGGTCGGGCTTGCGAGCCTCATGCTGGTTACATTGCTGCTGCTGACCAGGTCCGACAAGCGAGGGTCGCCGATCTACATGCTCAACACGCTCGCACTATTCCTGGACGTGCTGAGAGGCAGCATGATGGCGGCGTGGCTCGACTCGACGTGGAACCACCCGCTCGTCGCCTTCGAGTCGGACTACTCGCATATCACCGCGGGCGACAAGACCAAGAGCCTCATGGCGGATGTGTTCAAGGTAGCCGAGTTAGGCGTCATCCTTTCATCCCTCATCCTCCAGGTGTGTGTCATGATGGCCACGGCACCGTCGCACCAGCGAGCATTGGTGGTCGGCGTTGCGTGCGCTCTCGCCCTTGTGACCATGTGCGAGCTCCTTGCTTCCACGGTTGTAAACGCACAGAACATTGTCTACTTGGCTCCCGTGGCATCGTACGCTCTTCAGTACAGACTATCCGACGTGGCTTCCATCCTGCAACTCGTCAGCGCGGGGTTCTTCCTCGCCATCTTTGTGGCGAAGTTAGCCGTAGCCATTCGAAGACGACGCCGGATAGGACAGCGAAAGTTCGGTCCAATGCAAGTCGTCTTCATCGGCAGTCTGCAGAGCATGATAATCCCAGGTATGTAGTTTATACACGCTCTCCTGGCCTGTCGGTCACCAGCTGACGTTAGCCGATCCAAGTTATATTTACAGCAGCGCAATGGAATCAGTACGTGGACCTCGGCAGCCTGTCAATGACTATGCTTGCGATCCAACTTCCCCTCACAGCACTGTGGGCAAGCACGTCGATAGAGGCGCGCATGGATGGCGAGAAGCCGGAGCGGGCACAGAAGCAGCCATCCGAAATGTTGGGCTCTGATCGACATCTCATCGGCGGTCAGCCGACGAGGAAACTCGACGAAGACGATCTTAGCACGTCTACGACCTCGTCGGAACTACCATCTCCTATGAGAAACGTAGGAACAGCGGGCACCCTGTGCACGCTATGCGAGGCAGCCGGCGCCAAAAACGGTCGCAATGTCAATCTTGATGTCAAGACACTTGAACGGCATATTGTATAGCCAGCGCAAGCTTCTACCGTATCGCCAAGTGCGGTTGTCAAGACTTGTGCCTTGCATCATGCCCTTCCCTTCGCCTTTTGTCGCCTTTTGTCAATAGCCAGGTAGTCTTCAAGTCAAAGAATCCCCGTTGTACAGATGACCAGAGTACGTGTGGGTAAAATCTCATCTGACCCCGCAGACATCAGCGTCCATGTCCGCACTTCATTCGTTACCAATCTATACTTATGGTCCTTGATGTAAGGGACCGTTATCCGCAGAGCCTCAGAAACGCTTACACGAGGTTGTTCATCATCGCTGGGCATGTCCGACCTGAGCGAGACCTCGAGATCCTCACCATCGATCCCTTCCCCCTGAGAAGTATCACCTCACACCTCCTGACCATTACGCTCCCCACAAAATTGAATTTACGCAGTCCGTCATGCCAAGACCCGGGTTGCGGGACGAGCCATGCGCAACGGGAGAATAGTAGTACAGTCTCATGGTCTGATACTGACAGGACGTGAGGATCCCCATCGCAGGGTGCCGTTGCGAGTCAGCGCTGACTCCCAGTGCAGCAACGCGTGGATGAACGGAACCTTCCCGTCCTTGCTCACCTTCCGACACGGATAGTTCGGATGCAGCCCAAGGCGCGAACGAAAAGGGCGGCTGCGGACGTGCTGTCAAATACTCGCCTGCGAGATCGTTTTTGCTGGAGCCAGCAGCTACCATGGCAGAGCTACGAGAGATTGTGACTGCAACAAGTGGTGTCATGTGCAGGGAAGGATAATGTGTTCCTTGAACTAGAGTAGGATGGACGTGGTTCGAAGTACAGTACATCCTTTTTGCGACGAAGGCTGCAGTCCGGGGCAGACCCTGATCAACCAGAATCGCGGGTCGCCAGCGACATGGACGGACAAGTTCTGATTTGTTGGTGCCGGTCAAGTTCTGGAAAGCTCGTGATGTTCTAGTCTCCTTTGTATTAATGGTCATCCCTCTCTCGAGGTCGACGGGGGCTCAAAGGCGCCGAAGCCGCACGAACAAAGTAAAATAAAGTACTGAATACGAACAGCAACGTTGTATCCGAGCGCTGATAAGAATAGAAGGTGAAACGCCTGTGCAGCAGAGAGAGAAAAACACTGTTCACGTAGTATTACTATCATTGGACAGTCACACGGGAGGACTGGTCAAAGACGGGCTGCCGGAACGGATTCCACACCGGAGTTTAAAGGTGAAGAGACGTGCGATTTTCGTCGCCTCGGGGAGCCGATGGGGACAAAAGTGGGTTCCGGAGAGGGAGACATTTGTCATAGCAAGAACTGCCGGTTTCGTGTTGTTTTGACATCAAAGTGCCGAGGCGACCAGAAGCAGTAGTGGGCTGTGCACGGCAAGTACTCGTGGCGAAACGACTTCAACGAGTAAGATGATGGAGCCTGAGTGGATCTACGGCGATATGCCGGTAACCAGTATTGGCAGGCCGGCGGTATTTTTTTTTCTGGAGTATGGGGATGGTGGGCCCTCTTTCTAGGCATCAGACGCATGTAAGTATACAACGAGAAAACCAAGCACAGTAGCGTACAGTACCGCACTGGATGTATAACCTGGATGTGGTACAGCGACGGTCCAAGGCCTGCCGTGCGAAGCAGCCACGGTCAGGATGAGCGGCAACAAACTACTGAATCGCAGTGTTTTTTGCAGGTGCTGCATGTCTTCATGCCCGGTCTCAGCAGGTCGGCTTGATACCGGCACCATGGCAAGGAGAAGTGGGCTGGTCATAAGAACAGTGGCAACAGAAAACCGGTTAGCTTGCAGGTACCCGCAGGAACTCGACGGCCAGCGCTGTTCGAATGGCGGCAGCGTCGAAAACTCTTCACGGCCCCGGAATCCCCAGGAAGCTTGGCAAACGCAGTCCATGCGAGTTATTTGCAGCGATCTGGGGCGCTATGGGCAGGTGCTGCCCTAGCCGAGCGATCGCGGGCGCGATGCTGGGATCGGCTTGCGTTCTGGGGGGAAGTGGATGTGTGGTGTGTGTGAGGGTGTGCGCTGTGTGGAAAGTATGTGGCAACGCTCCAGTGTGTTCGAACGTACGTGCAGTGTACACGCCGTGTTGCTGGGAAGACTGAATTACTAATAGAGCCGTCCCCTGTCTGAACGTCGATGTAGATCCAGTCCTTCCTCATCGTCGACAGCGCCGCTCCATGGGGCAGCGATTTTTGCATCGACTTGACAGGGCAAAAGCGTTGCAGCTGGAGCGATCAAACGCCGTACCATGTGAAGACGAATCACTGCCGTTGCGTGACGGAATTGCCGTGTCCTTCTGGTGCATTGCTAGCTGGGCGTTTTGTCTGTCCCAATCGTCACGGCGTGGAGGTCGAAGGGGTGGAAGACCTTGACGCTTGCGCAGCCTCGTTGAAAAGGCTACAGACCAGCCTGTGGCAAGGGACAGCACGATCGAACAAGTAGTGCACTGTATAGTGCGCTGGTGGTTCTCGTCGCGGGCAACACTGATGACGTGCCTATCGACGCTCGCGCCGGCTTCTGAGGAGCGCTATAATAGGCACCTTCAGTATAAAGAGGGCCGTCGCACCCACCACGTCATGGAACGTCTGGAAAAACCGTCTCCACCATATGCCTACGGATACGATGAGAGCACACGTTCGCTTGGAAGCAGCCGCCCGACCTTGTCACTGAGCATACGATCGACACGCCTCTGTACGTCATGTAGAAGTGCATTTGTGAAGAAAGCGGCCATGTCAATAATCCTGCGCGGCCAGGCGTGCTAGTCGGGGCGATGGGTGATCTCATAGGGGTGGTCGACGATGGCGGGCTGGAGCAGCGTGTGCCTGATGCTTGCGAATGCTACACGTGTGACTGGCTGGCCAGTTCGTCATGTGCTTGGGCGACTGGATCCGGGCTCACGACGAAAACGGCCATGGGCAGCTGCTCGTCGGGCTAATCATCAGCGCTGAGCTCGTCCAGGCCGTAGTAAGACGGAGCCTAGTCAAGTCAAACTACGACTCAACACGTCGCCCGCGACAACGTGGTGGCTGCTCGGTCAAAGAGCACTGTGCACACAGACAGTCCCCCTTTTCTAGCTGCTCCGTCCGTCCCCTATATGGCTCCCCCAGACAATGCCGTCTCAAGCCACAGCCCGAGCCCGAAAAGAGCCTCCTTTCGGTCCTTTCAACGGCGTCGGTGTCACGCATTCGGTAACCGAGCGATCATCCACGCCCGGCCCCCCTCGAGGGAGCCAGCAAGAGACAGAGAGCACCGCGCCGCCAGAGGCTCTGTTGGCTCCGAACGACACATCGGCCTTATGTAGGACATGCAGTAGTGAAGAGCAGCTTTGCGACGGATCGCATGACCTCGAGGGAACCAGCGTCTGCACATGCCGCGGGCGTCAATTGGCTCGCTAGCCGGCGTCTCGATGCTGCTTCTACCCCAGATTTCCCACATCCGGCCTAGGTCCGGTCGTTAGACTGTGTGGCCGGTATCCCTGTACATCCGAGTTTCGTCCTTCGCCCGTCGCTCGCTCTTCGTCGCCGCCGAGCCAGCGGCGCTGTGGCCGTGCGAGCGGAGGCGGGCCGACAGCGTCAAGGAGCAGCGAGCAAGCCGGGCGAGAAGGGCGCAACCGGCGCGAGCTCAGAGCATCGCTGCTCGAGTGCACGAGCAAGTCATCTCTCATCCGGCTCGCTACTGGATGTTTGCATGGCTGAAGGCCGCCGGCCGGCTCGGAGTCCCTGTCCCAGTGGCTTGAGCGCCGTGGGAATTTGCACGTTTCGCTGCGGGCTCAGCCAATCGAGGCGCCGCTGAGGTGATCCTTCGACCAATTTTCGTATCGACCCCTTCCAGCTGGTGCCCAGGCCCGCAATAATAAGTTCAGCGTTTAGATTCGCTTGTTTGCTCTGGCATCGCTTGATTCTTGTAGACTTCTAAGGCACATGGGCTCCCGGTCAGGTAACGTGAGCGCGGGAGCAACGAAGCGGAGACGGCGGCGGCGGCGGCGGCGGGACAGCATGAGCAGCAGAATGGCTCCGCAGCAGAATAGCTCTGCACCCGAACCCTTTCGTTCGTCTCGTGTACATGGTGCTACAGTCATTAGTCTGGACGTGGACTAGGGCCACTTTTTTGGATGAGCACTTTCGTAGGGCCTAACGACGCAAACGAACTAGCATCGATGCGCCGAGCTTTGCGGCCGGACGCACTGGCAGGTTCCTTGTTATTACTGTCATTTTGAGGACTGCGTAAGCTCTGTAAAGAATGACGATGAGACGAGAACCGGAGCGACAATAGCAAGAGAGCAAGAGGCGCGATCACGAGAATGCTGGGAAAGCAAACACCACAGCAGCTCGACTGGACGAACATACAACAACAAATTTGCCGCTGAAGCCCGTCATGCCGTGTCCTGATCTGTCCGGAACCATGCTGGCCTGGCCTGTTGCTCGTTGCTGGCATCGTATGTTTTGGCGTCGAGTACACTGGAACCATTAACCATGGCTACGACAAACCTTCAGACGAACAAACAATGTGGGAACGAACAGCAGACAGTGCAACGGGAATTCAAGCTCAACAAAACCCGCGGCTGCCGTTCCCTATCGTCTCATGTGCCACCGGAATATTTTTGATTAGTCTTTTTTTCCAACGCAAATTTTCTGCATTTCGCGCACCAACGCCAGGCAACACGTCGGTTGACACAAAAAGCCCGCGACTCGTCGACGACCGCCAAAATAGCAAAGGGCGACCGCAACGACAGGAGCAGCGAGCGACAAATGGAGCGTCTCACAGTCGTGGCACTAGACTCAACGGCTGCCCGTAATTAATCGCTGAAAAAGGCCCATGAGGTAAACCGTGACGCGGACTGCTGCCGCTTGCATTTCCGATATCTGAACATGGCATACTCATCCCTGCTCCGGGCCAAAAGCACGTAGCAGCGGGAAGCTTGTACCGTGTGCAATCCATGCTCAACAATGAACCGCTGTGATCCAAGGCCAATCCTGCGCCATGCGAATGCAGGGTGCGGCGCTGCAGCATGCGTACGGCTCCATGCACCCATACAGCATAGCGGCCAGCAAGAACGTGGAGCTCGACCGCGGAAGAAAATCAACGATGGATGCAAGCGCCCCGAACTGAGCCTGCACTACTGGAGCAACGACAGTCTCGAAGTGCCGCTTCCTGGTCGCCTTCCGATCGAGCCCAGTGACGTTCCCCGGGGGCTGACCTGCAGAAAAGTTTCGCACCAACGCCCACTTACGCCACCGGCCGGCTCTTAGCCTCTTCCCCAGCTTCTTCAGATTCCGGGGTTGGATTGGATCGACGAGCTGCTCTCGTCGTAACTGTGGTCGAACGGGTCTGGGTCTTTTCAACGCTCTGCCCTCGCTTCTGATCCACCTCCATCGACTCTTTCTGCCGTCCTCTCTCCTTCGCTCGCGACCTTTGGCATCAGGAATTGAGTCGCTCATCTTTGCCACAACACCTCGACCCGTCCGCGCGCTTTGAGACGGCTGATTCGGCACAGTCTTGTCTGCCGGCTGACCCCCCTGGACTTTGAGCCAAGCTGCTTGCTACGAGAGACCATTCGTCGCTCTTGTCTTTTCTTCGGGACCGTTCCTCGAACCTCGCTCGTTCGGATCTGCTTTTCTGTGGGAGGCCCAACATTTCACTTTGAGAGATACCCATTGTTATTCCATTACCAATTTTTTAGTCTGTATACTCGCTTTTTTTTTTTCTCCGCCGCCGCACCCTTCCACCCGCGCATTCCATTACGTGGGGCGAGTACGACGCTTCCGGTTCGCAAGCGCTTGCTTGGATTGGCCTCCGCCAGCGGATTGCTCTCGAGGACCTTCTTACGGATCGTGGAAGACACTGTGTATACCACACGTGCTGCGATATAGTCGGCGATCACACAGCTTCCCAGATTCGTGCCAACACAAGAGCAAATCCCTCTACTTCTGGCATATATATACGTTTGCAAACGGAAATCTGCAAGGCGACGGATCTATCTCGAGCCAGGTGCGAGGTCTATGGAGAAACCCCTCGCCACTCGAGCCAAGGTATCATTTGCAGTGCTATATCTAATCTTACTGAAGAGGACTTCGTTTGCGACACCTTCGGCAACCCCTCAGGTGTCATTACTACATGGCCACGGCGACAATGACCAACGGTGCCGGTACGCAGGGCCTGTCTCTTGAGATCAAGACCAGTTACAGCAGTGCTGACCAAGGCGATATAGTAGCCGTTAACGGCAAGAACGGAGATGTCGCAGGCAATCTGCCCAGCTTCCCGCCACCAAAGACGGACAAGCCTCGGCCCCATGTCTGCACGACGTGTGGAAGGTCATTCGCACGATTGGAGCATCTGAAAAGACACGAACGGTCACACACGAAAGAGAAGCCATTCGAGTGCCCGCAGTGCACAAGATGCTTTGCACGACGAGATCTGTTGCTTCGGCACCAGCAGAAGCTCCACCAGACGGGCAACACTTCGTCGCGACCGCGCGGAAGGCGTGAGAGTGCGAGCGGCGCCCAGACAGGTGCAAGAGGACGAAAGAACTCAATCGCCAGCAGCGTGGGGGCCACCAACGGTGCAGCATCTTCTATGCGGCCAAGGGCGAACACGATCAGTCACATCGACATGGGCGCGTTCAACGCCTTCCTCAACGGCAGCAGAGCAAATGGCTACCATAGTCACCACACCAACCTCAACGGGTTTGGTGGTGTCAATAGCATCGACTTCCGGGCCATGTCGACCTTTGGCCACCATGGCAACATGCACGGTCTGTCGAAATTGGACACCAGTGGCCTCAACAACATCAACCTAGGAGGAGGCATGCGCACCGCACCAATCATGGGCGACGGATTCGATTTCGACAAGCTCTTTGGCGGCGACTCTACCGTCAACCCTGCTCAGCTTCATTTTTCAGGAGCCAGCGGCCCTCTCGGCGCCTTCCAGGGCATGCAGTTTGCACCGACCATAGAAGATGAGGATGCCTTGGACTGGACTGGCGGCTTGGGCGAGACGTTGATGGACAGCGCAGAACATGCTATAGCCGACGGATCCTCTCCTTCAGCAATCAGCACTGCCAGCCACAGTGGCTTTAGCGAAGTCATGCTGGACGGATCGAACATGCCAGTGCACACGTCGGGGACAATGTGGAACAACTCCATGCTGGCTGCTACTAATATGGCCAATTCGTCGCCTTTCCCTGGGGGCGTTGATCCTGTGAGCGCGGCCATATTCCCCGAACTGGTACCCCAAAATTCCGGCATCCTGCAATCCACCGAGATTCAGGACCAGCAGATGGCGGACAGCTTCCTCTTCACCACGTCGCAGGTCACCAATGGTCTAAACTCTACTTCGGGGATCCCGGGCATTCCGAGTCAATATTTCCAGCCGCCGTCAACGTTTGACCGAAGCGTAGAAAGCATCTCGTCTCCGTCGGCGAACGGAAGCAGCAAGCAAAGTTCAATGTCATCCATGTCAACAAACTCGATCACAGATGCCACTCGACAGGCGCTGCTGTTTAGCCTGTCGAACTCCACAGGCTACGGTCACACATCTCGTCAGTACTCGCAGTCTTCGGTCCACTCGCCGATATCACCTGCTTTTGGTTCGCAGGCAATTCAAGGTGCAACGAGTCTACCAAGTACACGAGACTTGCAGCGATATGTCAGCGCCTACATCCACTACTTCCATCCGCACATGCCGTTCCTGCACATCCCCACCCTGACTTTTAACACTCCGGTATTCACGACGAACATGCGTTCGAGCCACAATCCCAAGGACGGCGTGGCTGGCGGGGGCGGATGTCTCATCCTTGCGATGGCTGCTATCGGCGCGTTGTACGAGTTCGAGCACAATGTTGCAAGGGAACTCTTCGAGGCTTCGAAGCGCATGATCAAACTGTATCTAGACGAGCGTTGCATTGGAATGAAGACGAGCAGTACACAGCAACGCACGCCTACCTGGCTTGTCCAGGCCATGCTCCTCAATCTCATCTACGGTCATCAATGTGGTGACAAGATGGCTGCCGAGAGTGCCACAATACAATGTGCCGCGCTCGTCGGCCTAGCGAAAACGGCGGAGCTCGACAAGCCCGACCCGGACATCGCCATGGACGAAGAGCGAGCCTACAACATGCGCAACGCGTCCTTTGACACCGACATGAACGATGAAGGACTGTCTCCCACTTCTTGGAACAGGGTCAAGCCTTCCGAGTCGAGGGAGGAGTTTGCGGAGTGGTTCAGATGGAAGTCTCAAGAAGAACGCAAACGCACGCTTTATTCCGTGTTTGTCCTCTCCAGCCTTCTGGTCACGGCATACAATCAGCAACCACGCATTCTGAATTCCGAGCTGCACCTCGATCTGCCATGTGAAGAAGACCTTTGGGCCGCCGATTCCGTGCATGCTTGGCAAGCCTGCGGCGGCCACGAGGGTGCTGATGCCAGCCGCGTAACGTTCGCAGATGCGCTCACATATCTACTAACGGCTAGTCAAAGACAGCCATCCGATCGCAAGCGTTCAATTGCACATCAGCCGTTCGGCTCATCCATGCCGTTGGATGACATTCCAGAGAGCGACCTGAAGCCGAGTACCTTTGGCTGCTATGTTCTCATCAATGCTTTGCACGTTTACATATGGGAAACGAGGCAGCGTCACAGCGGACGTCAGTGGAAGCCGCACGAGACTGCGCAGATGCACGCACAGATTGAACCTGCACTTCGTGCCTGGCAAGCCGCGTGGAAGGCCAACCCGAACCACAACCTTGACAGACCGAACCCGTACGGACCTCTCCCTGCAGACAGCATCCCCCTTCTTGATCTTGCCTATGTTCGCCTCTTTGTCAATCTTGGTAGGTCCAAGGAAGCTTTCTGGCAGAGGGATTTTGAGGCTATGGCGAAGGAGTTGGGTGAGGGTAGCGAAATTATTCAGAACGCGGACCATTCGCGAGGCGTATCAACAGAGCCTACCAACTCCATCAAGCCGGAGTCGAATGTGGATTCGCCGCACAACTCCCCGCAGCATCTCGGATCGCCTTCGGACGGAGTCGTTGATGCGTCAGGCGACATCACTGGTGTCTTGTCAAACAACTCCAGAGTACCGGGCCAGTCGACGAAGAGGGAGCGTCACCTTCGCAAGGCTGCGTTTTACGCAGCCGACTCTCTTGCCATGGCCGACAAACTAGGCGTCACTTTTGCAGACTTCACCTCCCGCGAGCTGCCGATCCAGTCTGCCATGTGCACATTCGATTGTGCACAAGTGCTCGCCGAGTGGGTTGCTACGGTCCAAGACCGTGTTGGACGCTTCCTTGGCATCATCGGCCGCGACGATATCGACTACTCTCAAGTGCCAGCCATCATGCTCCTCGAAGAGGAAGACGTCAAGCTTATTCGCAAGATCAATGAGATCCTAAACCATGCGGAGGTCAAGATCGCTTTCGATGCCGCATCCCTTGGCACCTCACCTGAGACGATGCTGGGCTCTCTCGCGTCCGTAAAAGACTGCGGAGATGCCAGCAAGATCCTACTGATGACCAGCTACATGCTCAACAAAGCTGCCGTCTGGGGGAGTACGTATTCACAGACTTGCGACCATATTATTCACGTTCAAATGGCTAACCCAGTTGCTAGTCACCAAAGTCATGTCTCAAGCAATGCATGTTCACGCTGAAGTGCTTAAGCGTCGCGCTGAAGCCTCGCTAGAGGCATGATCAGCCCTAAAAGCCCATCCACGAGGTTATCGTCAAGCCTTCGAGTCTCCAAGGAGCCCAATCTTGGGTCGGATCCTGAACATCCTGTTATTCAGTCGAAATCTGCTGTGCATTCATCTTCGAAGCAACCCGTCAACGGCCATCTACATGTTCGGCTTTCTTTACAATTTGTCCCTTTGGAGTTTCGTGACTTTGTCTGCCATAGCTCAATCCGGAACTCGCTTCGCCAGCACCAATCATTACCATCAAATGGATCCGCCGATCCTCGTCATCTGCCACACGATCTTCACTTCGCTTGAGTCATTACCCGGCAATAGACGGGGTTGGAATTGGCTCCTCCCCCCCCCCCCCCCCCCTTTAGCGATTTGCGAGCAGCGACTCGCTGATCCTGCAATGAAATCAACTGTTTTGTCATGACTTGGTAACTTAATTTGAAGTTACCGTCCTGTTACGAAACCAACGAACGGCGCATTTCCTGCGCTACATTTGCATGAATCCTCTACGTCTTAACAGCTGGTTCGAAAAGATGATACCCAAATTATCTCCAGCCCAATGATTGACACTTTGCACGAGGCGTTTTCGGATGAGCAGACCTTTTGCTTTACTTCGACCAAACTGCCTACGAAAAACGCGGGCAGATAATTTTTTTTCTTTACGGAAAAAAGAAAAATCTTGTTCTTCAATCGTCCCCACACACCCCGTTGTATTGAAGATCGGAAGGCAAACCAAGTCCACCTTTCATTAGCAGCACGCTGACTTGTGCGCGTCCTCACCCCTCGTACATAAATTTGTTCATAGCTTGAATTGCTGGGAAGGGTTTGACGAAAGGATAAGGGAAAGGACAAAATAATACCTCGACGGCCTCTCGGGGCGCCTGGCACGCGTACATACACCAATACCTTTTCCCGTCATGACTTTTGGCAACGTGCGACGACGGTTGATTATTCGGTTGGGGCGGTAAACGCCGGACGCGGAAATTTGGGGAAAAGTCATTATTCGATTGTAAATATTAAACTCTTCGTGACCGCTGCTGCTGTGCCTCGGGTTCGACAGAGGGTTTTTATCCGCGGATTGGCGGCAGCTCTTTGGGAAATGCCAATAATGAGGACGCAATGATCTCTTGATGCTGGGTCTCAGCCTAAGTTACACTTGTCAATGCATGGTGATGCGTGATTAGGGACACAAGCCTCTTTTTGCCACCCTGGCCAAGGTAATAGTAGAGACATCTGAGCACTTGTGTAGGTACCATGTCCTCGTCTTTTTTACGTCTTATCACACGGACGGACAGAGCACTGTTATCCCAAAAACGCAAAGGGGTGATTCTGGACCGTAAGGGACGTATGTCGTCGACACCGATCCCGCCCCCCCCTTCGGCTTCCTCATTGAGTCAAATAAGGCAAGTCTGCGAGCGCGGACGATAACTTGTACCTCTTTGGTAATGATCGCTCTCGGGTTGCCGGGCTTCTAAATCTGCCCTCGTACAAGTCCTGGATTTTCATCCGCGTTCTCGGCCGTCCTGGCCGGACTATGGCGAGCCCCGCCTCTACGCAGTCTCTTCTCACCGTGACCTTCTGGGGGGAGGCCTCGCCAAATGCATTCCCAGGTTTCCTAGCGGTCGCGACCAAGGTGGTACCAGTCAGTTTGCGTTTGTCCGCGTTGGATTAATCGTAGAACTCTCCCCTTCGGTTGAAAAAAGGACGCACATTTGGGGAGAGGCTGGAAATAAGGTTATAAAAGAAATGGCGGGAAAGAACAAGGAAAAGAAAAAAGAAAAGGAGTTGGGTTCTTTGGTATATCATGAATTGCCGTCCAATGGGACGGACTATCGGAAACGGCGTTGACGGTTAACCGGTGAATAAGTAAAAGTTAATGTGACGGGTAGCCTCTGTGAATGAATCAACAACACTCAGTACGATATGTGTGGGGAGGAATATAGAGTCTTATGTCTACATATGAAGAAGAAAATGTGGTTGGATCGTTCTTTGCGATGTCATGGCTGATCGCTTAGGCGTAGACGAGTAGGCGGGAACAACCTTACTCCGGACTGACATTCGTGATATAGACAATCTTATTTTCCCTCCTATCAACTTTCGGTTTGTTTGCGTTCAGAGAAAAGTGTGTGTATATGCTTTTCAAAAATGCCTAACTGAGGAGGAAGTGCCTGACATCTTGAATTTTTTTTTTTCACAACATTTAATTCCGGCATAAACTGGGGAATAGCGTCTCCCACAGCGTGTGTATTTGTGAGTTAGATGATTGAAAAACCTCTGCCTCTGAGTCAAAACCCTTGAAATCTGAAATGGTTTGACCGAATGAAGTTGCTTCGGCTACGAGAACTGGTTGTCGTTGCCATAATGCTCCGTCACTTGTGGCAGACAGCCTTCACACGTCTGAACGTATATATGATTTGGATTGGTTGTGAAGTCAGCAAAGTACGCAGCTCGGATGATAAGATTTATGCATGGAGTGTAAGGAACATGACAGTCTACGCTTTCCTAGGCCTTGGACAAGTGATCAACAAATATCCACCGGCAAAGGGATGGTTATAAATTTGGCTTAAAGACTACAAAATTCTCCCGGACAGCATTGACACAGCCGTGTTTGCAGAAGGTATGCCCCGAGACCACAAATTTGTAACGATAGATTTGATTCAGGGCCCTTCAGAAGTAGAGACGGATGGTCGGTTTGTTGGAAGGGATAATTGGTAGCGATTATGTATTCTTAAGTTCTGCCACAGCAAAGTAGCCTTTATTCTCCACGACGCCTCTATTCTTCACCACAGCTGTGTACTTGACCACCCACTGCGGCTCAATATCGCCTTTCAAGCCGTCGGTAGCAACGGCTAAATTCTCGGATCCTGCAGCCAGCACACCGACGCCGTTCTCGACGGGCCCCAAAAGTTCCCTCAGTGTTCCCTGAGGTAGGATATTCGTGCAATCGCTGTGGGTAAGCAGCTCTATGCCCTCTTTCTTGGCGAACAAGATCAGTGGCTTTGGCACCACACAGCAATCGCGTACGTTGATCTGATCTACGGTCGGCCTTACCTTTGCCTCCGCCAGTATACGGGTTAGGCGTCCTGTGCCAAATTCTGCAAGGCCCAGCTTGTCTACTATGCCCTTCTCGTGCAGACCCTCTATTGTGCGCCAGGTCTGCAGCATGGTTGCAATGTCCTCCGGCGCGTTGGGATCGCCGGACGAAGCGTCCGAAAACTCGTCTTCTTCCGACTCGTCTTCGGCATCAAATACTATGTTGGGAAACGAGACGATGAGCAGGTCTATGCTGTCCACCTTGAGCTCTTTCAGCACGAGGTCGACGGCCTCCTTCGTGTGAGCACATCTTCTCGAAGGCGGAACGTTGGGCAGGTAGAACAGTTTGACGGTGATGTCGTACGACGCACGCTCTTCCGCCAAGCCCTGGTTGGAAGCATCTATCGAAGGTATGTACAGGATGTCGCCATCTTGCGTGGTCCACAGCTTGTAAGACACGTCTTGACCCTCGCCCGTCGACGCAGCGTCGCGTGCCGACCTGAAGTTCGATCGCAATGACGTCGTCAGCTCCGTGTCCGACCTCCCTGATGGTCTCAGTATTGAGCCGTCGCCGGTAATGATGTTGCTGCAAGATCGTTGTAAGCTTCAACCAAGCATTACTAAGAACATCCTTACGAGGTGGAGAGGACGAGCTTCATGGTCGACGGCTGGGTCGCCGTTCTTTTAAGAGCTCCTCCCAACGGGGGATTTGGCGAGTATGAGCGCTTCATTATATGTGTCTGGCAGGACCTATACTACCTCGAGAATGGCATTGCTGTGTTACGGGCGTTTGTTCTTTGGAGGGGTTATCTCGGTGGTAACAGGTGGGCTTCACCATGGTGGATCTGCGCTTTGATCTCTCTTTGCGCCGGGGGTGGGAAAATTCCGCACCGCACACGATCTTCCTCCTTCCAGCCTCTTTGTTGCCTGCAACGAAAAACCCTCCACGCAAGTGACACCATGGCAATACGGTAAGATGTACTTTTCATGTCGCGACGTGGTGTGTTGCTGAACACAGTAGATACCTAATCCTACTCTCCCGGCAGGGTAAAGTGGTGAGTCTCCACGCCTGCCACGTTCGCCGTCTGTCGTCTGACCGCTCCTCTCACAGCGTCTGGCTAAATGGTTCTCAACTCTCTCTCCAAAGGACAAGGCAAAGATCGTCAAGGATGTATCGCAGCTCGTGCTAGCCCGTCGCACGCGGATGTGCAACTTCATTGAGTACAAAGGTTCATTGTCCCATTCTTACCACCTCGTCTTTCTGTCTTGTGTTCTAACACCCGAGCCTTTCAGACACCAAGATTGTGTATCGCCGTTACGCGTCGCTCTATTTCATCGCCGGTATAGAGTCGACGGATAACGAACTCATCACGCTTGAGATCGTCCATCGCTTTGTGGAACAGATGGACAAGTACTACGGCAACGTCTGCGAGCTTGACATCATCTTCAACTTCCAGAAAGCCTATTTCATCCTTGACGAGCTTCTTCTTGCTGGTGAGATGCAGGAGAGCAGCAAGAAGAATGTGCTACGCTGTATAGGGCAGCAAGACAGCCTTGAAGACATGGAGGTAAGCTGCCTGCCCCTCAAACTTAAGTCTACCCCTCCAACCATATACTCTTCGCGTTGGTCGTCCTGATGCTGATTCTGTGTGCTTGCTTCGACAGGCCGAAGACGACGGTGTCACAAGGATCGGCTAGATGGACAATCGAGGATGACTTCAATCTCTTTCGTCGTTCAGGCTTTCGCTTCGTCCCCTCCACACTCCGGCTGATTATCGTCACTTGCAGGCCGAGGAAGACATTGCACACAAGCTGCGAGTTTCGGGCCTGATATGAAGTTCGGCCTTCCTGACAGTACGTACTGTCACAAACGTCAGCCTGCACCTGGTGGATGCAAATGAGCTGCCGCGCGGCGCAGAAGGACGACCAAGATGGACTTGGAGGGACAGGCATGCTACAAACCTGGTTTAGTTCAAACTACCAAAAGCGATGAGATACCCCAGCATGCTAACGACGTAATGAAAATGGTTGGAGTGCCTCTGCCACAGGTGGAGATGAGCCGTTCATTCGGACGTATACACTCTATTGTACACATAGGCAGGAATCTAGTACCAGCAATGGGAAGCATTCAAATTAAACATTTTCCGAATCTAGTACCAGAGATGGGAAGCATTCGCCGTCTTGATCATCTTGACGGGTTTTCTCTTTACGACGTTTCCTCAAGTGAAATCATCTTCTTCTGACTTGTCGTCGAAGGCTAAACGTCACAGAAATACCCGTCGAGCCACGAACGTTACCCTCTGTCGAAGAGTACAAGGCAGGATCGCCAGCTGACACTCAAGCCCAAGGAATAGAGGACAGTTTTCACAAGCACGTCCATGAAGCATCACGCTCTCGTCTTCGCGCAGCATTCGAAGGAATCGCGTGTCCACTAAATCCCATTCCGATTTCTCCCATGCGGGTTTGGGCTCAAGCTTCGACCAAAACCCCACCAGATGCGTCCGATTAGCCACGTTGTTCGACACACCACCGCTTGTGGCAGGCAATCAATCTAACGTGACATAAACTATCAGCCAGACCACTTTTCATGCCAGACTCGTCAGCGACAAATCAAAGTTCAATGCCTGAGCTTGTGCCTCTGACCTGATCACCAGAACCACCTTAATGCGGAAAGTGGAGTTTGTCACGTCACGTGCACATGTGCCAAGACCTCGCATCTCCAACCTGCTGAAGGCGGAGCAACAACGTCAGCCGGATCGCTACCGGCAACGCCAACGACTTTGCAACCTCGGAGACATGCATCTCGCTCGCGGCTCTCTCACTTGCTAGACAACGTGTCTGGCACATCGAGCACAGAAGCCTGAGACTGCAGGTACCTTCGCAAAACCGACGCATCAGACCACCCAAACACCCCGAGCTTTGCCTCGTGCCGCGCGTACCTTCCTTCGCTCGCGAACTCAGGATCCCTATCGCAAATAGCTGCAAGACGCATAGGCTCTCGAGTGTTGTAGCTTTTGGCGGCGTGTCGTGTCTGAGAGGTTCATTCACGTTCAGTCGGAAACGCCCCAGCGATACGCGGTGAGAAGAAACTAGGCAGCTAAACCGCTCTTAAAGTGAACATATTTGCACGGCGCGTGTTTAAATAGTCCCTGCTTCGCATTTAAAGATGAAGGTTAGTATATTTGATGTTACCTTTGACCGTTCGGGCATGCTTTTTGTTCAATTGTGCTGACCTGTCTTAGTACATCCCGCTACCAAAATTCGATCTGATCGATGCTGCCCTCAATTTCCATCGCGATGGACTCGATATCGAGGGCAGCTGCGACATCTTCACGATCAAAATGACGAAAGCAGATAAGAAGCTCAAACGCAAAATAGACGACCAGATTGAGCACGAGCACCAGCAGACGCTGCAGATGGCCGCATCGCTATCGCCTCCGGACGCAGCACGTTTCGCAAAGTCTGCAAATCTGACCCAAGCATCGACGTTCGGCAACCTGATCCAGCCGTCGAACAGACGAACATACGCATATCTGATTGGCACGCTAAACGCGAGCCATCCGGACTACGATCTATCAAATGTGCTACGACCGCAGGATTTTTGCCGAGAACGTGACGTTCAGGATGCCATCAACGAAATTGATGCAAAGGTGCTTGGTCAAGACAAGTATTACTGGCAAACTGGCGTTGTGTCGTCGAAGTCAAGAACGCAGTGGGGCTACGACAAATGGCTTATGATCGATGAGGAGATGGACTTGCGTGACTGCGAGGTATATAACTTCTGCCCTGCCGAAAACCCTTTTGACGGCGATGGCATCCCGATTTGGAGCCTACACTACTTTTTTTTCAACCGCGCCAAAAAACGGGTGTGCTATCTGCAGGTCCGCGCCATCGACCCGTCGTACAACCAGTACTACGACGATGATGACGAGGCTGACTATGGAGTCTATCAAATGGACAGTGAGGAGGAAGATACGGCAACTGAGAGCGAGAGCACCAACTCGAAGCGTGCACGCTCGAACACGGATCTTGGGGCATCGAAACGGGCGAGATACTGGCTCGGCGACCGCTACCTTGGACGGAGCTCGACATCTGAGGACGAGCGGCCACAAGTTGATCTGGATCAGATACGGGCTCTTGTTGAGTACAGGCGAAAGCATCCCGAAGAGTTTCCAGAGATACTGGATGAGGAAGAGGAAGACACGACCGACCGGACGACAAGTGCCAGCCCTACGCCAGCGAGCAGTGGCGAGGACAGCGACGCACCAGGTGGCAAAAAGACGCCCAAGTCACCATTTAAGAAGGCCATGAAAGGTAGCGACGCTAGGGCCATGTCGGCGGATCTGTCTGGGTCCTTCGATCCTTGAGCTGGCACTCCTCCTGAGCGTAGCACATTGAAACAATCGTGCTACGGATGGGCGGACATGCGTGAAGGGTGTCTAGACTCGACGTGCATCTTAGTTTCTATTTTTGAAGCTCACTTTTGAAGTCACAGACGTCGGCTTGTTCGAAACGATCGTCTGAGCTCAATTTGAGATAGTCGAACAGGCTTTGAGCTTCAACGCTGGAGATCAAGTGAACAAAATGAAGCGCCGAGGCACGAGACAAATACAATGGTTGATGAGGTGCTTTGGCTTTGGGTGCCGAATGTTTGCACAATGACGACCAGCGGACCGTTTCGAATCAATGTTTTGGCCGACATCGTTTTATGGAGCTATGATTATGTTGTTATTTCTACGGGCGTTTATTCTTCTCGGGAAGGAAGGGCGGGTATCTCTGCAGCTTTACGATACCAGGGTTTGAGCGTCTGTGTTTTTAACAGCGGACTGGTACAGGCGTCGAGGCGGGCTTTAAGTGGTAGCCTGGGAGGGCTGGACCTGCTTCAGCGCTTGGTCTGCTTCTGCTTTTGTAGTATACGTACGAAATTTGCTGGGCTCCGGCCCCGGATGGTAATGAAAACCCAGATCTTTCATTTTTTTTGTTCAGAGAACCAATGCCTTTGAAGTGCGTGCTCGCTGATACGGGCTTGGAACGTTGCTGCACGTGACAGGAGAGAGTCTTACGCTGATACCTTGCGTGGCTTGTGGATGCCTAGCACAGGCACCTTCTGCACCAAGGATCTTTTGACTGCAGTGCATCCGAAATTCTGAAATAATAACGAAGAAAAGAAAAAGATTTTCATTGTGATCCAGCTATTATCCCTGACTGAACAGCGCTTGGATGTAAAATCGGCTCAAGCCGCTATACATCGAGCTGTGGCGTTCATTCCTAAACCGATGCTGTGGCTGGTTTCCATTAGTCATTCAGCACAGCACCACACCTCTAGACCTTTATGGAATTGAAAATGTGTCTCTCTTCACATCATCAGCATTCGAACCTCTGGTCTCTTCCGCGGATTTGACTCATCTTATTTCTTCGTCGTCGAGGCCGATACAGCACGCCGTAACAGATTTTCGGTTCTTGCTAATTATATTCATCTCTTCTTTTTCGCCCGAGGCTTGGTCGTCTACTACGCTGTAAGACCAACAGATTTCACAGGTCTTTATCACCATAGTCGGTGGGCGCGATTAGCTAGGCTACGCTGCCGCTCTGGCATGTCATTCATACCTGGACTAGGAGGGCTTAACGGTACAGCAAACGGTTCGATGGAAGCTGACCCAGGACTCTTCGTTCAGCAGTTGCTAGACCAGGTGCAGCACAACAGCACTACCCCAGTTTCGCGCACTCCAGTTCAAACCCAGCCGCCGCCCGCTACGGTAACGCCCATAAAGCAAGAGTCGGATGTGTCGGAGCCTACACCAGCCGAGGCTTTGCAGCCTCCTCAGGCCCTCGCTCAGAGTGGAATCGGTATACCCTCGCCGGCAGACAGCACTGCCGTGGATGTGCCGCAATGTCTGATATTTGGTGGGGAGACGGGCGAAGACGAATTTCTGATACCTGGTAGATGTTTACAGAAGCTGCCGCAGGACGTTCTTCTTAACTTGCTGAAAGACGGCGAGCGAATGGGTTCCGTTCACCGTCTTGGCAGCACGCCTCATTGGGAGTCTATGGTTCGTCTGAACCAATACTTAGACCATGGAGACTACAAGCCTTTCAAACCCTCGATACCTGTGGAATATCTAGATGCGAATGGCAACGCCCATATATGGAACAATAGGGATAGTCCCAACGCCGTCGAGATACCGCGTGCCACTCTCGACCTTTTCCTGAGAGAAATCGACCTCTATCTATTTGCAGCTAAGCTGGGATATACCGAGCTGCGCAAGACCTGTGCTGAACGATTATGCAGTCGCTATCCAAAATCTACTGAGAGTATCATGGCTTTGGTGGAGAAGGCGGGTCCTATAGCCGTGCAGAATGAAGATCGTGGCCTCATAGCAAAGATCATTGCGTACATCAACACGAACTGCCGAGAGTTGACCGCAATGCCTCAATTCTTGACACTGCTCCGTAAATTAACGCGTGGAAAACCACCGCTAGGCTCAGCCTTGCTCGAAGCATACTTCAGTGCTAGTGAGGCACTCCGACGCGAGGTGATGTCCAAGGGCCTCGCTCGCTCAGCTGCTGCAGAGGTCGATTCAAATATGACATCGGCCCCGAGCTCTAAAATAAATGCACCAATAGGGCCAATTACTCGCCCATTACCTTCGGCGCCGGCAAGTCATTTGGCGCGATATTTCAACTCCCCCTTCTCTGCGTTGGAGATATCAAACCTGGTAGATGCACTTAACAAGCAATGTCTCGTGGTTGCGAACGATAACGGATATGGCACACTGGTGCGCGAGAATAGTCGTAAGGTGCGCAATACAGACTTCAAGTTCCAAAAGGGCGAGCTCTTGGTCGCTGATCGGGAGGCGCACACGGCTAATGGGCGGCATAATATGCTCGTCATGAATTCGAGAGGAGAAGTTGGCGACATTCTACGCACACTTGTCAAGAAGGTTCCCTTAGGACTTGGTGTGCTCGCTCCAGGTAAGGGCTGCACCTGTCGTGTTTCGCTTCCTGGGTCTTCGTTGCTGGCGTTTGATGTTAATCGCTCTGCATTCGGGCGTCTCTGCTGCTTTTCCGCACATGATCCCACCGATACTGCATCGCGGCGTCGTCGCTGTGTAAGGATGAAAACGGAAGGCATCCACTACTCGCGCAGACAAATCTCACCCGCATACCAAAGCACATTCCCAAGACTTGTGACGCGGGCCAGAACTAACATCTTCTAGAGCATGCAGTCAACGATGGAAAGATTGCCCCATCTAGATTTCCTGACCGAGAAGAGCGAATCTATAACCCGATTCCCGCCCCACCTCATCGTGGACGCTCCCGTTCTCCGCCGCCTGTTCGCAGTCATCACAGTTCAACGTGGAGAAGTGGTCTTCGTTAATTATATTTATACGTATAATAGTCGGTCTCCCGTTGAGACGGCCATGGTTCAACGTGAATGCCGCATGCATTCCACTCTTGCATTTTGTTTTCGCAGATAATTGTTGTCTATCCTCTCCATTCACCTGAGTTTTTTTTTATCACACCCAAGGATTACCAGCGTTCTCTTTCGTTAATCCGCGGAGAACGCCTAAGCATAAGATCGGAACTACTTTACATTCTACAAAGTACTGGCCTTAGAGTCCGTTATTTGTCCCCTTCTCTGCCGGGACCGATGCAAGGCGGGGAATGAGGGACTGACGAGATGGACGCAGACTCATCTCGCATTCCGTATCTGACGTTCAAGCGATGCAAACATTTTAATCAACGTTTGGATCATGAAACAATACAGCTGCTAATCAAGAAACATGGCAACGCGAAACCATTGCCAAGGAGAGTCTGGTGCGCTCTGCTTACATGCGACCTATCTTGTTTTTCTTTCTTACCGAGAACATGAGATGGTTGTCACTTTGCAGAGCGGTAGCAAAAGGATTCCTACCTGGCAGCTGAGGTGTCCGACTGCTATGTAGACACGCCAGCGACACATACGTCACGAGCATTGGTGCAACGAACTGACAGGCAGGCAGGTGCGGAAAGAACCGGGGCCTGGTTCTCCTCATTGTTCGATGAAGATAAACGCGGGAGATGGAATTTCACAGGTGGTAGACCCTTGTGGGAGGCAAGTGTCGATCATCGGGTCAAGAAAGAGGAAGGTCAATCAATGACATGTGTGTGTTTTGAAGTGGCTCGTGGTCGCCCGACGTGTGAGATTGCCGCACATGGGACTCCATCCTGCGATCATGCTTTTCCGTTATAATTTTCTTGATCCTTAAATTTTCCATTTTTCTGTGCGCTTCGTCTCTACTCTTTCTCCACCTGGTTCTTTCGTTTCTGCGCAGCAAAGGGTCTATGTCTTTGTCGTAGCTGAGCACGTGTACAGACAGGGCAGTGTGTGTGTGTGTGTTTTGATTCCACGCTTGTCTCTCACGATTGATGACACGCTATTTATAGCGTTGACGAACTTGAATGACGCCTTTTGGCATACGATTATTTTTGAGTTTTCTTTTCCACCACGAGCCTTTCTAGAAGGCATCGTGTGATTTTTCAAACACGGCTGAACGCTGCCAGGAATTTGCGCGGCAAGAAACATGACTGTGTTTTCACCTCTCCATCGCCAGAGCTAAAGTAGCAGTGACAGGGGGAACTCTTTTTCTTTTCCTGCTTCCTGTACCGTCTCCGTTCATTGTTCTGAAAGTGGAGTAAAACAAATATGAAGAGGGAGAGAGAGAGAGAGAGAGAGAGAGAGAGAGAGAGAGAGAGAGAGAGAAAGAGAGAAGAGTAAGGTCCTTTTTTCTTGGGGAGGCTGAGGGTCAGAATGCGATCAGCATCCTCTCGGCTATGGGAGGAAAGAAAAAAAAATAGAGGTCGACGAGCAAGTAAGATGAGTGACCGATCAAGCCCGGGTCAGAGAAAGGACGATGGGATTCGTGCGAGGAGGCGTGCGCGATGGCTTTCTGGGTCACCGAACGCGCTCCATGCAGGTAATTAATTGAATGAAATCTTAACGAGGGCGAGTTTTGTCTTTTGGGACATTTCTTTTTCTTTTTCGAGGTTATTTATTTATTCATTTTTTTGGGATTGGAGTTTTATTTTATTTTATTTTATTTTTTTTTTTAATTTTCTTTCGAACTCTTTTCTTGGTTTGGTGTCTTCTTTTTCATATGCGATTCTTTCCTAGGAGCGAGAGAGAGAGAGGAGATGCAGGGAGGGCCAAGGGCAGGGACAGGATCGAATCGAGATGATCCACAGGGTTGAAACGACGCTGGCACGCAGCCAAGCAGCAGAAGTAGTCCTAGTCGTATAGTGGCAAGTACCACGGTAGTTTCCCATTGTTTTCCTCCCTCCGCTTTCGTTCTCAATTCTGCGCATTTTGGCAGCGCGAAACCGGCCGCGACGAGCTCGGACGCCGTGGCTTGTTTCTTATTTCCTGTTCGTTCGTTGGCGGAGGGGTCCCCTTTTTTTTTTATTCTCTTTTGTCGTCGTCGTCGATCCACTCGTCAACCCGTTGGGACGAGCGTCTTTTTGGGTTTGTTGGCTAAGCGGGCCTGGCTAATATGGAGACAGGGATTTGCTGGCGTTGCCTGGTGCGCTTCGGGGCTACATTCTGGACGGGGTGGGAGTGTTTCGCTGTCAAACTTGCTCTGTATGTACATGGCTGCTCATCACCAATCCCCGAAACGAGTCACCAGCGCTGCGCCATTGGTGAGAAGCGCGAACGTTTGGCGGCCGGGAGAAGAACGTGACTGGCGAGAAGGCGTGGGTATTCGAGAGGAAAGGAAGAGGGGGGGGAAAAAAATAGAAACGGCGCTCAATCTACTCCGTACTGGGCGCCAATGGAGTGCAGCATTCCCGTCTCATTCGGTGATGCCCCTCCGCCGCTAGCGTAGATCGGGTTGACCTCGTTCATCCTCTCGTCTTGCGTGATGTGTCCGTTCCCGTTCCCACCGCTCCTCGTCCTCGTCCTCGTCCTCGTCCCCGTCCCGTTCATCACATGACTGCCGCAGGTGGAACGGACGCCAACGGCGGCGGGAGGGATCCCGTGGCGGGAAAGCGGCGCAAGAACAAAGAATGGCGTGTCCGAACTATAGGACGATTTATTGAGACCCGCGGGAAAAGATGAGCAGCAGCTCGGGACAATATGAGCGGTCTTGGCGAGGCGCGTCGAGGTTCTGGCTCGCGTGGCCAATTCTCGTTTCTGGCTTGCAGCCGTTTTGCCGCGTGCTCTTCCTCTGTCTCCCGGCCGTGGTTCGACCCTCTTTCGCGATTGCATTTGTACGTTGTATACCGCTCTCTCCTCTTAGACGACAGGGAACGAGCCGGGCAGACGCTTGCAGTCGGTCTGCCCTGCACGAGGCAGGACGTTGGGGGAGCGGGAGCGCGACAGAGAGCGAGAGATGGGCCGGTCGCGTGTCTGGCTGGGATGGGTGTTGGACGCCTTTGATTGGACGCGAGACAGGAACGGCCGAGCGGGTGGGCAGACGAGTGGACGGCGAGATGCGCATAGCCGCTGGCGCTGCTGCAGGACGGCCAGCACATGCACCGCCAGCGCAGTCATACTGGTCGTGAAGGCTTCGCTCGCGCAGCGGGCTGCCTCTGGCTGCTCTTGCTGGTGCTTTTCGATTGCTCGCCAGGTCGGCCTATCCGCCGCGCTGCAGTCCTGTCGCGAGCGGCGACGGGGCACCGTTCCTGGGCGCTGGTTGCCGGTCATGCATCCTCGCCATCGTCATCGCCCGCTGCTGGGCCTCGCAACTGGCCGCCTCCCGCAATCGGCGTGGTTGTGACACATGTCGCGTGCGTGCCGGGCGCTTGTTTCCACGCCAGCAGAAACGGCCAGGAAATGAGCAAAAGGCGCTTTTGGGAAGCGGAGCGCGGCGTCACATCAGGACAGTGGGCAAAAAAAAAAGGACGTGTGCGCATGGAGCCCGATGCGTGTATGCAGCAGGTTGACACCCGGACGGCCGCCGCACACACGCACAGCACTGCTGCTACAGCTCGGGCAAACGAGAATTTCACGCCGTGTCAAAACAAGATGGCCTGGCATGTCCGAGAAGGGTCAGAGGGGTTGAGATGATGATGGATAAAGAAGTGGATACGCGTTCGACCCAGGGTGGACGCGACAGAAAACCGTCGCTCATTTTTTTCTTCTTCGATCGTTTCTCGCGTGGTTTGATGAAGGTGCAGCCAGCTATTTAGGGGATCAGGGTTAGGGGGGGGGAGCGCCCTGTAGGGAGCGTGTAGGGGGGGAAGATCGCAGTCGAAGGACCAGTATTTGGCAGGGAGCGCGGGAGCAGGACAGGGGGACCGGGCCCAAGTGTGCCGCACTAGTGCCGGACAGGACCTAGCGGGGTCTAGCGAGTGCTTAGCGCAGGCCTGGCTGGCGGCGGCGGCGGCGTCAGGCGTGCGAATCAAACGGTCCACGACACGCCCCAAACCCATTCTGACGCCCCCTTCTGGCTCCTCGCCCCTTGCCCCCCCCGCCGAATGCGCCCTGTGGTTTGGGGCCTATCCGCCCCCCTTCACTGGGCTGTCCTCCACTCACGCTTCACACGTTTCTCGCACCGCCCCAGCACCTCGCCCCTGGCCAATCACGGCCCCGTCCACTGGGTCGCCCGTTCAGCAAATCAGCGCCGCTGGCTCTGCCCTCGGCCCTCTGGTGCGCCCGCACTACTGCCGCTGCTGCTGCGGGTGCTGGTGCTGGCGCTGCGTCTTCGCGGCCGACTCCTGCTACCGCGAGTACTACTACTGACATCGCCGCTACTCTTGTCCTTCCAGTCCCAAACCCCCCCCCCAGTTCCTCGTCCTTGTCCTCCGCCCTATCACCACCCGCTGCTGCTCTTCTTCCTCATCGTCATCCCATCTCTCCTCCTCCTCCTCCTCCTTCCACCGCTCTTCCCTCTTCTTGTCTCGTCCTCTTTCAGCCAAACCCGTCTTTCCTTTACCCGCCCGCGTTTCGTCGCGCAGCCGGCCAGCAAACGCTTCCTCCGTTCGCCCTCGTGCAGCCAGTGTTACCACTGCCTTTTTTGTTTTGGACCCGCCCATCCGCCATCCGTACTGCTACTGCTGCCCTCGCATTCTTCTAATAGCCTTCTTGACCGTCGCTCCTCGCGCCGACGGCAAACCGGCCCTTTTTTTCGTTCTACAGTTCGACGTCGCCTGTCGCCTGCTCCCGACGACGAGTGGCCCGCCCTCTCTCCCCCGTCAAGCGACCTGCCAGCGACACGACCTTTTGCTCCTGCAGACCCTCCATCAGACGGCTTGAGGCCTTCTGCGACCGAGACATCATCGACCGACGAAAAGAGATCACACTCCAGTCGAAACGCTTGCACCGCCGCTTTCCTGCCGCCGTCCCCCGACGCATTTGGCCATCCTCGGCAGAGAAGAGAAGGACGCGCGCTCACCAAGTTTTTTATTCCCTTTCGCGCCTATAGACTTGCTTTGGGAAGGATCCCGTGCTTCATCCATCTACCTATCCGTTGTCGGCTTTTTTATTCTAGCCGCCTCCGTCTTCCGTTGCCCGTAAACATACATTTCGCCTATTTTTTTTTGGTTATTTTGGTCGCCGGATCGAGCTTCCCAGACCATCTTTGACTGCTGACCCGCTGGACCCGTCGTCTGGTTTCGATCTGGGGCACCCTCTGTGCTCACCCTTACGACACGTTTCCAACAAAAGAACGGTGAACAGACGAACGGACGCTGCTCACTTCCATCAAAGGCGACGGTCTCTGCCCGTTTTCTCGCTACGATCGAATCGTTCCGGAACAGTCTGCTTGCGGTCTTGTGACCTTTGCTTCCCATCACCGCGACTCCGTTACTGCTGGTAAAATCACCACGCTCGGCTCAATTCTTGCCAGCTGCCCTGAGTCAACCATCACTCTCTATCCTGCGATCGAGAACTTTTATTGCTCACGAACACTCTCCCGAGAATTTGAAGCGAGCCTAATCCACTAATTTAGTTTTCCCTTTTTGCTTCCTTCGGAACCGACCTTGTCCATCTGCGAGGCTTCTCCACGCGCGCCGCTGAGCCTCTCGCGTTTCACGATCATTGCACTCGCATTGCGGTCGTCGTGCACTACATCAAGGCGACTCTACTGCACACTCGTATTTTTTTTCCACCCATTCCTAGTGGACAAATAACTCGTTCTTTGGCCTTTTGGCGGAACGAGAAGATCAAAGAGAAGACACAACAAGAAAAGGCACTGGCTGTCTGCTTGTTAATTGTTTCATCATGACCTACCAGAGCAGCTTCGCCGCCAACTCCGGCCTCGGACTTCCCGGCGCTGGCTACGCCTCCCGCGGCAAGGCCAACGGCTTGAAGCGTCTCAACCTCGCGTCGCCACCGAAACTTGGCTCGCTCAGCGAGAACGGCGTAGACGAGAACCCGCCTCCTCGCACCAGCCGCTCGTACCTGCTCGCCGGTCTCCGCACCGCTCCGAAGACTCCGTCCGTGCCGTCGTCGGCCCCGTACAACCAGACCCAGCACGCAATGGGTAACCCCATGGATCAGTCTCGATACGCTCATCATGGCGGCGTCAACGCACCGTACAACGCCAACCAGGCAGTCCCGCACACGGCTATCGGCTCCTCGTTTCCCACACAGTATGGTCAGGCCGGTCAGCAGTACTACAGCTTGCCGGAACAGGTCCTCGCTCCGCCAAACCTCGACTTCGTCGAGGACGAGGATCCGCAGATGCTCGCTCAACTCCAAGCCACCAAGAGCATGCTCGCCTTGAGGCAACAGCTGCTTCAACAGCAGCTTGCCAGCCTGACTGCCCAGCAGTTCGCCATGATGAACCTCGGTCAGACCGGCCAGATGTACAACAGCCCTCAGACGCCCTCGACGCCACACCTTGGCCTGTACAACCACCAGCAGCTGATGCAGCCCGTCGTTACCGAGGTTCCCGGCCAGCCCGGCATCTACACTGTCTACAACCCGCTCACCGGCCAGACCACGCTCGCCGCCGATACGTCCCGCCAGCAGGAGGCTTCGCAGCTTGCCAATTCACCACCCCCACCCACGCCTCACAGTGTCGCCGGAAGCTTCAACAGGGCAGACACGCCCGGCAGCCGCCGTCAGATGTCTTCGCCACAGAATGAGATTCAGTCTCCCTTTGGCCAGCAGACACGTAGCATGTCGCCCCCCAAGAAGACGCCGTCTCCGCCTGCGGCTGGTGACGTTGAGCCTCTACCCCCACCGTCTGCCAATGCCTTCCGTCGTGGCCATCACAAGAAGGTCTCGTCCCTCTCGCTGACGAACAACGCCTCTGTCGCCGATGGGCCCAAGTCCGCGTTCATTCCGCGCAGCCACAACGTTCCCCCTACTCCGCTCACGGGCACCTTTGGTCCTGGCCAGGCTCGCGCGGGCGAGCATCCGCTCAGACAGCCTCGTGGCCCGCCTGCTATGGAGGAGCTCAAGGCCAAGCCCACGGCCGCTTTCGAAGGCTCGCTCAACTTTGCGGCCCGCCGCCGCCGGCAGGCTCTCAGCAACCTCATGCGTGCTGGCCTTGAACGCCACCGCGTACAGAGGCCGGGATCTGGCAGTAACGGCTCCATGACGCCCGTCTCGGAGAGCGAGCTGAGCTTCTCCGTTCCTAGCTCGGGCAGCGACAACGACTCCGACTCCGGCCGTTCGGTGCATGGTGCCATTGGCAGCGAGAGAAAGGCAAGCAGAGAGAGCCTGGCTGAAGCTGGTGCTTCTGCTGCAGAGCAGAGGAGGCCGAAGGCCCCTCTTCTGGCGCTGGCAAATGCTGCCGAGAAGAGGAGGAGCATCGTCTACTGAGCTTTCGAGCTGCTCCGCTTCTTTCATGCCTTCGGCGGACCGGAATTCCACTTTCTTTACTTTTAACGAATTCGCCGAAAGACCCTTATCACGAATTTTTCATTTGAGCACGGTTTCCTTTTTTTTTTTTGTTTCTGTTCTCTTTCCGGGAGGCAGAACTCGATTTTCTTCTTAGTACGCATATCATGTGCTTCTCTCGGTCGCTTCGGAGTCGATGTTCTTTTCTCCTTCCAAAGCAAATTCACTTCGACGCACTCACTAGACGGGGTAATCAACTTTCTTTTCGCGGCATTCGAGCACAGCCCAGCGGGTTCACTGCCTCGTGACATCGCCTGCAATGTTAACCCCACCCGACAAACATACAGTATATACCTCTTCTCGACCTGGAGAGAGTTTTATGTACAAGGTTTACGATGTAACTCCTTTTTTTTACTCCTTTCCTCTCCTCGTTCACCATTTCCCTTTCTACTCAGCCTCTACTCGCGAGGCAAAAAGATTGTAATGAGCATTTGGGATTACGGCAGAAACTTTTTCTTTTCTGTATCAAGAAATGGGAGGGATCGGCCTTTTATTTTACCATTATCGACATGGGAAGGAATATCACACGAGTTTCAAGATATGTGTCTTTGCTTGTCCGTCCTGACGTTTGATGTCCTATCCCTCCGAGACATTGTTGTGCACGGAGCAAAGGGGAACCCAATTCACGCCCACGTCGTCCCTGAATGGGGAGGAAGGTGGGAAAAGAGACTAATTTTTTTTTTTAAAAAAGAAAAGAAAAATAATCTCCTTGCTTGATGGGGTGTGGATTGGATTGGACTGGACTAAGGAATGGGGGGGGACTTGCTTCTGACCTTCGATGGGAACGGATGAAAATGGAACGGACAGCATCACGAGGCAAACTCTTGCTTCCTTTTACTATCTCCTTGTTTTTTTTTTTTTTTCCTTCTCTTCGTCGTCTCTTGCTTTCCCATCGCACACCAAACCTATATTTCCCCCTTCGCTTTGCCCGCCTCTTCTTGCCCTTCTGGCGTGTCTAGGCGGAGAGGGTGGGACGTTGGGTTACGGTTTTGGGATCTCCGTGTATCTGTACTGCATCTATTTAACAAATGACGATTTCATATTCTTTTGCAGACAACTTTAATTTTTTTTTTCCTTCTTTTGCTTGGCGTTCCTTTCCCTGCCTGTTCCTCCGTTCCGCTCGTCCTCCTTTTCCTCTTCCTTTTTTCTTCCTCTTTTGCTTCTCGTGAAGACGTTTTGGTGAAAGAGGGAGAGGAGCCGAGGAAGCCCAAGCCAAGTGGGAGACGGCGAGCGCCGTCTTCTGCAGCGGTAGCTGGCCGACCGAACTTTTTTTTTTTTTTGGTTCTTAAAAAGGGAGGGCAGGTGGGTTTTCACTTCGTCTCCTGGCAGGGATCTTGCCCGCGTGGTGCCGCTTTGAGCTTGCCGTTGCCGACGACTGACCTTCCGTTTGTGTTCGGGCTCGCGTTTCCGGGGGCGGCTGCCGGCGCTGCTGTGAGAGCGGTGGAAGCCGTAGGTCTCGGCGGGGGAGGCATCAGGCCCGCCAGTCTGTCGCTCGTCTGGCTGTCGAGGCTGTCGCGTCGGGCGATGGCGTCCGCGCCGGGCACGGTCCTGAGAAAGCCGCGGATGCCGCCCTTCTTGCGCTCCGGCACCTCGCCGCTTCCCGCCGTCGCGACGTACAGCAGGTACTTGAGGTTGGGCAGCGTCTGGCGCAGGTCCAGGACGCGCAGGCCCAGCCGCTCGGACAGGCGCTCGACGTTCTTGTTCAGCAGGAAGACGCCGAACTCGAAGCGGAAGCGGGGCCCGCGGCCGCCAAACAGAGGGTACACGCGCGAGTCCTTGCCTGCGCCGCCGGCCACCTCGGAGATGGGGTCCAAGATCGTGGACGTGGATCCCCGCACCGTGACCGGGTACGGCAGGGGCGTCGACAGGTAGTATTGCAGGTGGTCCACCAGCAGCGCCACGTGGCCCAGCGCGGCGGCGGTCGCCTCGGCTTCGGCGACCGACGTGTCCGCGAACGGTGAGTTGGGCAGCGGCAGCGAGGCGATGGCGAAATGCAACGTCTTGTGCGGCAGAGGCGTGATGGGATAGATGCGCTGCAGGTCCTCGCAGATGCGACGCCGCTGGCCGAGCGTTTCCTCGGCCACAGCGGACAGTTCGTCCGTTCGCACGGCCGTCTCCTTCGCGAGCGACGCCAGGTCCTTCTCACCGTCCGTCCGCATGGCGCTGTAGCCCGCCTGTATGGAGTCTCTGCGCTGAGCAAGCCGTGACCGCAGCTCGTCCCTTCGCCGCTTCGCGGCCGCGAGCCGCCTGCGCTCCAGGTGAACCGCTTCGTTCGTATGTTCCAGCGCGTTCATGCGAACGCCGACCTGGTGCATCTCGCGCGTCGCTTCCGTGCTCCTGTCGAGGATCGCGTTGATCTCCCTCTCGAGCCTGGCGCGTGTCGCCAGCGCATCCTGGATGCACTCGTCCAGCGTGCCCAGCCTCATCAACGCGTCGTACGACGAGCTGGGAAGCACCTGCGTCATGGACAGCGTGCGCGGGGGCGGCGCCACCATCGACGAGGATGGCCCTCCTGTGAAGTTATCCAGGAACGACGTGTACACGCCGTCTTTCATGTGGAACAGCACGCAATTCTGCGGCAGCGGCTGCGTGAAGCCTTCAATGCTCTTCCCGATGAACTGCAGCGACCGCAGGTTGACATGCATCTCGAGGAGGAATTGATAGTCCCCCCCTCCTGCTCCCCCTCCTCCCGTGTTTCTGGCCCACACTTTCACGACGAGATCCTCTCCTCGCGACACGGCAGGCCCGGCCGCCTCGTTAAGGTCGAAAAAACGAAAGTCCGGATTCATGGTGCGGGGGACGACCTCGCTAATGTATACGGGCTCGTCCTCGGGCTTCACCCCTCCATCATGGCGGTGATGGTCGGGCACGTGCAGCGAAAAGAAGACGTCCGCCATGTTGGCTCCGATTGCGTCCTCGAGCTTCTTCTGCCTGTACAGCGAACTCGAGTTCTGCCAGTCAATCGTGCTCCGGCGTCGTAGCCGCCGCAAGGTTGGCGGCCGTTTGCTGGGCGAGGCGTCGTTCCTTTGAACGCCCTCACTCGTGGACACTGGTTTCTTGGAGCTACCCATGTTCAAAGTGTCGCCGTCACCGCTATCCTCTGACTCCGCTAAGGCTTTGAGATCGGTAATGGAGCGCGAGTGCTCGAGAGTCTTTTGCTCCTGCTGGGCGAGAGCTTTCGCGGGCGAGCGCAATGAAGTAGGCAGAGCGGCGTCGTCGACCGTGGTGTTCCCTCTCGGTCTCGTCTGCGCGAGCGAGAGGGCTAGGTTGCGGATGCTGATACCATGAAGATGTCGGAGACGGCGATTCTAAAGCTCGCGTTAGACTGCCTGGCTGACCACTTCATAAGCGGGGAAATGGGTGAGGACTGTACGTAGGGATATAGCCATGGTCTCCCACGCTGGGCATACGCATCCGCCGCATCTGCAGGCTGGTCCTTGGAATCTTGTTGCTGGTGTCTAGTCGTCATCTTCCTTACTCCAGCCTGTTTCGTCAAGCGGAGGTTATGCCGTGACACTGGACCGCGTGGTTTGTTCTCGGTGCGCAGTTGGGATAGGCAAAAGGTTATACATAATGCAGCGATGCTTTCTCATGTCCTTATAGTGCTACGAAGTCGTTTTTTCTCGGCGACACCGGTTTCGTAGGCAATCGCAGGAAGCGAAGAATACGTGGTTGTGCATCGGAGGTGGACCTGTGAAAGGGAAGCTCGGACACGGGACGTGGATGCATTGCAAGTGAACTCGTGCTGAACCCAGAACAAAAAAGTTACCTTCCACTGGCCATCCGCATCCCACCACGTTTCGTCAGCATCAATTGCTGAGCGCCATCCAATGGACCGGTAGCGTCGAAATATAAATCCAAATTTTGCTCTCACACACACTCTCTCTCATTGCTCAGACAACATGTCTGTCGCCCTACGTGCGCGACAGCCGCCGTCGAAGCCGCATCACGGCAAGTTCATCTACCTTTTCACCAACCTCAAGACGAATCAAGTCATCTACTCATTAGAGAAAGAAATCCACGTATGTGCACTGAACTATCACCGCCCCTTGTTCAAGCTTCAATGGACAACCCCTGACCAAACGAACAGACGGAGCGACAAGAGCGTATGCTCCTCAAGCAGCTTACCTTCTACGGCAAAAAGACTGTTCCCACAAAGCTCCGGAAGGATCTCTGGAAACCGTACGCCACCGTCACATTCCCGCGCGCAGAAGATGGCCTGCAGGTGTTCAAGCTGCTCAAGGAGTACCGCATGGTGCGAGACTACGCTTGGACGTTCGAGCCTACCACCGCAGACATTGCGAAAGCGTCGCAACAGGAGCAAAAACTGCTAGGCTCTAACGAGAATGAGGATGGTGTGGACAATGGCTACCGCGGCCTCGCAAAGCTGCCAACACGTTTCAGCGAGAGCGTGCTGTCACACTACACATTTTATCCGTCCAAAAAGGAGCGCGCGAAGTTACTCATGGACCAACGGGCCACCTCAGTCGCTGATTTAGCTCACATCATCACTCGGCAGCTGACCCCACCTCCGGATGGAATTTCGAATGCCGAGCGCAATGCAGAGAGGCAGCGCAGGAAGCTGTGGGCTAAGGTGCAAAGCCTGGCAGCTACGCCAAAAGAAGAGATACAGAAGCTAGAGCAAGAACGAGCCGAGCTGCAGAAGGCCTCGGCAACAGCAACGCACGCGCAGATGAGAAACCTTGAAAAGGCGAGGATGAAGAGACGGAAGAAGCGTATTGACCAGATCACGGCGTACCTGAACCGGCTTCGCAAGGCGCGCGAAGCCGTCGCGTTCGTGACGGGCAACGGCGAAGACGTGCCGGAGTCGGCGCGCGCGAAGTGGTCCAAGACGCTGAAGTACATTGTGCAGATGCAGGACCCCTCTCGCCCGGTCATATCGACGTACGATCGAGCGGCCGCGGAGGCGCGGCGCCAAGCCGAAGCGACGGCACGCCCGTCCAACTGGCCCAAGTCGACGAAATATGACGCCGATGGCGAGACGCCTGTGCCGCCGAAGATGCTGACGCGGCGAGACAGGATTGCATTGAAGCACGCGGAACCGCAGGTGGACGAGAGGCCGGCCAAGGGACTCCCTGAGGACAGCGTGCTGATCCAGTGGGCCAACCTTCCGGACGCGCAGTTCGCGGCGGAATGGCACGCGAACGTTGTGCACGAGCCGATGGAGGACGCGTACGTCAAGAAAGCTGCCAAGGCGTATGAGAGGCTCAGACACGAGGAAGAGGCTTCATCGGAGGCCGGCGAAAACGCCGGCGAGCTGGCCGATAGGTATGAGCCGCCCTCATTACCGTCGGAACACGCGGCAGGTTCCGCTGCCGAGGCGAAGCCGGAGGAGAAGGTCGGCTTTTTAGGCGCGCTGAATCCGATGAGGTTGTTCAGGGGAGGGAGCGATGCTAGACCGTGAGCGCACGCTGCTTTACAGGTAGGGACTGCATGATCGTGTAAATATAGATGGTCTTGAAGGAAAAGAAGAATGCGTGTATTATCTACTGCTTCAGAACATCACCAACAACTTGCATCTTTGAAGATATGATACTCTCTTTCTCTCCCGCATCTTTGGTTCTGGCTTGATGAATGTTTGTTGGGGTAACCATCTCCGTCCCCCGACAGTCGATAGATAGCAACTCATATTCTGTAATGTACTTCGTGCTCGTACCTCATCATCCGCGCCAAAAGTCACTCGATGTTCATCCATGCCCTGAAAGCTACGAGAGGAAAGAAGAAAAAGAAAAGCCAAAAGCCAAACTGGTGCGTTCCGTTTGTTGACAGAATCCAGATTTTGACCACCAGCTACAGCAGAATACGAGTATATGGCTTTGAAAGACAAGTGTCTGCGCCAAGCGCAAGCAGACTGATGTAAACTTTTCCATTTCAGCGTGCGTGCCGCCAGAGCGGAAACGGAACTCTGGAGCTCATGCGAGCAATGTGCTCAAACGGAAAGAAAATGGACTCGTTGACGAATAGAGCTCGAAGCCCGTTCTCATTGCCTTGGTTGCGGCAAAGGATCCTGTCACTGCTGAGACGTGTGGCTCATTCTCGGGGCGTTTACGTTCCTAGCTCGGCTCACCTTGGAATCGGATACCCGTGTGAAGCCTGGGAGCGTCGAGACGTACGGAGGCCTTGATCATCTGGGGTCTGCAATGCCGTATCTGGAATCCATGCGCCGACACACTCGCAAACTTTGAGCAACGTGGTGAAGGTCATTCTCACGTGCGCATAGCTTCGCCGCACCAACTTGGAGAAAACCCGCACCATTCGCTGGGGCTTTGTGCTCGCGAACGGGAAGCACGAGACCGTCTACGGCCGTCAAAGTATGGCACCTGTCGGACTGCACGCGAAGCCTCTGACGGTGTCAGATTCGGGACGGCGAGTTGACGGCGTAGGTTTCGAGAAGAATTCCGTTTTACGAGTTGGGAGCCCATCAGAACTTGCATGGAGAATCCTTCGGGCTCGTCAGGCGGGGCATATGACCTGAAGACTTCCCCCATCAAAGAAGGCTGCGGACGAGTTGCGTCTTTCGCGACGACGGTCATGTTTTAATAGCCCAGTAGCGTTGTCTCCTACAGTATCACAAGCGGCGAGTCGGCCCAGAAGCTGCCCTGATGGTGTTTCTCATTGGAGCGGAGACGGTAGAGGTGATGTGATTCGAGGATAGGCAGTATCAGCAGGCTGGGTACGCGGGTGTAGCGATTGTCGTCATAAAATAGGGCAACTGGCACCAACGGCCTGAGGGAATGTGAAGCATCCTTTGGAAATCTCCACAGCAAACCTATGCTCCTATATGGATCGTGCAAATCTACGGCCCAAGGTTAGGACCGCCATACGGCTCGCCGCCGAGCGCGCCTGGAACGTGATGCACGCGGATGGCCACTGGTGCGCAGAGATTCGCGCGAACGTGACCGTGACCGCAGAGCATATCTTTTTCTACGCGTCTTTAGGCAAGCCACCTCCAGGCGGGTACGCACCGTTCCAACGCTTCATCCAGTCCCAGCAGAATCCAGATGGCTCGTGGGGACTTGCACCGTCCTATCCAGGGGACGTATCGACTAGCTGCGAGGCATACCTGGCGCTGAAGATGTGCGGTTTGTCCGTTGCGTGCGAGACGATGCAGCGAGCCAGAGCATTCATCCTATCCAAAGGCGGCGTGGCTAAGGTTCGTGTCTTCACGCGCATTTTTCTTGCCATGTTCGGTCTTTTCCCGTGGTCCGCTGTCCCGAATTTGCCTCCTGAGGCAATCTTGCTGCCGGCATGGTGCCCGTTGAACGTATACAAACTAGCTTCATGGGCGCGCAGTACTGTCATCCCACTGCTCTTGATTCGACATCACAAACCTATTTACCGGATACCTGGTGTTGGCGCCGAACAGCAGTCATGGCTTGACGAGATCTGGCTGGATCCAGAAAGCAAGAGTGTCCCATATTCGCCTCCGATATCAGAGCTGTGGAATCGAGATGTTACATCTCTTCTGTTCGCGATAGGAGACAGGATCCTGTCATGGTTAACTTGCTATCACATCCTGCCGCTTCGACGTCTCGCCAGGAAGAGGTGTGTTGACTGGATCATAGAACATCAAGAGTCTCAGGGGGATTGGGCCGGCATTGTAATGCCCATGATATGTAGTGTGCAAGCGTTGCTGCTAGAAGGGTACAGCATCGTCGATCCTGTCATTGACAGAGGACTGACCGCTATCGAACGTTTCGCGTATGAGGATGAAGCGGGAAGGCGAGTCCAGGCTTGCGTGTCCCCTCACTGGGACACGGTGTTGATGATTACTTCGTTGTGCGAAACAGCATCGGCGGCACCAAAGCGCCTTCATCGGTGCGTGGAGTGGGTTACCAAAAGACAGCAGCTAGTCGAGCATGGAGATTGGCGCATCTACAATCCGCAGCTAAGGCCGGGCGGGTTTTCATTCGAGTACAACAACTCCTGGTATCCCGACGTTGACGACACGGCGGCGACAGTCTTGGCGTTGCTCAAGTACAACGCACGATTCGTACACTCCAACACCGTCCTCGACGCGATAAATTGGATCTTGGGAATGCAAAGCAAGAGCGGCGGCTGGGCTGCTTTTGACACGAACAATGACAAGCTGTGGCTGAACAAGATCCCTTTTAGCGACATGGACGCGCTGTGTGACCCGCCAACAGCCGACATCACTGGGCGAGTGCTCGAAGCGTTTGGTTTGGCGATGGACATATGCCGGGAGCTCGACTCTAGTCTGCCGGCGCTTGATCGGATGGATGCTGCGTGTGACCGCGGCATCGCGTTTCTGTGCCGTCAGCAGGAGACAGACGGCTCGTGGTTTGGTCGGTGGGGCAGCAACTACCTCTACGGCACAAGCGCAGTCCTGTGCGGTCTCCAAAGATTCGTCATCGACCGAGACGACGTGCGAGACATGGTCGGCGCCGCCGTCGAATGGATCAAGACGGCGCAGAACGCAGACGGAGGATGGGGCGAGGACCTGATGAGCTACAAGGACAGCCGCCTGGCTGGGCGCGGTGTTTCAAGCGCCTCGCAGACGGCGTGGGCACTGATGGGGCTGCTATCGCATCTCTCTTCTGATGACGAATCCGTCGCGAAGGGGATCCACTGGTTGCTCACATCTCAGACGGAGGCGTGCGGCGACGGCGGCGGAGCGTCGTGGCCGGAAATGGCATACACTGGGACGGGATTTCCGGGACACTTTTACTTTGGCTACGACTTGTACCGTCACTACTTTCCGATGATGGCGCTGGGGAGATATCTGAAGAGGAGCGACGAGCACGACGGCGACGATCGTGTTGGCGATGCCGACTCTGTGGACTCTGGGGCAGCGGGTCTGGGCACGGCGACGGCGCTTTAGCCCTGCGGCGCCGGCTGCCTCTGCGCCGCCGCGTTGGACCTGGGCTGTCCACATGTGAGCTATTTCAGAACAAGAGATGTGTGCGTGCCACAGCTGCCTCCCGTGCGTGATGCCGGCGAGACGACCAGCATCAGGCGCTCCGATTTGTGACGCTTGCTCTCCTTTTCCTTCTTGTTGTCTGCCGTGCCTGTGCCGTGGCGACGTCGTGAGCAAGGCGCAGCCGCATGTGCGCGCTTTGGGCGCTGCTTCAGGGTCCTCGACCACGTTACCGGCGCCGTGTACCTGCAACGATCACGCAAAAGACAGACCCGACACGCGACTTGAACTTGGCGATCCGACTTGCATGCTGCTGCTGTGCCCGCCTCGCCGTCTGTCTGGATTGAAGAGCAGGCTTCTTTTCGTCCAGCTTGCATGCAGACCGACGTCTTCGCCGGGTCCGTCCTGTGTACATTCCTTCGCCGCTGGAATCGTATCCACGCCTTCTGCGTCCTCCCTGTGCTCGATCTCTCAGGCCGTTTCTTGACGCCCAAACTCAGATCCAACCGTCAAGACGGCGCAAGCTACCGTGCCAGTCACATCCGCCCGCTGCGCTTACCCACGCAAGCGGCGCTGGATACCCGTCCTCTGCCGTACGGAGCAAAGCCTTGTCACGACAACATAGCATCGAAGAGGTCGAAGACGACGTCGACGTCTGCTTGCATAGCTGCAGAGAGACCGCGGACACCGCTCCGACGACATGCCCTCCGATCTGCGATCCAGCCTGGATCGCTACCATGACGGAAAGTCCCACGAGCCTCTTCTGGCTACCAAGGACGGCGAGCAACATCCGGGCTACGATTCACCACCGCGGCCGCCGCCGAGCCGGAGGAGCACGACCAAATTTCACGAGAGGGATCCAGAACTAGAGGCCAAGAAGGCAACAAGGAAGAGGTACACTTACGCGGGGTTCTTCTTGATCTTGAGTCTGGTCAGTTTCGCCGTCCAGACCGAGACGGCCGTCTACATACAGTCTCAGCTGCATTGGGAGAAGGCATACTGCATGCTGTGAGTCGTGCTTCTGCTCATTCATCTTGAGAGCAATGGAGATGTTAACGAGGGATGCAGATACTTTACACACGGCTCGTGGTCACTCCTATGGCCCATGACGGTTCTTATCCTCCGGATCCAGAAGTGGAACCAGCCATGGGATGTCTTCTGGCGGCGGCACAAGGAGATTCTCACGCAGACCGCGCAGATGGTGCGCTACCAGACTGTGCACCCGGCTGTCAAGCAGCGGACCGAAAACCCTTGGCCTTTCATGATGCGCACGACCGCGTTCGTGACCTGCGCTCTTACCTGCGCTGGCATTAGCTGGTACATCGCCGTGAATCTGACCACAGCAAGCGACCTCACCGCCATCTATAATTGTTCTGCGTTTTTCGCGTACGCTTTCTCCGTCCCGTTGTTGCACGAGAAGGTCAGACTGTCCAAAGTCCTCGCTGTCGCTGTCGCGATCGCAGGCGTCCTGGTAGTTGCCTATGGGGGTACATCACACACGCCCAAGCACGGCAGCAAGTCTGGCGGCGGCGCTGGCGGGCCTGACCACGACAAGAGTAACGAAGATGGAGAGCATCCATACCAGTTCATCGGGAACGTCATCATCGGCATCGGAAGCGTTCTATATGGCTTTTACGAGGTCCTTTACAAGAAGGTGGCGTGCCCGCCAGAAGAGTGCTCGCCTGGCCGAGGCATGATCTTCGCAAATGCGTTCGGTAGCATGATGGGCATGTTCACACTGACCGTCCTCTGGATTCCGCTCCCGATCCTACACGTCATGGGCTGGGAGAAATTTGAGCTTCCTCACGGCGAGGCCGCCTGGATGATGGCCGTGTCCGTGCTCTCCAACGCCGTCTTCTCTGGCTCCTTCCTCGTCTTGATCTCGCTCACGAGCCCAGTGCTGAGCTCCGTTGCTGCACTGCTGACGATCTTCATCGTCGCAATCATTGACCAGCTTCTTCCGCCCCCGCTATACTCGCCACTCACGGGCAGTTCCATCGCCGGCGGGCTGCTGATCATTGCTGCGTTCGTTGTGCTCAGTTGGGCGACGTTTAAGGAGATGGATGAGGAGCGCAGGAAGAAGATTGAGCAGGCCGATGTGGCGGAGAGCGACATTGGCGATGACTTTGATGACTAGACTTTTGCCGCTGCGCTACGTCCCGAGTGCGCGCCACTTTGCCAGCGTTCTTTTCTGGGGCTTGCATCTGGGAGGTTGTTTTGCACAGTATTTTTTTTTTCATCTACTAAATAGCGAAAGGCGCCGTCGAGACGAGCGCGTCGCATGGAGTTATTTGGGTATAGACAGTGCGTCTGGTATATCATCAGACTGACTTTATTCTTTCCATAGACTGCCGTGATGTACAGTGTCAGCCACATCGGCCACCATCCAATGTACATATGACTCTGTCCTATTCGAACAGTGTCCTTTGAAAAGCCTCCATCGATCATTTTGAAGGCAGTCTTTACGGTCCGAAGTTCACCCACTGCCACCAGGCACGAGCTTATCCGTGAACGCCATTCCCTTGTCGTGTCTTCCCGCAACGTCAGACGGTTCATTCATCTTGTCCGTCTGCTTGCTGTCCTTTCTTAACTCGAGCTCGTTTTCCATCTTCGAAGGGTCCATCTGTTTTTGACGCTGCGAGTCTGCAACTGGGTGCTTGGGACCTTGCTCCAAGTCAGTTCATGATTCGAGGCTACACTTTACCGCCGAACAGGGGTGAGGCGTACCGCCTTCAGAGGAGACGCACTCCTCGATCTTATCCTTGACTCCCGCCATGAGGGCTTTGATTCGCTCGTGACCTTTTTTTCCCTTTTCTTTTCTTCTTTCTTGTTATTTGATTTTGACGAAGGTTTGAATCCGAACTGCTATGCAGATGGTTGGGCGGAGTGCGGGAAGTCGTCCTTCCGGCGGGTTTTTATTCAAACACGCTCGACGAGGTGTCGCAATGATCTCAATAGCGCGTCATTGTTCGAGACCGCCGAGCAGGAATGCGTCGCCAGCTTCGCTCCCTCCAATCAGTGCTGGAACTGATCGACGGCTTATCGGCCCCCTTCGCTCGTGTGCAGGAGTGCGGAGAATATTGCTCCCGAAACAGCGTGTCCAGGATGGATTGAAAGCTTTTGTCGGACGCCTTCGCTGTCCGCCACATCGTTGAGATATTTCGCGCGTGTGTGCCTTTGCTCGAGACTACGGCCTCGTGTTTAGAGGAGAAACTTCTGTTTTTTTCTTTTTTTTTCTTTCTTTTTTTTTTATTTTTTTTTTAAAAGGGCATTTCGCCACTGTACGTACATCATCACAGCTCGATCGACACGATCGAAACAGTGAGAGCGTGTCATCGGCCCGTAAGACTTATTCCATTGCTCGATTTCCAGCGTGCCGCATCGTACATATTGTTTGAGAACGATACAATAAACTAACCGTAGGTGTTCAATTTGCCATTGAAATGACCTGATTTACCTTGGCAAAAGCGGACTCTTCACCGTATACACCTTTTCGTTGGTAACAGTGAATTCTTACCTTCTGGGACCTTCTTGCTCGTTATGGTTATCTACGGGCCTCTGGAGCTTCAAAAACGCACGATCTACCTCATTTAACCCATAATTGAGGCACACGGCAGTCTTTCCATCCGTTTGAAGAGTTGCCTTCTTCTGGTAGACGCATTGCATCATGATGTCAAGGTCTTGGAGTTAGCTGCAATGAATCCTCCCTACTTTTTTGACAATCCATTGCCATTCTACGCGCGAATCAATGGCGGTGTTTTGGAGAAGAGCTTCATATGCTTGCAAATACCAAGATAGGCAGAACCACGGCCAGACGGCTAGGAAGCAGCTATGTTGGAGATCTAGACCCTGCTTCGGGATTATCAATCCTCTGTGTGGCCATGAACGCGGGCTCAGTGCCCAGTTCTCATCCAATGAAAGCGTTTAAATAAATTTGCCTTTTCTTTGATATCTCGTCCTACGTATCGGGGAAAAGGATCGCCAAAGATATAGCTGATGGTGTATGAAGGCAAAGGCTGACTTGCAGGCACGTGCCAACATCTATTTCAGCTCTGTCCGGGCTACGTTTCAGCTCCCTTATCGCATTGCTCACAGACTGAGGAGAAATCTTTGTCTTGTGACCTTTCGCAGCCCAGGAAGGCTGTAAAATGGTGAAAGGGCGGCCAAAAGACGACCTGTAAGTGGAAGAACCCATGCAAAATGAACGGGTTCTAGAATCAGCCTCGCTGCAAGAGCAATGCGGAAACATCTCAGCTCTTCTGCAGCGTGATCTTGGCCAAGGTATGAGCTGAGAGATGTTTGAGATTGTTAAATGGTATATCTACAACATTATTATGCTATTTGTGAACATGGCATCGCTTCAGCAATCAGTCCTACCCTTCCATTTGAATACCATATTGCAGAAGCGAAGCCTTTCAATTCTAGAATAAGCAATCAAGCGAAATGTCTACAGTCAAAGAAGATGTCGTTCTCCGAAGATGGTGTCACACAGACGAGAGCAAGGTGTATGAGGATGTGGATCCTAATGGTCCTCCCATGATGGCGGCAGAAAAGAACTTGGCATGGCAAGTTGGCACAGTAATTAACGTTCGCTTTCTTGACGGTGATGCACCCATCAACGCACTAATCGCGAAAGTCGCCAAAGAATGGGAGAAGTACGCCAATATCACCTTCAATTTTGTGGACGACAAAGTACCGGTCAAGTCCTCGGACATACGCATTAAGAAGACGAAGGACGACGGCCATTGGTCCATGCTTGGGACAAATCGTTCGTGGACCGACAACAATGGCAAAGTGCATACTCTGGGACTTGATGAGGCCACTATGAACCTTGATCCGATTGATGTGAATCCGCAGAAGATGGGTAAGGGCCAGTACGGGTATGGCACCGTCCTTCATGAGTTTGGACACGCGATTGGGCTGGTGCATGAGCATCTAAGGCCTGATCGACCGATAAAGTTCAAGAGCAACGACGACTTGTACAGGTTTTACAAGTCGGATCAGGGCTGGAGCGAAGACGACGTCAACTTTAACGTCATCAACGTCGCCAAGGGCGTGGTGGGAACGCTCAAGTTCGACTTCAACTCTATCATGATGTATTCTTTCCCCGAGCAGGTCCTGGCAAGCAACGACCCAAAGTTGAAGGAGGTCGTTGGGAAGGCCGTGTTGCCGTATCCAGTGAATAACGACCTTTCTGCAGACGACAAGAGTTGGATCCAACTTCTTTACCCGAAGAAAGGTGATCGTGGCTCACTTCAAGAGGTCAAACCTAGACTCTGAAGGCTCCGTTGTTGCGATATAGAAGAGCACTTTTCACCATTCAATCAAGCAAGTGGCATAGCTCTCCGGGCTTGGTCAATAACATATCTAGTACAGTTATGAAGGAATTAGTATTGGTTTTAATGAAATCATTGAAAAATCAAAAAAAAAAATAAAGACCGGTACAAGGAGGGAGTCCATCCAGCCATGGCAGGGAAAACCATGACAGCATTTGATTCATTGCATCTTCGTTCATGATTTTAACTGTACGATCCTAAGTGCCCTCATATCGACGTAAATTTGCAAGTTGCTCGCGAAATCGGTGCAAGCTACTGTAAGAGGGACGTTCACAGTTCGTACCTGCGCAATTTCTGTTAAGTAGCTTGCTGTCAGTGTGTTGCTAGCGGACCAAGTACGGTACAGATAGGCGGCACTGATCAAGCATATCTCTTGCTCTCTCGAGAGCACGAAAAGAAACATGAGGAGTTTGAATGCCGAGCTCGATTTGCTATGAGGAGGGTCACGAGCTGACAGCGATTTCCGAGGCATTTGCAATGCTGTCCATGAATATGTCGACTCGTTAAAAACGTCTTCAGCAAATTATATCGATTATACCGGGGAAGATTCGTCGCTTCGGTGAATTCATCATCATCATCATCTTCTTTTTTTTTTTTTTTTTTTTTTTTTTTTTTTTTTTTTTTAAAAAAAAAAAAAAGGTTCGCATATCAGTTTCACTGGGCTATAGTTAGTAGAAGTCCCTAGTCAAAGGATCACCACGATTTAACTGTTCATATGTTGTTTATTATGTATGCCGTCTTAAACCTCCGTGTATACAGTCGCGTCCTTCGAAATGACAACTTGGTGCCCTTTGTATTGGGCTTGCATATGGAATTGCTATCGTTTCAAGTAAGAGAGGTGTTCGATGCTAAAGGCGGTCCGTTGAAGTTGGTCTGAAATGATGATCTGAGAGCATTCCAAGCAGTTAAAGATCATCGTTGTAAGTCCGCGGTTCCGTAGCGTTCTCGGCCCGGCGCGCTTCCGCTGCGCTTATTTCCATCTCCACGCTTCTCTTAACACCAAAGGCTGCTTTCAAAACCAAAGGCTTTTCATTTCTTTTCATGCACTGTCTTTGATACATGGGTTTAAGCACGAACCCTCGTATAGGTCTTGTCTAAAAGCGTCGACTCAGGTATTCAATTGTCAGCCCACCATTGCTTAAGCCTGAGTAAGTTGCCCCTGTGATCGGTGTCTTCATTCAATAGCGACAAAGCTCGTCAGCTCGCTTCCGTGGGCATGGACCACTAGTCATGCATTCGGAACGAGGTGAACCACAGTAAGTCGACTCCCAATGGCCACAACAACAGTTTCCTAGGATCTGATCCTTGTCATGCATGTGTATCTCAATAAGCCTGCAGTCAACAGTCCTGCGTTCTGTCTTCATTATGTTGCTCGCGTTTAAAAATTCTTTCTACTTCATGTAACAAGCGAACAGACCGAATCTCTAATTTCATATGTGGTTATGGCTTTTTTTGAACAGTCGAATGTTGCACTAATTCCGGACTACAGCTACAAACCCCTTCCAGAAGGGGAATTCATTCGGATACTAGAGCTTCTACCAGGCAAGGCAGAAGATCCCATATCCGGTAACCTGAATCTTGTGTCACTAGAAGCAGCTTGGAAGACCTACGACGCAATATCTTACGTTTGGGGTGATCAAGCCTCGCAACGAGACATTTTCATCGACAATGAGCGTCTCAGTATTACTGTTAGTCTCTGGGAAGCCCTTCATAATTTTAGGGATGAACGAAAGAAGCGTATACTTTGGGCCGACGCAATATGTATTCAACAATTGTACCCTCCAGAGAAAGCGGTGCAAGTTCAGCTTATGAGCAAAATCTACGAAGGTGCTGCCAGCGTCCGGGTCTGGCTAGGGCTTGATACGCTTGGAGTCGCTCAAGAAACTGTGGACTTCATTCTAGAGAACGTGTCGATTTCGAGAGACTTGATTATGCGCTATGGTTCCATCACGGCTGTTAGAACTCTGCCAGATGATGATAACCCAATCAGTAAGGATCGTGACAAGTGGTTGCTGTATGAGCAGTTTCTGCAATTGCCATGGTTTAACCGCGTATGGGTGATTCAGGAAGTAGGTGTGGCCCGAGAGGCGATAATGCACTGGGGAGATGCGGAGATTCCTTTCGCTGCTGTTATCAATCTAAATGAGTTCATGCTACTAGGCCAGCATTTGTTTCGCTTTCACCCCATGTCCTGGATACTGCACGATGCATTCGTTGGTATATTCAACTACTACGAAAATCAAGATTCATGGCGTGAGCAGTTGTTCCCCGGAGTTTGCGACCATTGGAAGCGAGTGTCTGCTCGTCCAACACTCAGTGGACTATTCATACAAGGTTCGCGGCGCGGAGTTACCGACAATCGTGATCTCATTTATGCTTTCTTGGGACATCCAGTTGCGAACCAAGACGGGGCGCCATTTGTGAAAGTAGATTACGTGAAGGATGTCAACGAAGTATACTTTGACGCTATGGTTCGACTGCTTGGATTGGAGCCAAATCCAGGCTTGCCTTTGGCTGTCGCTGCAGGAATGGGAAAGAAGAAGCCGAGAGACTTAAACGAGAACTTACCAACGTGGGTTATACGCTGGGAATTGGGCCTCCAGGTCAATTGGATGTGTGCTCCTGGACATTGGCATTATGCTGGAGGTATTGAAGAACGTGTGCCAAAGGTAGACGTGGACATGGAAAAGAAGACTCTGACGCTGGTCGGCGCCGTATTCGACAAAGTGACCTGGGTGAGTGAGATGATTCTTCCCAAAGACGTCGCAATAGATATGCTGGTTGAAAATCACGATCGTATTCCGGCTTTAGAATGGCTTTGGAAAGATTTTGAAAAAATTCAGAGCCGATACCCCGAAGGTTTGCATCGACGCGATGTGATGACGGTCACATTGATCGCTGGACGCTGGCCAAACGATCAAGAGAGAAAAGCGGATGATGCTGAAAATCTGGAAAAACATCGTGCTTTCGTGGACGGCTATCTAAAATACATTGCTTTCGCTCGGAAGCGCGGCACACAAACATCTCAGTCAAACGTAGCTGCGTCAGAGGAGATGACCGAGCTCCTTTCATATGCCCGCGATTATGAGGTTTTGTTCAGTCTTGTTGCTAGCAATAGACGGATGTTCGTCACCGAGAAAGGGTTTTTGGGCATTGGACCCCCGTTGTTAGTCGAGGGTGATCTAGTTACGGTATTCCAGGGCGTCAAGACACCCTTCTGTCTGCGAGATGCCATAAGTACAGAAAGAAGCAGCTACAAGCTTGTTGGACCGGCTTACGTGCACGGCGTCATGAGGGGGGAGGTTCTGGATGACAATGACCCCCTAGACCTGGGTTCAGTGCGACAACGCGATATTGTACTCGTTTAAAGGGCAGTGCATAACCCTTATCGAAGAGGGATCGACTTTACAGAATCTTGAAAAACTGGGTATTGCAAAATTCATGTCACGCTAGAACCACTCTCTTCATGTTGCTCTTTCTACACTAGGTTTTTTTTTTTTTTTTTTTTTTTTTTTTTTTTTGAAATTCTCAATCACTATCAAACCCACTCTTTCTCAACCGCCAACTGCATATATAGTTTTCAGAAGCGTCATGTTCATGAAATCGACAGCCACCACTCCGCCAACTATATTTCCCCCCTTTTTGTCGTCTTTTATCCCACATCTTACCATTTTCCTTTCTCTCAGTCTTGTAATCAGCGAAGGCGGCCTCCCCGACCTTTCGTATTGCAATCTGGTCGTTTCTTCGCCATGCTGTTGGCAACTTTTCTTCGCACATCATCGCGAGGAACAATCTTCTCAGTCCGGATCCATGATTCGTCATGTCGTACACTGTCTTGACATGTGTCAAATCTGGTGGGTAGATGGAATTGGTCAGTCGGACAATGTTGTCTGTGCATGCATCTTGAAAGGTAGAGTCGATGAGCATTTTGCCAAGTCGCCAGGCTTCCAGCAGCATAATAATTCCTGGCTCACGATTGTGATGATATTTTTCGTCTCTATCTGGTATTTGGAGATCATGGAAGTGAATCCACCGTAACCACAGCCTGAATATTATGGGGTTAATATCGGGAAGCCTTACGGGCTTTCTTTGGGAAAAAGGAACGTGCCTCGTAACGTCAATAACAGTACTGAGAAACTTTGAGTTCTGCTGGAGCATACGACTTGGAAGGTAAACACGGAGCGCTTGGCTCGAGGCAAAGTCCTTGCCGATAATGATCGGTATCTTCTCTTGTAAGAGATCATCTCTAGCTGTACAGCTTGGCTTCATCGGAGGGTATGACGTACACATCATTGATTTGGGACTTGGGGGAGTGGATAAATTGGACTGAAATGCTTGTGATTCATAATGAAGAGCATTTTTCCTTGATATGTAATTCTGGTCCGAAACTGGTAACTTAGGCACAACTATCTGGCTTAAATTCATAGAAGTTTGCTGAGGTCTCATCGCTGAGTGTTCAAGATGTGCGAGCTTTCGCGAGTTGGCGAAGTTCACCTCTGGAAAGAGGGCATTTGCAGATGCGTCTGATTGCCTTTCATCATTCTTGACGCTACGTATTCGACAATATTGTTCGCGCCTGGTTGGTTGCGGAGAAGTTGAAGCGGTAAGATCTGTTTCTCTCAGAGGGCTATATTGATCCTCTGTAAGTCTTGTGTTATTTTTTTTAACTTTAAATGCTGCCGAGGCTTGTGGAAGACCTTGGAGCGTGGCTTTTGTAGCAGGCAAGGTTGCCGAGCCAGGATTCGTGACGTTAACACCCTCGTCTCGCAAAATAGAATCTTGGATTATAAATGAGCTCGAGTATTCATGGGGACTCTCCGAGGATGAGTTGCTCCAATGGGAAATATATCGAACCGGAGATCTCGAGAATGGAGAGCGAATGTTAACACTTCTGTCACCAGTCTGTACGTTTCGCTTTCTTAGCGAACTCTTGCGCGGAAGCGGCGGCACCTCTGTTTGCAAGCATCCAATGAGTACACTGCTGGCCGCTACACCGGTTGAAGGATCAGGAATAGAATTCGCGGATTCGGGCCTCACTACAGCATCTGGAGTCATCGATGTCGCCGGATCTGTGGGAGGACGTGGGATCCATACAGGTTGAAGGTTTTTACTTGAGGCAATGTTCCATGCTCTCTCTGAATGTTCTGTTGTAGGCAACCTGGATGGCAGATCATTCGACCTGCATTGAAGGCTCTTCGGCGACTTATACGCAATCTCAGTTGATTTTGGAATTGGTTTAAGTAATCTACCGCTTAAGGGATCGAAATTATTGCATGCCTTTCGTTCGGGGTGATTAGTACCTTCTGGACATTCCATTTGATCTCTCTTGCTATTCGCCATATATTTTGATTTGGTATGCGTCAATATCAAAGCATCTGTAGCCTCCGTGGGATGGGTGCACGAGCTAAGGATACAATCGTGCCCAGCACATGGGTTTAAATTGTCTGCTAGAGTTATAGGATTCGATGAAATCGGTTCGAGAGAATTGGCATTTTCCATAATTGCCTCTGACTGGTGCATTCTTAGCGGCGTTGCTTTCGTCCCTGATTGAGCCATATTGTTTTGAGAGGCATGGGAAGCTTGAACCCTCAGAATAGGCTGTGAAATGTGTTTATTTTCAGTAGTCTTCAACCACATCCTCGATCGAATATGCTTCATCATTTTATAGGTCTTCGCGAATGCCTTTCCGCCATTTTCATGCTTACTGGTTCTTTCGCTCGACTCAGTTGATGTCTCAGCAGGTTTGAGAAGCAGCGGCCCCAAGATATTGGGTATGGCGAAAGCTGTAGCAGCCATTTTCACGAGTTGGAACTCGGGATTTTCAAGCGAATTACTTTAATGGACAGATTGCCACACATAAAACCGCAGCACACAGTATTACAATATTTATTATGTGGATACCCCGGCTGTATTAGGTGCCACAGCGCAGCGTGGAAAAACTGGTCGAAGCAAAGGATTGATCGCTAGTTATTGGGTGTGAAAGTCAAGGATTTGATAGAACTGCAACACTATGACAGAGATGCTCGAAGATTGTGGAGTATCTTCTAGTAAATAGAGACTGATCGTGTCACGAGATGGACCTTGACATGTCATCGGTTAACAACTATTCGGCCCTAACAAATACCGCCTGATGTTTGTGATAAATTCACCTTGTCGACCACTTTGCCGCGCGAGACTCACCCTTAAGTCACGGGTAATTATGGAACTGTGTCAGCGCCATTTTTGTGACCAGTTACCTGCCCGCTTTTCATCGGCTCTATTGTAACGCGTTGTTAATGAGAATGATAATCATGAGATACTTGTTCCTTTATCCGTGCCTCATCTTCCATTTTTTGACTCTTCGCTTAATGTCGCCCTCACTCTGCTGCATGACATTGAGCTCCTTATCCCAGAACATTGCTTTGTAATCATCGCCGTGCTTCTCTACCAGCCTCGCAATCCATTCTTGTTCTCTTTCGCTCTGTCCTCTTGGTTTGCTTCTTACCCCGCTAGCAGCAAATTCTTCTAGCTGCCTCGTAACCTCTGTATCTACTCCCCCCGATTTGGACAACTTGCCAATGCTCTTCCCCAGTGCGTTGTAATCTATGTCTTCCATCTCTTCAATATCGTTGAGTGGATCGTGAAGGGGGTTCTCCTTCGTATTGTCGACCACACGAACTATCGCGCCGGTTTCAGGATCACGCTCAATTTTGACCTCTTCTGCTACCGGTTTTTGCGCCTTCTCTGCTGGATTAATCGCCAATGGGTCATCAGGAGGTGCTGTGACTGAGGATTCGGCGGTAAGAGTCGCTATAGTTCGTTCTTTTCCACCAGTGGATTTATTCAACTTCGAAACAAGCCCAAGTCGACGATAATTTTGTGCAGGTGTTTCCTCTGAATTCCTTTCCTGCTATGAGAACACGCGCAAATTGTGCTTGACCAGATTTGACTTACCAGTTCGCTGCAATGATGGGATTACTTAGCAGCTGCTTCTTTGACTTGGGCTTTTGTCGCTTTTTTGGAATGCTTGAGCGATTTTTCCTCTTTTGCATTGGTCTCGCCATTGTGCCTGCTATTTCCCAAACAAAGAAAATGTCATATGTATGTTCCAGTGCCTGTGATGTTCGAGATATCGAAACTTTTTTGATCTTATCTAATCGCGGAATGATTCGATCTCCGCATTGAGGCCCCAATCTGGCACGTGCTCTCTCCCCTAAGCTGAATGACAGTTCAGACGCGCTTTGAAATTGATACATAAACATCATGATGGCGGTATCGAAGAAAGCTGCCTTGAAAGTCACTCTGCTGGCTGCACTATTACTCCAGGTTTGCGATGGACTGTCCACAAAGAAAGCAAGCCAGCTCTCAGTGCAGGAGATTGAGGAGGAAATCCAGGTTCGTATATCTTTTCCTTTCTATTTTGAGTAGCGTCTTTCCGCTCGCGTCATTTATCTCTCTGCTGAAGCATGATTGAAATGGTCCCAATCGCTCATCAATGCTGCTCTAGAACTGCCCATTGGTACAGAGTCTTAATCTCCACAAGGAAGCTGTAGCTTCCGAGACGCCATCATGGACAACCTCACTATTTAAATTCATTTTTCCAAGCTCTCACCCTGCAATCAATGCGCTCTTAGCAACGCTCTACATCTCAGGCCCGCCGAACTTCCTCCTTGCTTTATGCCCTCCAAATGTTGATCCGAACAGTCTCTCAGTGATGGTCGCGTTTGCTGTTGGTGGTCTCTTAGGTGACACGCTCTTCCATCTCTTGCCGGAAATATTCTTGGGCGAGGAAGAGGCGGGCAAAGTCAAGTTCGTTATGGTAGAACCAAATAAGAACCTTCTACTAGGTGCTGCGATTATGATTGGCTTCATGACCTTTGTTGCTATGGACAAGGGCCTGCGCATCGCCACGGGTGGTGAGGGTCATTCTCATGACCATAGTCATAATCATACCTCCCAAGAAAAAGAAAATGGCTTGAGCACAGGTATAGAAAAGACACCATCAGGGAAAGCGAAATCCCGAAAAGGCAAACAGCATGTCAATGGCAGCGCAATTACTAAGTCAGAGTCCAAGCAAGCATCGCAATCCATTAAGCTATCCGCTTATTTGAATTTAATTGCCGACTTCACACACAACATCACCGACGGCTTGGCCATGTCTTCTTCCTTCTATGCCTCGCCCACGGTTGGTGCGACCACGACTATGGCAGTCTTTTTCCACGAGATACCACATGAGGTTGGGGATTTTGCGCTTCTCATCCAAAGTGGCTTCTCCAAGCGAGCTGCCATGCTTTCACAATTTGTGACTGCTCTGGGTGCTCTTCTAGGTACTTGCATTGGCATTGCCGTCCAGGAATTTGGTGGCAATAGCGCCTCGGTCAAACGTGAAGGTCCAGGTCTTTGGGGTACAAGTCTGCAGTGGGGAGACCTTCTTTTACCATTCACTGCGGGGACTTTTTTGTATGTCGGAACTGTCGCAGTGATACCGGAAATGCTGGAAACTGGGCCGAATAAGGCGTTAGAAATGAGGAAGATGATTACGCAGTTCGCGGCGGTAGCTGCCGGTGCAGGCATTATGTTGGCGTAAGTAGTATTCTTTCTAGAGAGATCGAATTAGTCCTCATAACTAACAATTGTATAGGATCTCATGGTCATGATAAATTTCAAGAATAGACCGTTTTAATAAAATTTTGGCATTGATGACACAAACTCGTAGAAGAATTTTGCCTATAGGACATGTTCCTAATGTGGATTTTGATATCAATTCTCAAGCTCTTATCGTATTCTTTCTTCCATGCTGTCTCCGAGCTCGGCTTGAAGCGTTGAAATACGTTCCAAATGCACAATGTAAAAGAGGCAGTGATTGCAACTAAGCCTAGGCAGATGGGATAATGCCACCACAATTGAGCGGAAATCATTGAAGCTGACAAAACTTCATACTGGCAGCAATCCTGTACGTGAAAAGAAGAAGCTAAATCGTACATTTCCTCACAACTTGAATACATATCCAAGGCTTGAACTGTCGATCTTAGTGCATTAAACAAACAACGTGGAATGTTTGTTCCTAGGCTTCGCAAAGCTGATAGAGAAATAGCGTGTACACTTCGGCAGATCATATCCTCGGCCGCAGATTTCTCGATGGGGGCAAGCGTCAAAACACTTAGATTGATATTTTCTTTTTGTTTTCTTGTTTGAAGCAAGGGAAACCAGAAAACGAGAAGCTTATTTTCACGCATAGGCATAGGTCTAGAGAGTGGGGAACTTGATTAGCCCAAGGAGATCACACCTTAAGGATGAAACTTTCAAGTCTTCAAAAAGGACTATGAAGCCGTTACATATTGTCAAGCACCAAAACCTAAATCGAATTGTTCGAATAAATAAGCAGAAGTTTCCGATTATTCACCCATGTTTCCATCACTCCACGTTTTATCTGCTGGTACTGAAATTAGGGGGCTAATTTCGGAAGCTACATCAGTGCAAAGGGCAAAAACCCTAATGTAAATTTGTAGTGATAAAGCTGAGCTTGAGACTTGGGTTTCAACACTAGAATCGTATTTCAAAATTGAAAGGAGCGGAACAGAGAGTCTTTATATTAGTCATGGATGCTAAGTTAAGTTAATTCAAGCAGATAAAGTAAGCGCTAGCGAATAGCTCGATGGCTCGTCTGTAGAGTTCGAAAGAAATTTAGAAAGGATATTAAGTCAGTCATCGAGAGCCTTGATAAAAAAGCCAGTCTCGATAAGCGCTCAAGGCCATTACCACGAAACTATGTCCCTGAGAGCTACCCTCCTCACTAGCGATATTATCAGCCCACCCAGGCAAGCCGCCTTGAGGCGTTGGACTAACACGACCTGTCTCCTGGTCAATATATGCAAGAACGGCGATTCTCCACTCATTTGCCAGTGACAAGTGAGCCTTTGTGAATGCCAAAGGTGCGAGGATAGACATTCGATAGGTGGCGGCTGCCATCATTGCAGTGCTCCCAACGTCTTGGAACCTCTGCGGGTCGTCCATGATGTTATTCAGGAGATTAGGTTTACTTGCATTAGCTGCTCGGCCAGAGGCTTCCAAGATATCCATTATGCACCTAGCCAAAGACTCTTTTTCGTTTTTCCAACTTGAGGTGTTCGGCCATTTCATTATTGCTGAAAGGACGTATCAAACCAAGGACAGCCCAAGCATTCCCTGTTGCCCATGGCCGTAGATCTTCGAGAAATGGCCATTGAATGTGCCGCCAGGCTCCATACAATCTGTCATCTTGGTCTGTTATTTGTAAGACACTGTTGTATAGCATACACTGATCATATGCTTCTCTCATGATCTCAACATCGTTCTTCCTTATTGCATGATATGCGAGGAATGGTGGCACCATATAGATGAAATCAGACCAGAGAGCAGCATATTCTGAGCGATGAGTGATTGCCCCGTTTGGCCATTTTGGAGCCTGTTTAAGATGATAATATTGTCGATCGCAGGCGCTTTCATATAATCGATCATTCTCGTCGCGCAATTCGGCATAGACACCAAGTGATGCTTCATCTCTGATAGAACCTAAAATTTGATAAACGCAAGAATCGATCCACGTATTGCAAAACAACGTACCATTTCCGTCAATAAGGATATCGCCTTCCGTTAGTATGAAATCTTTAACATACGAGAGTCCCCGCACTGCAATTGCGTCGACGCAAGGCAGCTTGTTCCTTGGAAACTGGTTGAGTCCAAAGACTGACAGCTCTGGATTATACAGCTCAAGTGAACTTTCTGTTGCAGCTCCAATCTCCCAGCTTTTCGAAGCCTTCTGACATGCTCTATCCATAATCTTATGCACGAGCTCCTTAGAGACCCCGAAATCAATAGTAGCGGCAGAGGAGGGCATAAAATACTGCTTTAGAAGCATGTTCAATCATTTTCTATCAATTTGGTCACTATAAAGATGTGCAGGAACTGTGGTATCCGAAACTTGAAGCAAAGGAGGCTATGGTCTGCTGACGTACGTCTTCGCGGACAGGAGCGTGAAACCAAACGATTTTAACTTGTAGTGAAGATAATAAAAGAATGATATATATCATTCTTGCGCTCTATAGACTTAGAAGTGACCTTTAGGCAACAGCCCCAGGTAGACTCCCAGTATCACTTAGGCGCATTTCGTCAAATAGAATCGTATCACGTTGCAAGCCGAAAGCGGACATTGAATTACACAGCCTATTTGGGTTTGGACACCACAGACATTTCAATAGTAGAATTTAATCGAAATCATCTTTCTCTATCTCTATTTGGAAATGATTATCTGGCTATGTGGAATCTAAGCGGTGGTCAGGATTAGAATCTTCCTTTCTCATTCGTTAATGCAGCTATATATCCGTACTTCGAGGCCAGTGGGCTTAGTTCTAGTGGCCGAAGCATCGAGCTACGGAAACACGAGGTCCTCAGACGCTGCATTTTCGGCTGGACCGGCGAAATTGAATACAAAAGACTAAATCGCCTCGAAAAGGTGATTTGGAACGCAATTAGGCACGTTCTAGAAGAATTATGCAATCATGAGTGGGAAATGCTGCGATTATTTGATGAGTTCTCTTACGACTCACCTTCTCAGCGCGATAGCTCTTCCTTTCATAATGATCTGCGCCGCATTTGGCTCGCAACGGCAAAACTAGTCCGGTGACTAGGATGGAACCGTCCAACTCGTTGTCAAGAGTGGTGAAAGTATGACGAGCTCTGCTACATTCCTATGTGGCCACTAATTTACTCCCTGGACACGGCCAGGGGGGAGTCTTCGCGGGGGAGCAACTATCATCGGAAGATTTGGAGGAGGTCTGGAGACCTAAATGCATCTCACGTTATATGTATGATCAAGGAGGTGGGAAGGGTCGAGATCCATGGCACCAAAATGCCCCTGTTAGTGATGTCCCGTACGATGAAAGTGAAGATAACGAGATCAATCAAGCAAGGGTTTGAGAGAGAGAGGGAAAGAGAGAGAGAGGGAAAGAGAGAGAGAGGGAAAGAGAGAGAGAGGGAAAGAGAGAGAGAGGGAAAGAGAGAGAGAGGGAAAGAGAGAGAAAAGGATGATGCTTCTTCGACATCTAAGCACTTCCTTGATGATATGAACATGTCGTTCCAATCGATAAGGATAAAGGAAGGCTCATAGTGCTTGTAATACCAGAATGTTGTGTAGAAACTAGTATCCCCAATTGACAGCTCTAACTTTTCTTATGGATTTTGTGATTCGTGCTCGAAGCTCAAATCTTTCTCTTATGGCTGGCTTTTCCACTTCGAACAAGTTTATGGGTCGAGATTCGCTGTGCTCACAAAACGACAGGTCAGGAACTCTTGCCTACAGCTCATCCGTCTCATAATAGTGTTTGGAATCAATACTGTGGCCAAAAAAATTGTAGGTTCCACACATGAGTACTGCCTTCCAGAAATAAAGAAGTTGCCATTCGGCCTTTTGATAGGAGAATATTACGCATGAATTTCGGCGCTTACTGAGCGGCGAATGTATTTTGATCACTTGATATAGTCACAGAAAATAGGTTTTGCGACTTGTAACTATCCACAAAATAGATGCGTATAGACGACGAAAAATGCTGAACGAGACCAGCAGTCTTTTCAAATGGACATATTCATTGCATCATACGGGTACTAGTTGCCTCACGCTCTTTTGAGCCTTCTAAGACATCTCTATTTCTGCTCGAGGGGTCTCTGTCCGTAAACAATAAAGCTAGCAAGGCTCAGCAAGGGCACACAAGATGAAAATAAAAAAATAAACTTACTAATCATGCTGTATCTGCATCTTCGGGTTGAGCATGTCCTTCCTGACCTGCGACAGAAATACTTGCACTTCCTTCGGATCCCATTTGTGGACGTAAGTGAATACCCGCAAGGAAATAGCTTCGAGGCCATCGAGAAACTGCAGCAAATCAAAAGTCCCAACCTCTTTCTGTGAAGCCAGGTTAAGAAGCGAACCATAAATTAATGGCAAGGACATACAAGCTTTGGGTCTTTTGGCCAGGGACCTAGTGGCATAGGAAGCAAATGCGCTTTCACATTGATAAAACCTGCTTTTTTCATCCAGTCCTCAAGCTGATGTCCAGGATGGGGTTCGAGTCCCAAAGATTGAATACCGTTTGCAACGCTCTTGCCCCAGACATCGGCCGGACAGCCTTCTTTAAATTCACCGCCATTCGTATAGAATATCATGTCAAAGTCCTGCATTTCCACCCAGCCACCTGGCTTTACGAAACTTATCCTCTCAGGTTAGAGAGGAGACCATAAAGGTTGTGAATGACTCACCGGTATGCTTGTTCCAGCAGGCGTGGCCAGTTTTTAATCGAGCCGGTAAGATAGCGACCGTGAATGTAGTCGAAATTTGCTGAGTAGACCCAGTCACTTTCTATGTCATCCACTTCAAATCTCACATTTGGGGGAACGCTGTGCAGTCGATCAGTCTAAGTAAGGTGCTCGGTGCTTTAGCAACTCACGAGGTGGGCTGGACTGGGCTTATGTCGTTGCCGATAATCTGCGTCACATTTCAACTTCGATTCTCTTTCAAAAACACTTTAAGCTGGAAACATGGGAGAGTGATTGTACCTCAGCGGAAGGATATTTGTCCCCTTTGAGGAAGTTAGCCAGGTAATTTTTTTTTCGAACGGTGAATTTACCCATTTCTATTGCCCATATCCCAGTTCCGGTACCAAGGTCTAGAATGCGCTGGGGGTCTTCACCGATTGGAGCAAAGTGAAGTTTGCCATCCTGCCTTAATAACAAGCAGTGATGAAACAAATCTAATCGATCGAGTTCTTCCTGATGCTCAATTAGCGGACGATGTCGATGATATTCATGCGCTACGTGCCTCGTCGTTTGGTAAAAAGTAAGCTGTGCAAACTTGTTGTTAATACAGACGGAGATTTGCCATGAGCACCACATCACACCTGAATCTTTGGGAGCGTGATATCTTCTGCCGTTCTCGCGTATATAATTTGTTGCTGCAGACTTTAGGCTTGTCGTGTAACTCTGACTGGTCGACGTTAGCGTTAGGCTCACACACTTTGAGCCATGCACCCTCACGTGTCCTCTCCCAGTGCAGAGTCAGTGTCAGCCTCATCAACATCATGAATCTGCGTGGCCGCAAAAGTTAAATTATGAAACGATGTATGCACTGGGGCGTATCACAGAACGCTTGCCTCTTCAGCTTCAATGACATTGTCGGCGTTTGCGTTGGATTGCGCTGCCGCCTGGGCTCCGTCAGACTGGCCTGGTGCATCTCTAGGCTGAGAAGAACCGGGCACCGCCGAGTTCTCAGTTGCGCTCATATTTTGTTTCGCGGCAATCGTTGTAGGTAGACTTTCTCAGGGCGGACAGAAAATTAGGAGGGGTTCAACTAGTGCGGCCAAACTGCAACGGAGCGGAGCTGGGCCACAATCAATGGAGAAATCGGCAAGTTATCCTAGAAGCTGGATGTCCCCAATCATGGCAGAGAGATATACATGTTTCCTGGTCCCAGCACAGTGGTTTGGAGACAGGTATCCCGCTCTGTCTCCTTCTCGCACCGACGAACGTGTGATTCATGCGCCTCACAGAGTCTGATCTCTTGCAGAATTGGAACATCGTTTAAAAATCGGCAAGGGCCGCGTTGGGTTTTGAGCGCTAGGAGACGCGGCCAATGATCCCAGTGACGTGGATCAACGAGGTCGTCGAGGATGCGCTGAGATGCAACCACGGCTCCGCGGCCCGGCTTCCCCGGCGGCTCGGTCCGCGTAGACGGTTGTGTTTGAAAGCTCATTAAAATGTCCATTGGCTTGACCGTGTGTCTGAATATCAGTTGACAGGATGAAAGTCTTTTGGTAGCAGCAGAGCCTGGTCGCTGGCGACCTGTGTCTCGGTATGCGGTGTGGTGGACTTTTCGTCTACATCGACAGGCTGCCAACAAGGATAACAGCCGATACCCCACGCTGCAACGCAAGCGGCAAACGCGATAAACCGAATCAATGCCTTCTGCAGCCAACAGGTGGTCAGTGTTTAGGCACATTGCATTGTTAAATGCATTATCGGCTGCATTCCGACTGCCTCTCACCGAACTTGTATTGGTCTCGTAAGCGCCCCCATTGTGTTTGATACTGGTCATCCATCTCCGACCTGGAACTGCAATCCTTTAAGCATCAATTTTTGGGTCATAGCTGGCCACACAATTTTCACCATCGCCGCAGCCTCAATTCCTTCAATTACGAGATATGGAGTGGCTGCGCTCGCTCCCGACCGTAGCTGTCGTTCCCTTATGCGGCCTTTCTTGGGCAATTTGCACATGTGTTTACCGGCTATGGTTTCACCCATTGGCAAAATTCCCCGGCCCCAAACTCGCGGCTCTGACCACCTGGTACGAGGGCTATTATGACTGTATTGGATACAAAGGGAGATATACGTTCAAGCTTGAAGAGCTGCACAAAAAATATGGTATTCAGCCAGGCGAACATCGTCATGTTCCGCACCATCCTTTTTGCGTAACCGTGGCTGATTTTCGCAGGTCCAATTGTACGGATTGGCCCTAATGAGTTGCATGTCAAGGACCCAGACTACTATGCTCAGTTGTACAACATGAGCAACCGACTTGACAAATACGATTGGTACTATGGAATGCTAGGCAACCCAGAAGCGACATTTCCATGTATCAAGCATGAAGTTCACAAGATTCGGCGGGGAGCGCTTAATCCATTCTTCTCTCCAGCCGCAGTCCTCCGATTTCACCCCGTGGTACAGAGAGTGGCCGACCGGCTAACAGACCGTATGAAGCAGAGCATCGAAGAGGGCAAGCCTATCCCAGTATTCTTTGCTTTCCGTTGTCTTACGGTAGACATCATTTGCGAATATCTCTTTGGCAAGCAATTGCATCTGGTGGATCGAGAAGATTGGGGGAGAAGCTTTTACTCAGCTTGGCGCGGCCTATGGGAAATGTCTCCCATGATTCGTCAGTTCCCATTCCTCCTGGACATGTTTCGAATGACCCCACGATGGTTGCTTGCGCTCACGAATCCCAAGGCTTTGGAAGTTCTGGACATGGAAAAGCAGACTGATAGTTGGACAAAGGAATTGCTCGAATCGAACCCAGAAGATATCGCAAAGAAGGAGCAAAAGACAGTCCTTTGGGAGCTTGCACATAGCGATTCTGTTCCTCCGGAGGAGAAGACCTTTGAACGTTTGGCCATCGACGGAAACAACATTTTGGCGGCAGGTTTTGAGACCACCGGTACAGCTCTCAGCCACTTGATGTACGGCGTCTTAGAAAATCCGGAAATACATAAGAAGCTTTACAAGGAGCTGGAAGAGGCGATCCCAGATCCAGACCACATGCCCAATCATCGTGAACTCGAAAAGCTCCCATACTTCCATGCCGTGATCAAAGAAGGTATCCGGTAAGCCAAACAATGCACCCAAGTAAGAGATGATGAATTCTGACGTGTCCACAGCCATGGTGTTGGTGCTTACGGGCGACTTTCGAGAGTTAACAAAAAGGAGAGCATGCGCTACAAGGACTGGGTCATTCCTGCAGGCGTAAGTCGCGCAGCCCCGAAGGAACCATTGTCATTTGAATCTGACATGCAACAGTGCGCTATTGGAATGTCTCCATATTATGTGCTGTGGGATCCCGAGATTTTCAAGGATCCAAGTACGTTCAAGCCCGAGCGATGGCTCGAGCCTGACGCTCAAGAGCGTCTCGAACCTTACTACATTGCTTTTGGGAGAGGCCCACGTGCCTGCGTTGGTCTGAATCTTGCTTATGCCGAACTGTACACCGTTTTTGCCGCCGTTATTCGACGCTTCCCTACTTTAAAGCTTTACGAGACTAACCCGGAAGATGTTGTTGCAGAGCATGATTTCTTTGGGGGCATGTGGAAATTTGAGGAGGGTAACATGAGTCTTCAAGTTAAGGGTTGATAGATACTCTTTCTTACGGATGGAAGAGGACAGTTTTTCTTTCTCTCCTTAAAGTCTGACATTTGACTAGCCCTTTACGTCTTGAAACAGGAAGTGTTTTGCGGGTTATGCTGCAAACGACCGTATTCTGGCCAAATCATGATTAAGGTTTTTCTTAGTTATGAAGTCTCATGTCTGCCAGTTTTTTTTGACTTGCTGGTTCTACGTTTATCCATACGTGGTTCTCATTATATGTCTCGCTTTGTCGCATCATGGCCTCAAACGCCTGCGACGCTTGTATTACTTTGCTTTGCAATAGCTTCCGATCGACTGTGTCAATGTGCGGTAAGACAAGAAGGCCAATGATGTAGTATGATCTGCTTTGCTTTTCTGTCTCAACCTCATCACGAAATGAGCTCAGTCTGAAAGGCCACGCCTGACCATGAAGTCCTGTGATTCGACTTAGGTTGACCATCATAGAGGGGATACGACTTTCAATGCTTCCAAAAATATCGCGACGGAAGCTCATGCCGGCTTTGGGAAGATCCCACATGTCAATCGTTATGGTGATGAAGGAACGGAACTTTGTAACAAAGTCATCAAGTACTGCATCACGTGAACGAAGCATCCACGTCCAGTCCGCCGATCTAAGCTTTTCAGCGGCAAGCTTAAATTCAGCTGAGAGAGTACACGCTGAAAATTTCGAGCAGCTTGATGAAACATTAAGCCGGGCTGTTGGAGAATGAATTGCGAGAATGACGATAGGTTCCCGAACTGTTCGGCGGTAGTTGAGATGAGGGTGATTTGGATCGTAAATTGAAGCCGAGCTCCATGCAAAGTTGGCGTAGTATTCGACAAATGTGCGCACGAGTCCTGCAGCAGTTATTGATGTAACGACTGTAGGGTCCAGTCGCTTTATAACGTGATTCAGCATTAATGAAAGATGCACACCCCCGAGGTATCCAAATTTCACAGAGTACAATCCGCGTCGGCGCAGATATAGCGATAGATATCTGTGAGCCTGCTGGAAAGCTTCTTTATAGTCTATAGTGCGTAACAGGTGCATTGTGTCCCGAAAAGTGTTCAGAGGCCGCATTGCTGCTGGAGGGAGAGTGAGTGCCCACCGCTGATTTATGAAAAGTTCATCAACCAAGTCAGTGCTGCTTGACTGTTGTTCTAAAATCTGCGGAGCTTGGCAGTACTGGATATCGAACTTGATATTGTCCAGCTCGACTTCAATTACTGGGACAAGGGAATTGATGTAATGTACACCACGAAAACGTTCGGCAACATTACTTAGCCTAAGGATAGACACGTTGAAGAATGCAGATATAGGTAATGAGCCGATGATTAGAACATCAACATCCGAGTCAGCAAAATATGTTCCTAAAGCAAATGAGCCTAATGGAACAACTGCAACGTCTGATAGTCGAGCATCGCTTCTTAGGATTCTGGTGAGCTTCGAAATTGATCTTTTCCGCAGTTCATGATCTTCTTCAGAAGGCAAGAAAGGTAGAAGTTGGAGTTCTAGAATCCTATCATCTTGAATGTATGATATGTGTTGCCTCTCTCGCGCATGTGCTGTCGTTTCGTTTTCGTCTGCTTTCTTGGACGGCGCGTGTAGTACAGCGGCTATGCCAAAGTGATCGCTTCCGCACCGGCCTTCTTCGTTCGGTTGGCCAAATATACAAAAGTCCTCCACTTGAAGCGAATCCACTTTTCGAAAAAGAATGCGATCATATCGCTGCGGTCTCTGATCTGCTGGTGCATTCGACTCCGCTGCCAGTGGATTGACCTGCACATCAAATGTCGCACCGTCATCTTCGCTCAGAGGACCCTCCTTAGAATCCGAGAATACGTCAAAAGCATCGCTCCACATCTCTGGATCCACAAGAGTTCGGGTAACAATCGAGGTTGCGAGACTGATGTCGCCCTTTTTAACAGCTAGGTCGATGGTTATTGAGGAGCTGGCCAAATTGAAATCACCGGCAATTACCGGCAACCGGCCGCTGTTCTTTGCATTTTCGTTAAGGAATGCAGTCAAGGAAGAAAGTTGCCTTCTTTTTGCAGCCACCATGTCATCCTTAAGGGCAGCTGTTAGATGGATGTTTGCAATCTGAAACATAGAAGAACGCGGTCTGACGATCAGCGCAGACTTGTGACGCTCTTCAAAATGATGGAACATGAAGTCAAACGGTCTTGTTGATAGGGTGAAAAGATTAAGATGGTTTTCTAATGTTGAAGAAGAAGCATGGCTGCAGAACGGGTAACGTTGTTGAAAAAAGGGATGGCCTAATATTTTTACCATCATGTGGCTGCTAATCTCTTGAAGGCAGAGAACTTCATCAAGCTCGTTTCGGGTCGTTTTTTGAATAGCTTCTATAATCAACGGTAGTCTATCATCAAAAGAGCACCCGAAAGTATCTGCGAGCAGGTTATAGCTTAGAATAGAGAGTCTTGAGGGTCTTGACCGTTCTGACGTGTTGTCAGCTTCTGTTGTCTGATGTCGTGTCCACATGTGTTCGGACGAGTAGTGAAAGCATTCTGACCATACCGAATTCACTTTCTCTGAATTTTCGGCTGATTTTTCCTGGTTCGCAGATGAAATGTTGTCGCTTTCAAGAGATAGGTAGTCAACAACCTCCATCTCGCCAGCTGGTTTGCGCCTTAAGACAGCCAGCTCCGAAGCTTCCCATCTTACGCCAACAGTAGAACCACATTTTTCAACGAATTTTTCAAGTGATTTACTGTTGAGAGATGCTTGTCCAAGGGTCAAGTGAGGACGGTAGATTCCATCGTGGGTTCCGACATCATCGCTGAGACCGAGAGCTTTCACAAGTCGACTTCGAAGCTCCGAAATTGCAACCTCAGATTCATCGCTTGGCTGGAGAAACACTGTAGCGTTCCTGCGATGAGTAAACGTTCCGACCCGATCAAGAACCATGCTGCGATGAGGCAAGACTATCTGCTTGACGGCTTCGCGAAGAATCGGGAGGACGATTGACAGCTGCTCCGGCCTTACGCAAGGATAAAGAACATTAATATGAGGAGGCCATTTATGAAATGCACGATCATGAACGCGCCTTATGGAATCGATATTGGTCGACTCTGATGGAGGCAGAAGAAGTGCCACAGCGGTCGCCGTTGAGTCAAGAGAAATCTTGGAGCCGGACTCCATGATCTGGGTAAAGCGAGAAAAATTTCTTCTATGGGGTCCTTGATCTCTGAATCGTATTAATCCAGGCATAACATGCCTACTTATCCGCTTCATTTAGGGTGGTCTCCCTCAGCGTGGTCAACCTTTCCGGTTGGTGGCGGTGTCACTTTGGTGAAACTACCAAAATGCGCAGAATCTCTATGAGTCAAACTGAAATCCATGATTCGAGGACCTCCATGTTCAGACCAATCTTGTGCTGTCCAAGCCACCACAATCCAAGAGATACGACATTTAAGTGCTGAAAACTAGCTCCCCGCGTTCGGAGCGATCTCATCTTCGTTAGCCTCGAAACGTGACCATAAAGTTAGATTCAACAATGCGGTTTCTTTCTCACCGAATGCTCTTTTGAGTAGTTTGATATGAAAGTGGACGTTTTTTTTTGACTGGGGCCTTGCATCGACTTCCTTATTGGCGCTAATGGATACGAAATTTGCGTACTTTGGAAAGCGGCGATTGCTTTTTACTTGCAAATCCATCGTCACCGAGGTTGTGTGTGCCGGATCCCAAAGAGGAAGACCGCTCATCGCTCATGGCTGCAATATTTTGAGCATAAAATGTCATTCAGATTCGCACGTATCTCCAAGATGATCAATTGACTCGAATAAGACTTTAACTCTGAGTCATCACTCACTTCTCGTGGTTTCATCCATGGCAGCAAGAGACCCAACATTCTCAAAGTTTTCCGTTGCAGAGGGCAAAGCCTACGCAGAGAATAGGGGAATTCAGTATCCACCAGCTGTTTTTGAAGAGATCCTTCGTTATCATGACGGTGGCACTGGCTTGGCTGTTGATGTTGGATGCGGGCCTGGTAATGTAACTCGGGACCTCGCCAGGTATTTCGATAAAGTCATCGGCCTTGACAACAGCAGTGGCATGATTGAGGCGGCCCAGGCTATCCTGGCAGACGAAAAAAATGGAAATATTGCCTTTGATATATGGGCTGCCGAATCTTTAGACAAGTATGCTGGCCTTGAAGCTGATAGCGTTGATGTGATCACCTGTGCCGTGTCGGTAGGTCAAGGACACTACACAAGTCGCAATGCACGAAGAATAAGATCTATTTGATTGAAATTGATTTTGCTGACGTATTCAAGATTCATTGGTTTGATCTGCCGGCCTTTTATCGCGCTGCTGCTAAAGTTCTCAAGCCCGGAGGCTCAATTGCGGCTTGGGTCAGCGCGCCAGCCAAAGCAGGTACTTTTCTGTCCGCGGAATGATTGTGAGATGCTGGCGAGACTAATATATTGCACCAGCTTCCTCGTGCCCTCATGCTACTGAAATCAATGCGGTTTTTAGCGAGCTTAACACTGCACTAAAACCATTCAAAATGCCAGCAAACGTTCTAGCCGACGGGCAATATGAAGACTTGCCGCTCCCGTGGACAATTGAGCCACCAAACTGTGATTTCGAAAGTTCATCCTTCAAACGTGTTGTTTTCTGCGAGGAGAATGGGAATGCACTGTTGAAGTCTTATCCGCTGAAACTCGATCGGCTTGAGCAGGGCATGCTCTCGGCGAGCCCATATATCAGATGGAGGGAAGCAAACCCGGATCTTGCGGGCACAAATCAAGACATCTCAAAGCTCCACGTTCAAAAGATGCGGGATGTTCTCGGAGGGGTAGAGGTCATAGATATGGAGGTCCAGTTGGTGCTCATCATGATGAAAAAAAAGTGAGCTAAGGCATATTTCTGCGGCTGATAGCAAATAAATTTGAATTTTTTACACGATCCCTCTCTTTGTACGACGGATTTGCCCATGAAACATGAATATAAAATGATTAATGATTTCGGGCTTGAAAATTAGTAAAAATACAGACCTGCTTCTAAGGTCACGTGTCGTATTCACGTCAATGCGCGACGCGTAAATATGCGGGTTTCACCATAACGGACGAAACGTTGAAACCAAATTCGAATTTTGTCCAAGCGATACTCACGGAGAAGGACGCGATGACTGGGGAAAAGACAATTGCAGCGCTCAAAACGAACTTTCTGCGGCAGCAGATCCGGATTCTCTCGCAGCCGCTGAAACTCAGCGACAAGGCAAAACAACGCTCGGAATTTTCAGACAATGAATTGAGGGACGTGATGCTTAAAGGTGTGTATGAAGGACTGGAGTCAAAATATGTTGATGCCGACTACATTCAAGCGAATCAAATCGTACGACGACATAACAACGCTGTGTTCGACCGGGTAGCAGTCTCAAATGTTGCTACGCAGATTGAGCAGTTATTTTGGTACTCTTCGGAGCCGGATGACCATCTTGCGGGCGGCGAACTTGGGGACGATGGTGTTTTGAGAATTGGCGACGATCTCGCGGACGCAGAGTATGGCTCTGAATTATCTTGGTCAGACTGCCACTGATATTGATCTTCAGTAATATCCACAAGCTCTCGACGATGTTTGACGAAGATGAGCAGTCGACAGAGTTTGCAGAGGCCTTGGCCCTTTTGCAGGATCTCAGCGAAAAACAGCAAGCTCTTAAACGAAAACTCGAGAGATATAAACGGCTGCAAAGGCTGCTCGAGCCCTTAGAGAACCCTCAGCAAAGTGTGCAGCCAAATCTCGTGACGCGAGATGGCCCGCTAGCTGATGAGCTTGCGAGGTCGAAAACATTGGGCATTAGGGTGGCTGGCGGGCTTGCTCGAAGAAATGAGAGAGGGGAGAGGAGCAGCGCATCAGAGAACGGTGATATCGACATGGTTGACGAAGGCCAGAAGGTCGCAGCACTCCTCAAGGAGTATTGAAGATGAATACCACAGATTTTACGAACTGATTTCAAGGACTAGGTTCATTATGTACAAGTAAATCACAGATTTATGTTGTAATATAGCAGCGGGAAGGCTCGTAGCAAGACTGTGAGCCACGTGTATGGTTTTATTTCTTCACGAAGCGTGGCAAGAGATACCCACAACAAACGACGGAGCTACGACAAAGTAAACAAATGCAACGTGTAATTGAAGCAATGCCATAAAATTAGCCATATCATTGCAGCAGGTACTAGTAGTTCTCATACGTTGACCTGTGCCATCTGCTCGTGAGTATGTCTTAAGCCGGTTTACACACAAGCTACCAGGAAACAGCCAATCAGCAGCGGTAGCATCTCAACACTACAGACAAGAGGCACGGAGTCGCTCCCTAGATCTGTCCAACTTTCGCCACGCCAACCTTATCTATACGAGAGTGAAATTCAACTGTCCGTGACTGCGCTGTTGAATTAAGAACTCTAAGCGGATCGCCTTTCGCCCACTCACTCATACGCTCGTTCCCGCCGCTCGAATTGAGGAGCGTTGCAGGGCCCTCAGCCACAACAGCATATTCCTTTCGCTTGACCCTATTAGGGTGAGGAGATTCACCTCGCCTTCTCTCGCCTCTTTTCGGCAGGCTTTGAGCACTCAAAGGATAGATTGGAAGCGCTCAGAGTGCGAGCGAGTGCAACACGTCGGCGTCTCCTTGACCAAGGCGGTTAATTACCGTCTCGCCGAGGCTTTGATCCGACGGCCCTGGAACGTGGAATACCAGCCGCAGGACATTATTGACGAGAAAGAGTGGCCCTAAAAGCCCACCGAAAGACAGGGACACGCAGAGGCCCCAGGAAAGCGACTGGGTGGTGCGCCTGAAGGTGACTGCAGTCCTGTAACAGCAGTTCTTCCAGGCGTCCAGCATAGAAGGCGTCTACCCGACAGTGACAGCTCATCGCAGAGACTCTCCACGACTCTTCCGTCTTGTGAGCTCTCAACACTCAGAAGCGAGATTGTAAGCCCAGTTGACCTCTGTCGCGAAGTATCTTCGCTGCTTCACAGCAACACATCGTAGCAGCTTAGCAGCGGTGACTTCAAAGCCTCAGCGTGGTCACTCGTCAGTCACGCGCACAGCTGCTGTTGCATCCGTCGACGCAAGTACAGTGCCTCCTTCGTGCGGCGCATAACCAAGCGGTGCAAACGACGCACAGCGCAGTAGCCACTGCAGGCCGCCCACCAATCAGTCCCGATCCGACATTCCTTCAACCGACATTGCATGCCACCTTGCCAAACCCTCCCTCGCCGCCGGACACAAAATGAACAACTATGCCAACTTCGATCCGGGCAGCCTGAACCCGAACAACCTCGCGCGGCAAGCGGGCCAGCAACCACCACAACCCAGCCAAATGAATGGCCTCAGCGGCGTCACGCAATGGCCCAATGTGGGTGCTCAGTCGGACATGAATATTCTGTGGGAGTACATCGTCAAGCTGTCGGAGATGCATGAGCAGATAAGAGCCCAGACGCAGCAGGTGACGAGTGGCATGCAGCAGATTGAGAGCCTGAGGTCGGGCAACGCAGGCTCATCGGGCGGCTCGTCTGCACCGCACGTCAACGGCGTCGTGAACGGTATGTGTGACCCGCACAGTTCCCTTCCTCACATATATTCGATGGGCAACTTTTGCACATGCTAACAGAAACCTGTATCAGGTGTTCCGTCCGCATCCACAGACTCCGCCGAGGTTGCGCGTCTTCAGCACGAACTGCTCAGCGCCCACTCCAAGATCGAAGACCTCACGGCTACCATCACGACGCTGCAGAATCTGAACACGGACTATGAAAACGCCATCTCGCACACGCTTGACAAGCTACGCCCCTTCACACAGTCCCACGCGCAGGCACTCCTTGCCCAAAAGGCGCACTACTTGAACCTCCTAGAGCAAGAGCGGCACCAAAATCTCGAGCTGCGCATGGAGCAAAGCCGATGGCAGCAAAAGGCCAAGGAAGTCAAGGACATGCTCGTCGAGGCGATGAAACTACAGAGTCAGAGCGAGATTGGCTATGTTAAGAAGATCGCCGCGCTCAAGGCGGATAACAGGAGCCTCAGAAGGATATGTGGGGTGCCGCTCATGGACGACAGCGACGACGACAGCGATGACTCCCCAGACAGACTGTTGGCGAGGGATAGTGCACGGCAAAGCCCCCAACAGGGAAGATCGGAGGCGGAGGGCGTGGCGCAAGGTGAAGAAAGACGGATCACAATCCATTAGACACCTGGACACACTGGATGAGAAGGGAAGGCAGAATGATACCCTGTCGATTAGATTGTTACATGCATAGCGCGGCGCTGACTGATTCTGTCGCTGGGTTCCGGTGAAGTTCGAGCGGTTGATGTTCTTGACATGCCTCGTACACTCCTCGCTCGTTATGTTGTTGATGATGCTCCCGGCTTCAAAGTCTGCGAGTTCTATTTACATCAACAGAGCCATCTTTACAAAGGCGAGCCAAACCGGCGTGCACAGTCGATCGTGATATGAGATTGTTAGTCAGGTCAGCTCAGCCGCACTCAGTTGTCATGCCTGATAGGCTGACGAGCCCGGAGACCAGGCAGCACCATTCCATAACAGGACAAGGGGCAAAGTCTGGAAGATCAGGTGAAAGAAACTTTCGAGAGACAAAAATAGAGAAAGGGGAGAGAAATAAATTCGTGAGAGTCGAAAGCAGCGGAACTTGATTGAAAGATCTCAGTACATAATTGGTGCCTCCAATTAAACTAAGATGTAGTAAAAACTCCAAGCCCGTTGCATGATGTTCGTTGGGTTCGTGCAGAGGAATTTTTGGATTAGAAACCCCGCCTATGCGTGACAAGTTGGCCCCAGGAAAAACTTCCGGGCACATCCGTCTCGTCTCATGCGTCGTCTCACCGTTAAGAAGAATTAAGACTAACTGCGCAGGATATCGACATAGGAGAATGGGAGTACATGAAGTTTATCGAAGTCGGGTATCTTTGATTAACGGCAGCATGACCATTCATGCGTTGTCATGTATTGCCGCCAGTTGCGCGTGATTACATGGTGGCTGGGTGGCCTAATACTTCAATATGATGTACAAAGCGTGGATGATGCCTGGGATGTACCTGTTTGGGCGGGCGCATCAGCATACTGGGTTGGAAGGACGATGCGGGGAGGCGAAGAGAGACACATACCCAAGAATGGTCAACAAAATGTTGATTAGGAAGTCGGCGTTGCATCCGCGCTCAAGGAAGACACCGAGCGGTGGCAGGATGATGGCGAAGATGATCTTGATGATGTCTGAGCCGGTGAAAGGCATTTTGGCTCGTCCCGTGAAGGTGCTGCGGCGGGCCGTGGCTGTGAAAAAAGAATAGTGGATGGGATGCGAGGATAGATTAGCTGTTGGGCCTGCAGTGAGATGGTTTGTAGTGAAGGAAGCTGGTCCAGAACACGAGCAGCATGCGCCTGGTTTATATGGCGGCGCTGGCTGGAAGAGCAGCGACAATGACGTAAGGGCTGCTCACGCATGGTCTTGTCTGGGCAGGAGCCAACGGGCGTGTGTCCGACGCGCCATTGGACAAAAGCAGGAAGGAACGTTCAACCGAGCCATGGCTGTGATGGCACGCGCCAGCCTGGGATGATTTCTTGAACTTGGCCTGCGTCCAGGCTTTGTTTCCTGTGTTTCTGTCCCCACATCCACTTTTATCACGTCAAACTTGTTAGGCCATCTTCTCTTCGAGGCTCTCTGCTGCTCTTCTGTTTGCTTACACGCGTCGCTCTCGTACCTTTTCTGCGTTTGCCAGAGCTTCTGCTTTCCATCGCATGCATTTCCGTCCGTGGCAGACCGCCCCTTTGTCAGCTTTCACAACTCGTACGGCAGACTTTCGGGTCCGGATCTCCGCCAGAAGAACAACCCGCGGCCATCGTTTTGACTTGGCAACGCAAACGCAAAGACCAGCCATCGCCCAAACAAGCTTTTTTCTACAAAAGTCCATGGACCCGCTGGACAAGACTAACGCACAGCCACAGGCGAAAAGATCGCCGACGTCATCCCATTGGCTCGGACCACCAGCTGTGGCGTGAGCTGCGCACGGCGCTTCTGCTCATCCTTGTATCTCTAGCAGAGTGATGGCATCGATGAGGCGTTTCACAAGCCTTGTGAGGGGCATGATAAGATGATCGCGATGAGCCATTGTTCATGTATGAGGCGTGGATGTGCATCTTACGTAGCGGCGTCGCCACACCTATAGATCTGCGTACCCAGTGAGTGCGCTGACGTCCCACGCCCTGCCGTATCTCTGTAATGAATTAGACACTCGACACGTGATAATAGCACGCGAACGAGGCTGGACATGTCCGATAAAGAGCGAGTATGGGTGTCCAAATTTTCAGTGAGGGCCTGTATAATCATATTTCCTGTTTTGTGCCGGTTACCCGCCTGTACAGCGCGAAGTTTTCTTCCCCGGCGAGACGGCGAGCTCCGAGAGAACTAGTGATGCGATATAGGATCTTCATCTAGCTACGAACCCTTTCAAATTGAAACTTTAATCTCTTCCCTTCATCAACAATCTGAATCGCCCGCCAACAGGTGGTAAGACGCCAGCAACACCAACCATGGCAGAATCCCTAGATACTCTTCCCCCCGTCTCCACCCTCCCCTCTCTCCCCACTTCCACGCGCGCCCAAATACTCGATCTTCTCTTCGAGCCGTCCCAAGCTCTGCACACCCTCTCTCTTCCGCTCACATCCACAGAGAGCACTCATTCCTTCCGTACGTACGATGACCTAATCGCCGCGATTGGCATACAGCTTACTGAGCTCGCCGAGTCGGCCTCCACCAGCGACACCGAGTGGCTCGAGCAGATCCTGGGCTCTCACCCTCGGCTAGGTGAGAAGAAGGTTGACTCTAAGCTGAGCCGGATGGAGCAGGCGGCGATGGCGAAGGCGAGCGGCGATCAGAGAAGCGAGGCCGAGATCGCGGCCGAGATGGAGACGCTGGCGAAGCTCAACGCCGAGTACGAGGCGCGGTTTCCTGGGCTGCGCTACGTGTGAGTTCTCTTTCCTTCGTCCCTTTGGACTGCTCCTCCTGCCGTCACGGTATTGGTTGTTTCACGTGCTGATCGGTGTCCTTTTTCACGTTCGCAGCGTGTTTGTCAACGGTCGTTCGAGACCTGTCATCTTTGAGGACATGCGGCGGAGGATCCAGCGGGGTGATATCACTGCCGAAAGGAAGGAAGCCATCAAGGCATGTTTTGAATCCCATCTCCTTGCCCCCTCAAATTGTGACGGAGGACCTAACCGCGTCTCCCAGGCCATGTGCGAAATTGCATCGGACCGAGCGAGGAAGCTCACGCGGCTTTGAAGCAACGAGGAAAAATGGAGCCTGGTTAAGACTCTGGTAATGACTTCATTTTACGTGATATATTTATGCACCTCATCACACCCTCGCGGGGTGGCTTCTTAGATATCGCCCTAAAGCAAAGAAAAATATAAAATAAAAGAAGTCGCTAAATAATACACCGGCGCTCAACTTAGAGAAGTGCCAAAGTGAGAAAATGGATCTAATCTAACGCGCGTCGTCCATGTTTCCCTCCACGAGTTTGATAGGAACCACCCAGTCGCTTCCGAATTTGACGCCCCTGCTGCCAGCCAGGCCGCTTCTCTTCCACGCCTTCTCTACGCCGATGTCCACGACCCAGATTTGCGCGTTCAGGAGCTCGGGCGAGAATTGGGCTGCCGACGAACCGGATTGAGCTGCCTTGTGCAGGGCGGTTTTCTGCATGGCTCGCAATAGACCGATGCGAGGCGCGCCTATGCAGACGATGTGATTCGTCTGGATTTGAAGGGCAGTGCCGGTCGTAGGATCGAGAAGTGATGGCTCTCCTTAAAATAGAATTAGATTCGTGTGCCGGGACGCGTCAAAGATTGGACATGGACATGACTTACCTGTCGATCCGTTGATCCCGCAAGGCATGTCCACACTTAGCGTGACACATCTCGCAGGACTAGCTTTCCTGGTCCAATTGACGATTTCAATCACGGCCTTCTGGTCCTCAAGGCTGAGGACATCGAAGGGCTTGCTCGCAGCCATCAGAGAGTCAATAATTAGATCGGGCTGCCCCTCTTTGCTGAGATAATTCTTGGTATCCGACCAGCCTCGCACATACCCGTTCATTTTGACCAGAATATCGGCCTGCTTCCTCACTTCGCGCTCAAGTTCAACAGTTTGTCTATCAAAACCCAAAAGACAGGTGAGCGTGCGGATATTCCTGCTACGCAAATGTCGACAGGCTGCCAGGGCTCGGGCCCCTGGCTTGTGATTGCCCGCTATGATGAGTGCCCACGGTCTTGTATCCCTGCTGTGGGAGTCTCTTGCATTTCTCTTCGCCGAGTTCGTGTTAATGGTGGCCATAGCAACTTCGGCGATACCTCTCCCAGCATTTTCAGTCATGATCTCGGTGGTCAGTCCGAACTCGGTTTCGGCGACTTCCTCGATAGCTGCCATGCCCGCAGGCATGATCGTTGGGCAAGGTCGATTCGTTGTCGCGATTCTGAAATGCGCACCGAGCGTCAGACTGCTTGCGGGAGACTCCGGTGGTGTGTAGCGCTGCGGATTTGGACTGCCACCAGCTCCATGTGAGGATGACCCAGCGTATGTCGGACGCAACGATCGCGCAGATCGAGCAAAATCTTTGAGCGAGCCTGTGTCATCAGCCACACCGCTGCCGGTCCGATAGGCAGGTCTTCTGCTGGAAGCTCTCGAGTTTATCCTCCGCACCGGGCGTGTGCTGTCTTGGTCGAAGGCATCATCTGAGTCGGATTCAGGGTTACTTAAACGAGAAACTGGTGCCACTTTGGGGCTGTCAAGCACGTTCTCTGTAGGGTGGTAGTTTTTGCCTCCATATGTGCCCGGCCTCGCGTTCTTATTGAAATGCACTAAGCGATCCTCATCTGCAGTAGTGTCCTCTGTGCGAATCTGGTCAAACACGGAGCGCTTGTCAAATTTCGAAAGGTTCCCGGCAAAATCGAACTCTCCCAGCTCCTGTATGTCCGTCGCATCCTCCGTGGCCCAGCCATTGTTTGAAGCTTCTTTCTCCATGGCTCTTTGCTTTCGGCTTCGCCTGACTCCAGTCTTGTTCTCCTGCTTCTTTGGGCTATCAGGCATAACAGGGTCTTGTAGCATCGGTGTCTGTCGCCAGCCTTTCCCTCTGTACTGCGCAGATACGCCCCTGCGCGTATCTGGTGATGGTTCTACATCAGCTTCATTATCCAAGCCAGCATTTGCAACCCCGTCTCTCCTCTTCTTTTTCCCCTTCTTTTTGATGATATCTCCATTCGCTGGTATGTCATCATCCATAGGTTTGCCCGTCCGTGTCTTCGTCAGACTCACCCTCCGCACTGTGTTCAATGGGGCAGGGGGTCCATCGGTCTCGCTAAGCGGGTCTTGTGAGCGCACACCATCAAGACCTAGATTCGCAAACTGTGTCTGCAACGCTGACTGCGGGGCCTGTGCCTTCTGCTTCGTTATCGGCTTCTTGTTGGCAGTGTCATTAGCCGGAGCAACCTTAGGCCCTGTGGGTGCACTAAAAGCCGGTATGGACTGAGCTTCCTGAGCCACGCCGGGCACTTGTGGGTTTGCGTTGGTGTTTCCCGTAGGCTTGCGTCCATAACTTAATATAGCAGGGTCTTGAAACTGTTCTGATTGTGTTGGAGGGTGCGACAGTTGCGTTGCATTCGTCGTCTGGGCCAGGCCACTCGAGATGACGCTCGTTTGCTGCGATGCGGTCGATAGAGGCGGCGCCTCAACAACCTGCAGATCTGCAATTGCTGGGCCCTGTGCCGTAAATGTTCCAAGACGTTGTCCGGTGTTGGGAAGGAATGCTAAGAGTGGTTAATCATGTGCATTCTGCATAACGGGCGGATCATTGCATACCATCCTTGAGCACCAACGACGCACTTGCTGCGTCCACGGCTTGCACGAAGCCCTGGATCACGGCGCCCTGCTTGAGAGTCACGACGACCGCAGAGCCAACGAAACTGGCCATTGTGGGGGGGTGTTGAGCTTAGTGATCGCGCATGTGTTCATACGTTTCTCACATCTTTTTTGCTGAAATGCGGCTCTGGCGCGTTGCGGGGATTATCCCAGGTGGTGATGGTAATTGCGCAAGTGCGTAATCCACATCATGACCGTGCGTCTAGTTTTGCGGTTCTACCTGTGCGTTATTCTCCGAAATGCTCTTCACCTGGACGATTATCGCATCACCTGCATACGGTCAAAAGCCTCTTGATCCAATGGATCTCCGTATCTAGTAATTTCAACGGTCGGATATTTCCCATTTTGGCTTGATGAGGTCACAGCTTCGATGAAGGAGCTGCAATCGGGGAAGATCGTCTTGATCGTCCAGGTCAACGTCCGCTTTTCAACGCTGCGTGCAGCATTTCTTTAGTCCATGTGCAAGAAGGCAGTTGTCGGGCCACCACATCAAATTCATCTTCTCACGTCCCATTGATATCCGGAATAAGAAGTTGAAGAAGCATCTCTGTCACTCCTTGGACGTCGACAACGCTGTTCTTCAAGCACTCGCACTGCCAGATGGCGTATAGGATTTCAGTCCGTTGGATGAATCTATAAAATAACATTTGCCACTTCTCTAACTTATGATAGATTTTCACGGTCAGATTATCTGGGTCTCCGCATCTACTTAACGTGCATGAATGAAGAAAATTGACACTGGAGACTCCTGGAATTCTAGTGTTGACAAAAAAAGCCTGAGTGTTACAAGTGATCTTAAGCGACGTCCAAATCAGTGGAGATACTGGACTCGATTGCGTTCCGGGATCTAACCGAATGATTTAACCCAATCCCTTTCTATCATCGTCAAAATGGCAAGCGATCAGTGGCCAACTAGGCAATTGATCACATGATTTGTGATCTAACTTACGTCGTTAACAGATTACTTAAAGTAAAAGACTCTTATCTATGTTTCTCTGGATGGGAGGCTTTGGATTCAAAGCACCCTTTTCCTTCCTAATCTCACCGTTTCGCTCTTGATGTGTAAGTCAATGGATCCTTAGATCACGACTTTTGGCTGTCGCGATTGAAAATGTTGACCACCCCTCGTGCGAACCTTTTGGACTTGACAGTGAAACACCTAAATTGACAGAGTTTGATACACATAGTTTGTCCTCGAACTTCGCATGAAAATGAAGTCTCATTCGAGAAAACACTGATTCGAGTATGGAATCCATCAAAACTTTCCAAGGCTCAAGAAACTGCTGGTCATCTTAGTGCTTACTCCTGGTCCTTGGCACAGTTAAGTTCAACCCAGCGTTCAAGTCAAACCATAGAACGAGGAGTTATGAAATACAATCTCTTCCGATGTCGCTGGTAACTCAATGCAGATACCGCCTTCGTATTCACTAGTGGAACAAAGCTTTTCGGCACGCCCAGGAAATCATGTCGCACTTGAATTCGATCTTTCTTTCCAGAATCTGGAATCGGACTTTCCAGTATGGGTCTCTCTGCAATTAAGAGCAAGGAGTTTGACAGCCAAGTTCAACGGCTGTTGGTGGAATGGAAAGTGCCTGGCATTGCCCTCGCCGTAGTTGACGCAAATGAAACATATGTCAAAAACTTCGGATTTTCAAATATAGAAGAGGGAAAACTTGTGGATGACAAAACTCTATTCGACTGCGGAAGTACTTCAAAATCGTTTACAGCTGCCGCTGTTGCACTAGTCATCGAAGACTGTCAGAAAAAAGAGGACAGCAGAATTGCTGCGCGAAGCTTTGAAACCCCCGTCAACGAATTTCTCCCTGATGATTTTGTTCTTTCAGATCCTCAGTTCACTAAAAATGTCACAGTCGAAGACATTTTAAGCCATAGAAGTGGAATGCCTCGTCATGATGACTCTTATCTCGGTATCCGAGCAGAGAAACCTGATAACCCAAAATCCATTACACGAAACTTACGAAATCTTCCTTTGTCGAAACCTCTAAGAACAACATACCAGTATTGCAACATGATGTACACAGTAGCAGCTCATCTTGTTGCAGAAACTTCTGGGCAATCTTTTTCAGATTTCCTGCGTGAAAGGATCTGGACCCCTCTGGAAATGACGAATACTTATTTGAATATACCTGGAACATCTGCCTTCGAGCATGTAAAATCAAACCTGGCAACGGGATATTACTGGTCTGAGGTTGAAAACGTTCAAAAACCTTTGCCTTTCTTCGACCAACCAGAAGGCTTAGGTGCTGGATCCGTCTTCAGCACAGTGTCAGACTACGCAAAGTGGATCAAATGCATGTTGAAACAGTCAAAACCTCTTTCAAAATCGAGCCATGAGGAGCTTAAAAAGCCGCGAACAATTGCCTGCCCGGAACGGCAACCAAAAAACGGATTCAGCCACATCCTCTATGCGTTAGGATGGGAGGTCTGCACTTATCGTGGACATCAGATCGTGGGACACGATGGGACAGTTTGGGGATTTGCGGCTTGCATGAAATTTCTGCCTCATCTGGACTGCGGCATAGTACTGTTCGCGAACGGAAATGAGGGCGCGAACAGTTGCATTGAGACTATTGCGATGATGGTCATTGACAATTTTGTCGAGGTACAAGCCTCCATTCGTCTGGATTGGCACAAAATAAATATGGAAAAATTTCGAAATGATACTGACAATGATGACGAAGGTGACAAGAATCTGGACGATGCAGAGATGGAAGCTTCGTCAGGCTTGAAAATTGCTGACTATGCTGGCTGCTATCGAAATAAAGGCTACCACGCAATCATACTTGACGTAAAGGAGGACCACCTTCATGCTAATTGCACCGATCGCTCATTTCCTTTCTATCTCGATTTGTGGCACTTGAGCGGTAATAGATTTCGCGCACGGATTCGAGATCACTTAGATGGGCAATCTTGGCCTGTTAAAGTTGCATTCGAACTTGAAGAGCTTTCAAAAAAGCCAGCCCGATTTGGCATCGAGCTTGAACAAGCGTTAGATGGAGATCTGATATGGTTCGACAGAGTTGAGAAGATTTAGACGAGGTTGGAACGAAACTGGTCTGTGGCGTCACCGTTCAAAGTTTAAACTCCGGAAATTCCCAAGAATTAAGATCAAGTTCGGTTGAAGATCTGGAGGCTGACTTCTAGACAACTCGAATATAATTTGTCTTTGAACATTCTCGATTTTACAGCTTTGAACCCCCCTTTGTCTTATTCTCAATAACAGTTATAGTGGCTGAGGTGGCAGTGCATTTTCTGGCTAGAACTACAGAGCAAGCGAGTGGCTTGAGGCGCAGGTTTTACTATCACAATTAAGTTTGTCTTGATCTTCCCGCCTCCTTTTAGGCTACCAGATAAATGGAGGTTCAAATTTCTTGAATTATTCTAAATGCAGTTTTCGTTCTTTATAATTTCGTTTCTCAAGATCGATGAAACCATGGTCGCAGGAAACTCGAAGCACAAGGTGATCTCATCAAAATTCTTTGCACCAAATCTATTCCGCAATCTGTTCAATGTTCATTCATTTGGACGGAGCAACAAAGACAATCCTGCAAGCTTGCGAGCAAAGAGCATGGGTAATCGGAGAGATTCTGCTGTAGTGCATTCGCAGCTCAGTTCTCACAGAGAAATTAGTTCACCACTTCCAGCTCCTATCATACAGCTCATTTTCGAAGCACTCATCAGTGAAGGAGATGAGTTATCAGTCCGCAATTCGAGATTGGTGTGCAAAGAGTTCGACCGAATCGCGTGCTCATTGTTTCACACTGGCTCCAGCATATCATCATTACCTGATGAAATCCTGCTCGGGATCTTCGTTGCTGTACGATTCAACAGTTCTTCTAAAGACCCCATGTCAGACCTAGCTTCAAGTCTCCGTGTTTCGAAGCAGTGGTATCGCGTGGGTATGACAGTGCTCTACAGACACTTTGTCATAGACGTCAATTACCAGACTGCCCTTATCCAAGAGGATGCGGACTTTTCATCCATCAGCCGGTACAATTTCATTCCATCCGCTCGATTCTTTGACACAACGACGAAGCTCTGGTCACAACCTTGGACGACTGACGGCATTGGGTCATGGATCCATAGTTTGAGCATCGAAATACATTTCGAGGACACGGAACGAGCTCGACACATGCAGTCGATCACAGATGTGATCAGAGCTCTGCCAAACATCAGAACTTTCTCTGTCCGAGCTGCACCACTTAGGCAGCACAGCGAAATCGTGCGGCACAAACTTTCGGATATTCTTTTGAGCATACCATCAAGCGTCGTAAACTTTGAACTCGATCTCCAGGGCCGAGATGATCAGTTTGACCCGCATCTTAGACAAAACACTCACTTCTGCGAGACGGTAGGTAGGATCCTACCGCAGTTACGAACTCTACGTCTCAGACTATCCACTCTGTGTGATAGTTTTCTTTTGCCGATCTCGAGGGTGGAAGAAAAATGTCCTGGTCTTAAAGCACTCTCGATCACTCTGTACACACGGCAGTTCACTCAATTATACCAATGCTGTTCGGACAGACAATGGATACCCCCTGCAACTCCTGCAACAGACTTTGTTGATTCACTGCAGAGCCGCATACAGAACGGAGGCATATTCCCCAACTTAAAGGCCTGCTCATTGATCTGTCTGCGCCACGACTGTTCTGCACCAAACACAAAATCTCAGCGCGTCATTTGCAAAACGTTTGAGCCGAGAATGAAAACATGGTCAAAACGGGCATATTTTCCAATCGGTGGGTTCAGACAGCCAGAGTACATCCAAACGGACGCAGACGGAGACGATTTGGAGACTGTTATGCAGGGCATGGAGAATCGCACATATGGCTTCTATGATCTGCCGAAAGAGCGCATGCTTACGCACTGCAAGGAGACAGATGTGTTGTTAGAAAGTGCCGCAGCGTGGACAGAGGACGCCTTCGGCGCTAGATATCCACCTAATGTCTGATTGGCGCGATCACGAGGGTAGCATTGAAGAATCTCACCTGTGTTTATAGAAGACTTTGTGAGATGTGTAGTAACTCGATACCAAGTCATGGGGAAATGACGAAGAACCTGGAGACGGTTCCCTTATCGCCAGTCTAATTCACTGGCCACCAATAATACCGAAAGATCAGCTGAACGTACTATGTGCAGTGTCAGCGGACGATGATTTGCTGCAACAACTTTCACGGCTTTGAGATCTGCATGGACAAGATGGACTTCCACATGCCAGTCACGATTTACTTGAAATCTAGGCAGTGACTCAAACGATTGACCAGAAGTTGCTTGTTATATATGTGTTGATGTTAGTCTTTAGACCGAGAAAAATAAGGAAAACTCGCGTAAAGATGTGGCAGCATAGCGCAGCGCGTGGATAAGACGAGGCCTCAGAATTGAAAGTCACGAAGTACTAGGGCTAGCGCAGAGTTTGAAGTTCACTCATAGTATCTGCATTTGTTTCCTTTGGCCGATTTTGCGGCACCATTCGATTCTGGTCTGGGACGGAACGCGGCGAGCTCTTGGCCCACTCTGGAGATGGAAGCAGTTGGAGTTGGGTGGTGTAGGAGTAAGTCTGGAAAGATGTCGAGCATTGGAATCATCATCGTTTTCGTACTCGGCGTTCTTCGGAAACCGAATTCTCCGACTTTAGGCCGCATTAGACTTTCGTATAAGGCTATAAGGCGTAAAAAATTGAAGCCGTGGTGTCAGACGAAGCCGAACAACCTGGCTGATACGACGGAAGGGCACGGGCAATTGGTTTGAATATGATCTCCGGCAGGTTGTCTCCAGAAGCGAGATGAACGATGCATTCTGCTTTCTTAAGGACTTGATCGTGAGAGTGTTGCGGGCATGCATGACGGGATGAAGTGCTTACGAAGACAAGCATCAGCAGCAACAACATCACACCGCCTTCACTCGCAGACTAGGCTTGGGGGTATGGCGAGAGCTCAATCCTAAGCAACAAAGCCTGTGCTTCACAAATGGCACTAACTCAGCCTGGTGGCCTCCAGGTGTTAAGCGCGCAAATAGAGCACGGAGGAGCAAGAGCCCACAAACATGGGAATATTCTGGAGTGATGCCTGCTGGTCGGAGAACGGGATACAAGCAGCAGTTTTCCTGGGGCCGAATGGTCCGGGAGCAGTGGGACACTCTGTGATTGGCAAAGATGCTTGAGCCTGCAAAGCAATCGGCGAGCGTTTGACGTAACCCGGACGTGGCTGGGTGAAGGCGAGAGAAAAATAGAAGCTGGCTAGAATCGACTGCGCTGCAATGATTTTGGCTTCCAGATGGGCCAGGACTAGGCAGCCGTTCAGCTGATAATTAAGTGCGAGCGACCACGGACTGCAGGGCGAAAAGAATACAGAGAATCAAAGACAAAGGCGCAAGTCAGCATCTGCCGGTCCACCCCGTCTTTACTCTCTCTCCAGAGCCTTGCCCACGAGGCCAGTCAAGTGACCCGTCTACTATCGTCCACATCGATTGCCTTTATACTGCGAGTCGAGGCAGCTTCGACGCCGGTTCGAGCTTTGCCGTTCGCCTGCTGCGGAGCCCGGTGGTCAAAGGTACCGTACGCTAAGGTGACGGGCGGGAGCTGCTGGACCGCTGGACCTGGAGGTGAAGCTCGGGCCCTCGCCAGTCGCCCGTTCCTCAGCTCCGCTCTCATCACCACCAGCTTTTCTTGCCTGCCCATCTCCATCTCCGCAGTGGCCCGGTGACGCTGCCACGCCGTCTGCACCACCAAACACCGCGCCCATCTCCAAGTCCCGCATCTTAGTTGCAAGCATGTCTTACAACCAGAGCGACCAGTATGGCGGCTACGGAGGCAATCCGTATGGCGGAGAGTACAGCTCTGCCAATCCATATGTCAGCGGAGTAAGCAATTACAGCCGCCCCATTCGGCCCTCACCGCAGCCCTCAGCTTACATTGTATTTGCGAATCTAGAACCAGGGCTTAGGCGCGCCCGTTCCGCTTGATCACCAAACTTCCAACTACTCCCAGACGTCCAGCTACTCGCAACCAGGCGCTACGCCGCAGAATACGCTGGCCGCACCTCCAGCAATGCCTGCGGTCATGTCGAACTCAGATTTCCTGTCGCGCGTCGACGGCGTGCGCAAGCAGATTGCTTCTTTGACTTCGCAAGTGTCTGCCATCGCCGCGGCTCACCAGCGCGCCATCAGCTCGCCGGACAGCGCTGCTTCGTCGCAGGTCGAGCAGCTGGTTGCCGAGACACAGGCGCTCAATACGCAGATCAAGGACCAGATCAAGTTCCTGGAGACGGACGCCGCGCGCTCCGGCGGCAATGCCACCAAGGACAGCCAGATCCGCAACCTGAAGACCCAGTTCAAGAACCAGCTGCAGGAGTACCGCAATGAGGAGGAACAATACAAGAAGAGATACCAAGAGCAAATTGCAAGGCAATACCGTATTGTCAACCCAGACGCGACCGAAGAGGAGGTCAGAGAGGCTGCAGAGGCCAATTGGGGCGATGAGGGCGTATTCCAGACTGCGGTACGTTTTGCCTACAACACGTACATGGCGTGAGGCAGAGGAAGCTAACGCGAAGGGTTACAACAGCTGAAATCCAACCGCTCTGCCGCTGCGACTTCCGTCCTGGGCGCTGTTCGCGCTCGCCACAACGACATCCAGAAGATCGAGCAGACGATGTTGCAACTGAACCAGCTATTCGAAGACTTGGCCGAGCAGGTCATTGTACAGGAAGCTGCTGTTGCGGCAGCGCAAGACCAGACGCAGCACGTCGTCGAGGATACAGAAAATGCAAATGTGCAGCTCACGAAAGGCGTCGAGCATGCACGACGTGCCCGCAAGCTCAAGTGGTGGTGCTTCTTCATTGTGCTCATCATCATTGCCATTTTGGCAATCGTGCTTGGTGTTGTCTTTGGCACCAAGAAGTCGTGATTTTCTTAGTTATCCTCTAATATGTGCAATTCCTTACGTTGTCACTTTCTTCACTTCAAACTGTGGTGCAATGGCGCGTGGTCTACTGGAGACGACTACGCGGGACGAAAACCGAAAGATGAGCTCGTTTGTACAAAACAAGCGGCTAGTTATAAAGTTTTTGTATTGCGACCTTGCTATTGAAAGAATGGATACGAGAAGGGCTCCAGAAACAGCAAAAACAGAGAGGGAAGATTTGGGTATCAATTTTTTTTTGTTTCCCTTCGTACTGCAGATAACGAGCGTGGCTTGTGATGGGTGATGCTTTCTTGAAAAGAAGTATTCTCAACTGTACATTTGTTCTTTAATTGTTCTCTCAGGTCAGACCACAATTTGTGGCGAAGAGGAACTGAGGGAGATAGGAAGAGAAGCATCTCGAGTATGGCACCGATAATCCGTAATAATCATGTCGCCTGCCTTTCCCATTCTACCAAGATCGCGACTGGCTCGCCAAGCTGCCTTCGGCTGCTTCATGTTCTTTACCTCATATTCTTCCCGTCCATCGCCTGTCGTAGAACCCTATGTTGAGTTGAGGAAACTTGGTTCAACACGGAGAAAACGATTGGACGGATTCAGTGCACGCCATTTGCGTGAGCGTTGAGACCGTTCGTTTCTTGTCCGTTGGCGTATGTCGTTGGTTTTTCCACTTCGAAATCCACGTAACTCATGCCACATATCCATTCAATAACTGGCTCGTACAGAAGCAGCTTTGCTTTGTCTCCGTTCATGGCTCCACTCAGCGCAACCCAGTTCAGGACCTCGTGGCCACCATGTCCAGCTTCTTCCTCCACTTCCTCATACGTCAGGCTCTTCAACCAAGTTCGGTCTCCGTCGCAGAACTTTTCCAAAAACATCCGATCCCACTTGTCGTTGACCAATGGGTGCTTGCTATTCAGAGGATACTCGTTCTTCTTGGCCATTTCGATCTCATAGTCGTCGAATCGGACGAACAGATCCGGGTACTTTTTCAGGACGCTCTTCCCTTCAGTTTGGTATTCTTTCATCAACCTGAGGAACTCGTCTTCCGGCGGGTCGCCCGCCTGGGTGGGCGACCAATACGGCGGCCAGTGGGAGAGACCTCCGGTGCACATGAACGCAACACGCACGTCGTCTCGCAGCGAGAGCGCGGCCTTGCGACAAGCCTCTCCCAACTCAAATGCACGCGAGTACTTCATCAGAGGCGGAGTGAAGACGTTTAGGAAAATCGGCACGACGGACACATTCTGCAATGTTTCGTGGCAGCCCATCAGGAGCCACGGCATGAGCAGGTTGTTGCCGTACTCGACGGACCCGGTCCTCGCCACGTCGAAACCTTGCTCAACAAGAGAGCGGATCAAGTGCTCTGCCACCTTCGGGTTGCCGGGGAAATAGTACTTCTTCGGGATCCTCAACGTCTCCATCCACTGGTCGGCTGGACCGACATGTGTATCGGCAACCGAAACGGCGATCGTCGGCATCAGGTTGCGGAAAAAGTTCTCAAAGTGATCGTCTAGAAAGGCGAATATGATGTCCGGTTTGGCATCCTGAAGCGTCTTGCCGAGTGCCGCAGTTGCTGCCTCTGTCGATGCCCTCTGCTTCGGTTTGGCGGTTTCTGGGAACGCAATTGCGCCTGGTGCATGTGAAAGGCCAATCGCGGCCACAATCTTGCCCATTTTTGGTGTATGGATTCTTGATGACCGGCGTATGCTGTATCCTGTCTGGTTACAGGCGCGGTGGGTGCCCTTGCAGTACGAATATGGGAAGATTGATATGGCAGAGATGTGAGTAACATTGAGCTACTTCATGTCAGAGCCGATATGTGCCCATGTTATATAATTTGAACCCTTTTGGCCAGGTCAGATTGTCCATGATTATCAGATCATGCATCGGGTTAAATCAGTCGACTGTAATGAGGTCGCGAGGTGGGAGCGGACATCTCCGTTGAGACAACAATGGTACGCTGGTTGACTAGTTCCCGTGAGCGCGCAGGCAGTAAATACTGATTTCCGACTTGACCAGGCTATTGATATCCCAAGCAAAAAAACCAGATCCTGCTTTGTATAGATGGCTGGATTGGGTAAGACTTCGTACGTCAGTGGGCTCACCTCGCGATAAAGTCCGTCCACCTTTTTGGCCCGAGTAATGTATTGCGCAGTTGAAGGAATTCTAATGTTAACTGATACCTTTTAGACTCTAGAACTCGCGAGAGCAAAGAAAAAGCTCCTCTTTTGAGATTGTTTCACGAAGCAATAAATCATGTCGGAGAAGTCTTTAAATGTGTTGGTTTTCGGCGCTACGGGCGTCATAGGTCGGTTCATCATTGCGCAACTTGTAGCCAACAAGGCAGACTTCAATCGTATTGCGATTTTTACATCCTTATCTACCATATCGAGCAAATCACCAGAGATCCAGAGACTCCGAAATGATGGGGTCGAGATTATAGTTGGCGATGTTAACCTTGATTCCGACGTCTTGAAAGCCTATCAAGGCATCGACACTGTTATTTGCGCTTTCGGTCGCAATGTTATTGGAAAACAAATTGATCTAATTCGAATAGCGGAGGAGTCGAAATATGTGAAATGGTTTTTTCCCTCAGAATTTGGCACCGATATCGAGTATGAGCCGGGATCAAGAGATGAGATACCGCACCAAGAAAAGCTGAGAGTCCGAACCTATATCCGCGAACATGTTAAAGAACTGGGACACACATATATTGTAACTGGCCCTTACCCAGAGCTGTTTGTTGCCTCATCTCCAGATACAAAAATGGGTACGTTTGACGTGAGGAACCGGACAGCGACCATTGTCGGAACTGGTGATGAACGGATTGGTTTCACCACTATGCATGAGTAGGAGCATTGAGATATACTATTTTTCATCTTGAGTCGTGCTGATACTCTACAGTGTTGGTCGGTTCGTGGTTGCGGCATTAAAGCGGCCGACGGAAGCCAGAAACCAAACACTTAAAGTGCAATCATTCGTGGCTACTCAGAATCAAATTATTTCTGAGTTTGAGAAGCAAACTGCGACAAAGTGGGGTGTTGAGTACGTTCCTTTTAGTGAACTCACGGCGAAAGAGAAGTTGCAATGGGCGGAAGAGAACCCGATTGCACCCATTTATACGTTGCGAAGGATTTGGATTGGTGGAGGTACCTTGTATGACCATCTTGACAATGAAAGTCTGGGAGTTTTGGAGACAGATAATTTGGAAAAAGTCATAGCCCACAAGATCCGAACGGGAGGAGGATCCGCCATACAAAGCGGTAAGCTTCAATGAAACAAATGTTTTCACATCTAAATGTAGTTTTCAGTTTTTGAACGCCTTCATGAATTCCCTCTTCGTTGCTGCAATATAATCTACAAACTCACAGTGGCTCAAGGCCTCGTCCGAGGAAAGTAGACTCACCAAACTCCCTTTCCGCAACCTGGAATAGAGGTAAGCCCATGAAATATCCTCCGCTGGGTTTTCCAAGTGCTTCCCACGTAGATTGAGCCTCCGCGTCGCCAATCTTCACCAGTCCTTTGCCACTTCCCGCAGAACTAGCGTCTGCCAGCAATTGAACTTCGCAGCACTTGTCAAGAAGAACGAACCAGGCCACGACTGCTTCAATGCTTGCGCCGGCCGTCAGCAAGCCATGATTGCCAAGAAGAGCAGCCTTTTTATTGCCCAGCGCAGCGGCGATGTGTCGTCCTTCCTCTTCTGCTAGAACAACGCCAGCAAAGTTCGAATACAATACGTGATCGTTGTAAAACACGCAAGCATCTTGAGTCAATGGCTCTAGAGTCCTGCCGGTAGCACAGAACGCGCGGCCATACACGCTATGTGAATGTGCCGCACACAGCACATCTGGCCTCGCAGCATGAATTTGCGCGTGAATGGCATAAGCAGCTTCATACAGCAGACAAATCAGTGAACAAACTTAGACTTTCGACATGATAGGTCCTCTAACCGTAATTTAATCTCCTGTTCTTGCCACCATCGACGACGTTTCCCATGTGGTCAACCCTAATCAGATCTTCATCTCTGATCAGACTAAAGTGCATGCCAAAGGGATTCACCCAGAAACTGTTAGGTTCCACGGGATCTCGCACGGTGATATGACCAGCGACACCTTCTGCGAATCCAAATTGAGCGAATATGCGAAAAGCAAGCGCAAGTCTGTGTTTCAAATACTTTCTTTCCTCAAACTTGTCCTCGAAACGTGGCGGCTGTGTCGTTTCGTCGTGGATAAAAGCTAGGGATGGATCACCAGAAGCGTATGTTGACTCCCCAGGCTGGCTTAGTCTCAAGCCAATGTTTGAAGGTGGGGCTATAGTAGAGGAAGCCATATTTGGACTGTGCAGTAATGGTTTTATTCTTGCGTTTGTCAATAGTAGTTGTATACAGATCTTTCAATGCGAACAGATGTCGAGGTCGAGAGGTGCAAAATACTAGAAAGATCTTCGTCCTGGGATAATTCGAGCGCGTTAGCCAAACTGTCCTTAGCTTGAAAACACATTCGTGGAAGAAAGCGAAGAGTGTTTTGTTAGTTTAAGACCAGCCGTCGCGGAAGTCCGACGCGTATCAGCGAGTCCCTGCTTTCACGATAGATGGCCCTAACGTGCTCTACGCTCTTGAAATAGAAAGTAAAATAGCCGAAGATATGATGTATAAGTTCAGATCAAGATTTTAAATTTTTTTTGATTTGGTGAACGTCAATATCTGTGCAATGGCGGCTTCTCAATCAAATCTTAAGTCCGAGAACCATCACCATATTGTCGCTCTGGAAGCTCACTTCTGTCCGATTCCCGAATTTAAACTGCCTTCACCATACACCTATACATTAGAGACATACCCAAAAACTTTGAAAGACCAGATTCCCGAAAGAATACGCGATGCTTCAATCGTCATCACTACGACGATTCGTCTGGACGCTTCGGTTCTGTCGGCCGAAATCTCGCCAAAACTACAGCTCATAGCAGTGATGGCAACAGGTACAGATAGTGTTGACCTCAAATCTTGCATGAAACGTGGAATTGTAGTTTGCCGATGCGCCGGAGCAAATGTAACTGCAGTCTCTGAACATGCAATTGGTATGTACTTCGCGACAAGGAGGAAGTTTTACCAGACACAAACTGCAACGAGAGGAGGTCAGTGGCCACTGAAAGGGTCCTTGATTCCCATTCTCGAAGACAGGAACAAGAAAATGCCTTTGACATGCGAAGAGGAGACGATCGGCCTGATTGGATATGGCAAAATTGGCCAAAGAATCGGACGACTTGCAAAGTTGTTAGGCATGAAAGTGATTGTGGCAGAGAGAAAGGGCGCAAAGTGTGTTCGTGAAGGCCGCACAGCATTTGATGAAGTCCTTCGAGACAGTACGGTTTTGGCGGTGGTCATACCAAGAAATCCTGAAACCATCGGCCTCATTGGACAGTTCGAGTTGAGTCGCATGTCCAGTTCTGCAGTGCTTATCAACGTTTCGCGAGGAGATATTGTCGACGAATCAGCAGTCGTTCATGCACTTCAGACTCATCAAATAGCAGGTGCTGCATTTGATGTGTTCTCACAAGAGCCTGCCAACAGCAGCACAAGTCCACTGCTAGCCGCTGATACAGAAGGACTCAATGTGTTAACGACTCCTCATACCGCTTGGCTTGCCAATGCCACCATGACATCTTTACAGCGAATGGTGCGGGAGGCAGTCGAAGGTTGGTGTGCGGGAAAGCCAGTTCAAGTCGTAGTGTAAATCTCGGTGTCCTTGCTCTAATATCTCGAATCGACTGTTGCATTTGCTTTACGTTCACTTCACAGCGAAGTAGGACCTTGAAGCAGGGGCTTGCGTTTACGTTTTCGCAGACCGTGTTTTTGTTGTTCGTATTCATTCAGTAGCACAATGAATACGCAAGACCACATACTAGCTTGCTATTTCTGAAACTTCGATAGCACAATCATCGGCCGCTAAAGCATGGTCAAGTAATTCAAACCCTGTGAGAAAGCTAGTCGAGAAATCTGACTGAACGCCTTCGACGTCGAAATTTAATTCGTTGAAATCAAGAATGTTAAAATCAAATTCTGAAACGTCCTCCGTTCGAGTGGAACCATGGCAATGTTTTTCAAGTTCAAGAGGACGTGGATAGAGCAAAGCCTTTAGCTCAGCATCATGACTCGGGAGGAAAAAACTAGAGTTCAGTCAGCCGCAGAACAGAATGTCGTAACTACAGTATGGCTATCCGCTATGCGTTTTAGAATTGAACGACTCGCAAGGGTTGAAAGAGAAATATAAACCATGTTTTGTCATGTAGATTTAAAGTGAATAGAGATTCTTACTGTTCGGGGTTCTTGTCTGGAGAAAATACAGCCTGAAGAAGCGGACCTAAGAGTCTCTCATATATTCCAGCATATTTGGAGACTTCTGGCCATCCTCTAGAGCTAATGTGCAGGAAATTGCTCGTAGCAAGCTTTGTCATTTCGAACACCTGACCTGGATCGAATTTCTCACAGATAGCCCTGCAAGCATATCTTAAGCAAAAACAGCTTAGGATTGCCATTTCTAGAGTGAAGTGAGCAGATAGCCAATGTCTTCTGAAGACGCCGTTTTGAAGATGATCACTTTGACAACGAGCGGCGGAACATGCTGCTTCAAATGCTATCAAAAGGCTTCGCTGAGACGGCATGACATTTCTTGGAGATGGTCGATGGAGTATGGCTAAACCTCGAGCAAGATGAAAATCGCAAAGTTCAAGGATTGGCGTTTCGCTTTGTGAAGTTTCGTACCACTCTCTCAATCGCTTCTCCATAATAGCTTGAAATTCTTCGAAGGAACCGCAAGCCATCGGCTGGTTTGTGAAGTGAGTTAGCATTATTTCTGATTGCATTCTGTGGTAATCAATTGTTCCCATGAAAGGTATACGACCAGGAAGCTCGGCATGAGGTGACGGAAGTTTGACATCAATCGTTGTCCCTGGAAGCGACAAAGGCCGTTGAAGTGCTGCACATATTGAACGATCTAAGCAATACGCACTCCAGAATATTCTTCTTCTTAAATCGATTTTGGAAGATTCGATTCCTGTGTAATCGCCATTCCGGTGTAGTCCAAGCTCCTTAAGGTCGTCAGTGTAACCTCAAAATTGGATGAGGGCTACATACTGAGCACGTCCGCATAGCAATGCCGGAAAGGATCCAAACATTACCTGCTCTCGGGTTTATTGTTGCGTATAGGAGAATTAAGAGGTTTATTTGCAACGCAGCAAGATCTGATGAAGACTCCGCTTGACCTGTAAAATGTTGTATGCCCTCTTCAAAAAGAGACGTCGAGAAAGACATACAGCGCACTTCGTGCCCTCCTTTAGCAGACCCTATAGTAATTGAGATAGCTAGAACAAGATAGATAACAAGAAAGTCTGCGTTGGGTTCTACGCTGAGAGCTTTTCGTTCTCCAGTACTACTCAAAGGACTTGCCGCTTGAAATGCATGTAGAGCAGCTAGCACCTTATCCAGATGTGCATTTACTTCTGATCCTAGCATAAACGGAACTACAGGATAGAATTCGATTAGTAACACCACTCGGGTCGGAATAACTTCCATGACGCACATTGTGGTACAATTGTTTTTACATATTTCTTTACCAGGGCTTGAATGATCTCAATGGGTAGACTGGTCAGTAGTCTCGCTTCAAGCTGACTATTAAGCACAGCTGGCTTTGGACTAACGCTGCTTCTTTGTATATCAGTGGCATCTGATGTGATATTGGGCGCTGATTTTGTGCTTGATGGCGTTAGACCTGTGCGAATCTTTGAAGTCATGCCATATTCACGAGGCAAGGACGCCAGCACCATTGACTGCAGACCTCGGCTTGCCTTTATGGTGTTTAACAGATGTTCTTCTTCAAGAGTTGCTTGGTCATCGTGTGAACCATCAACTAGTGTCTGGTTTGGCGAGGTTTTCAGTCGCGAAGAATCTGTAACAGTATCGATTGGGGATGCTACAGGGTGGTAGATTTGGAGCAATATGTCGGCACCTCTTACGACGTCAACGTCCGATGTGCCCAAGGCTGTTTCAAGTTTTGCGATTTCATATTCGAGATGGCGAACAATACTTCGGGGGATGCCCTTGCTATCGTTTGTGCCGTCAAATCCAGTGCAAGAGGTCTTAGAAGCAATGCACTATATCATCAGCTAGGAGAAAAGGTGATCAGACCTCATAGAACGATACCTGACTGCAAGAAGGCATCACCCGATCACACTGAAGGAACACGATCAGCTGACTTTTCTATCGGTATTAGATGAAGAATACCTTAATTTTTCGTTTGCGACATCGCTGACAGCTTAGCACTGCCCGCTTGCATTCTGACATCTTCGCACGGATATCTGCGATTCAGAGAAGGGATTCCTTCTCGTATAATACAATTGTGGGAGATAAGCGGTCGCTAGGACGCCGTTGCTTCCGAAGCGTCCAAGTAGACATTGCCGATGGTTAGTTCCGGGTTCAGGCATGCATGATTCGTCAATTATCTTAATCTCAACTCTAAGAGCGGACAAGTCCGTTCAGTCCGATTTAGATACCTTATCGATACAAAAAATCTTATCGTTCATTTCCGGAGGGTGACAAGCAAGCAATGGACGTATCCATTTCATTTCTACGTGAATAGCAAGAAAGGTAAAGATAAATGAATGTAAGTGTACAGAATTTTCCGCTAAGCTGAATTAGAGAAATGTCACTTATCACATGAAGTTCCCTACTTGGGACTTTCTCACTAAAAAACGAGCCATTCAGCGCGACAGCGGTGTTTAGTGGGCCAATTGACAATAATTTCAATTGTTAATTCCCCGTAATAAACAAATGCCAGATCCGGATGTGTACTGTGGTTTTGAGATTGAAGTAATATGCCACACACTTGCTATTCTCCTCTCGCATCTCCGTTGACCCAGGGGAGACATTTCAACTTGCGGTGCTACTCCGCATCATCCCCCTCCAACGGATACAGTTTAATCATAGACGCTCTTACAGCGCATAGCTTGTATCTTTCTCCTTGTGTTATTGTCGGTATTCTTTTGAATCTTTAATACAGTGTACTCATCGACCATAACTAGATCAGAACAATGACTATGATTTCACTCTCTGCAGAGTATGCTGCTCTCAAGATCGATGCTTTGCGTACAAACCAAACTCTGGATGCGGCTTGTACCTGGGGAAAGTAAGTGGGCTGTGGTGATCAGTGAAATGTACCTAACGACAAGATTGTAGCACCCCCGACGGCGGAATGAACCGCCTAGCGTCAAACATTGACGACAAACATGTGCGAGACTGGTTTATTTCTGAGACTGCTAAATGTGGATGTTCACATCTTATCGACGAAATGGGTAACATTTTCGCTATCAGACCAGGCAAAAACAACAATCTTCCCCCAATAGCACTCGGTTCTCACCTGGACACGCAACCAACAGGAGGACGATATGACGGAATACTCGGCGTTGTCTCAGCTATGGAAGTCTTAAAAGTCATTCACACAAATTGCATTACCACATACGCACCGCTTGCGGTTGTGAATTGGACGAATGAGGAAGGGGCTCGCTTCCCGCCAGCTATGCTCTGTTCTGGAGTTTGGGGAGGTGCTTTTACTGTCGAGTGGGCGCAGTCGCGTGCAGATTCAGAAGGACTGACTTTGGGGGAAGAGTTAAAGCGAATCGGATATCTTGGAACGACACCCTGTAGCTACGAGGCAAATCCGCTTCTTGCGCATTTCGAGGTTCACATCGAACAAGGACCGATTTTAGACCAGGAAGAGCAACCCGCAGCTGTTGTGAAGGGAGTACAATCAATCAGATGGTATAATATATCAGTGAGAGGAAGAGAAGCACACACCGGCACGACTCCTATGGATCGACGAAGTGACGCGCTGTTGGGGGCTGCGAAGATAATTGTAGAGACAAATAAGTGTGTGACTGAAGGAGAGATAGCAGCACGTGGCGGTCGAGCTACCATTGCAGTTATCAATTCTTCTCCGCAGAGCATCAACACCATAGCAGGATCTGTGCATCTTGCTCTGGACATTCGCGCCCCTGCGGACAGCGATGTTGAGCTTATTGAACAGAATTGTCAGAATCGCTTTGAAGGTATATGTATAGAACACGGGCTGACTATGTCGATGGACAACTTTTGGGTTTCCCCAGCGGTCAAGTTTGATGCAACCATGGTTGACTGCGTTCGGCAATCAGCAAATGAGAACGGCTGTAAACTTGAGTTGACAAGTGGCGCAGGTCATGATTCTGTCTACACGAGTAAGAAAGTGCCGACGGCAATGATTTTTGTCCGGTGCCGCGATGGAATTAGCCATAATCCAGCGGAATTCAGTAGACCAGAAGATTGTGCTGTTGGAGCTCAAGTGTTGTTAGGAGCCTACCTCAGATATGACCAGTATGTTCAAGGTTTATATAGATAGCAGGAGTTCATATATAGAGTCACACGAGGTTGAATCGAAAAGTTGCGGATCTACAGAAATCTATTCGATATCCTTCAAAGCCTTCTTCTACATGGAAATTGATTAAATACATTCTTGGCTTTTTAGAAACACCTCCAGCGTGTCTTTATTTCATCTCTTGCGATTTAAGTGCGATCTCAATAGTTCAGCCCTTTTGGATCCATTCTTTCTGTATTTATTTCAATTTAGCAAACATTTACAATGAGCTCTTATATAGGCGAGAGTCCTTCAGCGACGAAAAAATCTCAACTCTGCGTATCGAAGAGGTGGATAGACGAGAGCAGCCCATGACATGGCAACAGGTAAACCAAGGTCAGCGCCTGTTCCAATCTTTGAAGCAATTACTCCGGTGTAGTATGTTTGATACATGCAAAGCTAGAGTTTTTCAGCACGACTCATTAAATGAAAAACAGATCTTCTTACTATGGCACCTGCCCACCCAACCAGAAAGCTTAGCAGCGCTGCGAAACCAATAGGAAGCGCTGACTGCATGTCCCAGACCGTCCAATCATAGCCAGACTTGCGTCTGAAAATAAACTCTTCTTCCAAAGTCATTGCAATCCAAATGATAGTCCAATAACCTATAAGGCCTAGGAAGTTTAAAAATATAGTAAGAAGCTGCGAGCGACCAGCAATAGCACAAACAGCCGATACAATAATCGCAAAAGTTGACTAGAAAATCGTTAAGTTTTTCGACATAGTACTGACCCAGAACCTAATGCTTACCCAGATTGGCCGAGGGACCTTTGCAAGAAAATCAAACAGCTGCTGAAAATTTAAAGACGCGGCGTAAATTCCTGGAATCATATTTGCTGTGACACAAATCGCAAGAACAGTTGCACAAAACTTGCCGAATCCATTAAGAGGAGCAAATGCCTCCACAATCAGTGCGCCCACTCCATGATTGCTAAATGCGCTTGCCCAGTTAGGATTCGCAGCAAGGCCGCTACCAAGTCCGATTCCCAAGAACTCAATCAGCAGCTTACCAAGAGTGATACCGGAAGATGTCATAGCAAAGGTCAACCATCGATTTGTCTTGGGAGGATAGTAGGAATAGTAATCGGCTGCTGAGCTACTCCATCCAAGCGGGCCGGAAGCTGTCAAGAAGAAATAGCTTAGCCTGTTTCCGGCTAGAACTGCTCCAGATCCGGAGCTCGCCATGGCTGTATCAAATTTTGGTGATGCCACGCCAATAAAGATGAAGAGGATCAAAACGGTTGGCGCCCAGATGTAGGCTTCAAAGGCATTGAACCATCGAATTCCAAATGTTGAGACGAGCCATGAGATAATTGCCGTGATGATGATGCCGACTATCACTGTCATGCCACCACCGTTAACGGCTGACAGGATGAGCCCAGCTACTAGGCAATCGACAACGCCATATCCAAGTTCAATCACGATATTCAGGATCACGCATAATTTGCTTGGCCACCAGCCCATGGTGTATTTAGCAACATTGAGCGTCCGCAGACCTGACATTGGACCAAACGTAGAGATATAGGCTGAACAACATGACCCGAAGACTGTCCCGAACAGACAGCATCTATAAATGTGTTTAGCTTGTCATCTCATAGGCCTAGTCGTACTCACACAATTGAGTCTGTAAACCCAAGACCATAAGCAACCGGACCAAGAATACCAAGAGTCATTTGATTCGCGGTACAATTCATCGAAAACCATATAGTAAACATATGAATGTAGTCACGAGCCGCGACAGGCCTATCTCGTTCTTCTTCTGTTACCCTCCCAATGCCTCGTGCCTCCACGCCAGCAATGCGGTCTAGCTTGTTTGCCCATCTTTGGAGTCTGTTCTCGGCATGGATAATGGTTGGATCTCGAGTGTAAGCCATAGCGCCCTCGTGCACACTTGATGAAGCTGGAGACGTGGCAGCCGTGCCAATGTCCTTCTCTGCAGGAGTTGTCATACTGACAGACGGAAGCTTCAATTAAAGCTCTGGTAGAAACCAATATGGAGAAAAGATAGTTGAGACTTGGTTATGAAGATGACAGTATCAAATATATATTTTACTTCTGCAAATACTGCCCTTGCTCTGTTATCAGGACGCCAATGCGCACATCAGCGGCCCAGCCAGAGCTGAGTTAGTCAAATTCAAATCCCGATAAGTTAAAGCGTCGAGACACCAGATGTTCCATAGGCGAGACATGTTCGAAATACATATAGGGAAGTCCCTGAATCTGTCCTAATCCAAGTCGTTTTGCGCTGATGCCTCTGATAGCGGCTAATCATCCCGAGGGATCAAGTGTATTATGCGGAGATTCGCGTGGTTCATCATAAGATAGATGAACGCGCTAAGGAGAGTGCTTGTGGAAAAGCGGTTAGGCTGGCAACCTCTCAATCCAATCATCATCGTCGCGGAGTAAGCATGGAGCGTATCTACGATAGCGAAGAAAATCGCAGTTGAGAATGCTTGAATATCATGCTGGTCAAATATGACATCCCTTCATCTCGATGGAATCATGGCTCCGTATCTTCCACAGGGAAAACCTTTGTATGCCCATCTTTCGCGAGAACAGCTCAGTGCAGAATGTAGGGATTCGACTGTCCAAGACGCTGCTCTATCATCACGTGCGATACCTGACTTAATTGATGTGGGTGCAGCGAACGTTTCTGAAGTGCAATGCGATTTCTCTATTTCTGATGACTTTAATGTAAGAATTATCAAGTAACTCCAAGAAATGCCCTCAGCACCCTTCTTTGTCTGATTATCTCAGACACTCAATATGTTATCCACCACTGCGCTGTTTAAAGTCTTGCCTGAATTCGTGAGTTCGAAGTCCGCCCTTTCCTATCGGATGGGGCGCACTCACTGCTGATATCTGGCTTGACTGTAATTAATGGCCTTAACTTGGTCGTTAAATCAGCCAGTAAGTCGTACTCCATGACCCAACGCATTCTCTCATGAACGTTTTCTGGCGAAAAGGCATGTGCCCACATTGATTCTGGGATATCGGCACTAGCCATCTTTCCTGTTTCATAACTTGTTCTTGTAATCCTATCCGTGCGAGGTTTGCGGAAGTCTTGGAAAAAGTGGAAAGCTGCAGCAGTGTCCAAGTTTGGCCATAATGCGAGGATTTGGGCGAGAGCAAATCCGCTCTCAATGGACTGGCAAGCTCCTTGGCCTGGGTAGGAATTAATCTATGCGATCTTTATCATAAAGGTTTGAACCTACCTTGATGTGGAAGAGTCGAGTGAACAGAGTCTCCAAGAAGCACAACTCCAGTTCCAGTTCCAGGTTCGCCAGCCTGGTACCATTTCTTTGAAGGTTCGCGAACATACAGCGCTTGTTTCAGCATCTGACCATCTTTGGAGCCCTTCTTTAATCCTGAAATTATCTCCTGAACAGCCCCAGTCCAGTCCTTGACTTGTTTGTAGAGATCATCAATTGGAGCAGTTGCTAGCCAGCTTTCCGACTTCCAATTCTCCAATGGCTCACTCATGAAGCCGATTATACCAATCCTATCATTTTTTGCCTCCCGGTTTCCAATCGGAAGAGTCAATATGTGCTTCTTTGGACCACGAAAGTTGACTGTCTTTCTCAAGAGAGCAGCGGTTTCGAGCGTGAGGTCATCGTACGCGACATAGCCACGGTATACCATCTGTCCAGAGTATACAGGTACGTCTTTCAGACCTAGATGCTGGCGAACGACAGATTTTATGCCGTCACAGCCAACAACAATGTCTGCTACAGCTGAGGTTCCATCCTGAAAATGTAGCGTGTATCCATTCGTACTCACGTCGTCTTTGATAGAAATAAGTCTTTTATTCTTCGAAATCTTAGACTGAGGCACATTCTCAAGCAGAACTTCGAGTAGGTGTGCACGGTGTATTTGACGAGATCGGGGCTCTCCGAACTCTGCGATGCTGCCTAGATTTTCGCCAGTTCTGTAATGCCTGTATTCCATGTAGCACGGAGGATCCTTAGATGACCTTGCAAGCATAGCATCCTTGAGGCCAAATGCATCGAGGATGCGGTTTGCGTTGCGCGTGATATTCACGCCCGCACCAACCTCAGTGAACTCGGGAGCTGCCTCATAGACATGGATGTTCTCAAGACCTGCATATAGAGCTGAATTCATGAAAGCCATTCCTCCCAAGCCTGGAGCCATTCAAATTAGTCTTCTACATGCGGAAGTTGGACCCGGGCATCTACATACCTCCGCCTATAACGGCTATCTTCTTCTGCTTCAGTGCCATGTTGATTTTCCACGCACAAAAGATTGAGCATCGACTTCGGATTTACATCACTGAAGGCAGACCTTTGTAATTGAGATCGAGTACCAGGAGCGGAGCCACTCCTTTTCGAAGTGGCCATGTCCTCCATCCGTGCGTTGCACATTGCATGCAAGACGCTACCTTAGCAAGGTACGGAATTCAGACGTCAATTCTCCAACATCTTTGTTACACATCTAAGTGCGGAGAAGTCCGCATCGCAGAGTTGAAAGTGGATAACTCTCAAAGCCTCAGAACTAGCTGGTCACGCCTTGCCGTTTCTGGCCATGAATGCCACGGCGGGCCTACGTTTTCCGAAGCCTTATCTGGAAAACGTCATTTGAGTTAATTGCACGACAATTCAAAACACAGGAGGACCTTAGCACCAATCGGCTCGGTTGCTGTATTAACTCAGCACGCTTAGAACTAGTCTACGTTGATGCGGGCAAAGCTTAAACGTTTCATGATCAATATTTCTACAGAACAATACATTTTATTGATTGCCCAAGGAATGCCTACGTGAGGCACCTAAATGTCTAAAGAAGCTTCATCCCTCGAGAATACGGCAGAGCTTGTTCAGAAACTGCTGCCTACATGTCAGAGATGTCGCAGACTGAGACGAAAGTGTGATACTCAATTACCACATTGTTGGCTCTGTCAAAAGGTATCTTCGGATTTCCACGCTTTATTGTAGCCATGTTATCTAAGTCCGTACTAGGCAAAGGTCGAGTGTACATTCTTCGATCATGCCTTGCAGCAAGTATTGCCCAGGGCGTATGAATTTTCCCTAGCAACTTGAAACACCGACTCATCATACCCAGATATGTTCAGTCTCTGCTTATACAGTTGAGATGCTTGAAGCAGGAAAAGGAGTCGACAGTTCCCACTTCAGAAGATGCGGACCTAGGTTCTATTTATTCTGATTTATCACTTGACGATGAATCAATCCCAAAGAGAGTTGGCACCGCTGAGAATCTAGATAAAGCTGCACTTTCAACTCATGCAAAGAAAGAAAAAGCGACCACAACCCAAGAAAAATCAAAGAAAGAATCATTTGACAGCCATTTCCCAATTGAAGACTTTGTTGGCGCAACTCGCTTTTTTGGATCAAGCAGTGTCTTCACTTTGGCCACGCATGTTCTGCGTTTCTCTCTCGATCAAGGAATTCTCGACACCGATGACTTTAAACCAAAGAACGACTGTGCTGCAACTCTTGGAGCATCCCAAAGGAGATTGCAAAAGGTATACAATGAGTCTCCTGCTGACCTCGAATGCTACATCGATGCTTTCATTAGTGCGTTTGGCTCACTGGGGGTTGTTGACATTATGAAAATCAAACAGAAAGACCTTACAACCTATGTTATGTTACGGGAAAATGGCACACATCCTAGCGATCTCCACGGCTTAATGTTATACCAATACTTCTCTATCAGCATCGTTTGCTCGATAGGGTGTGCAATCAAAGCCCGACATTCTGCTGCTCTTGCAGTCACAAGTATTGCATTTTACGAAGATGTCATACCTTGTATTGAGGAAGCGACGTCTGAAGTATCTCCTCAATCGCTACAAGCTTTACTCCTCCTGACGATATTTTGCCTTTTTTGGCCAAGAAAAGGAGACATATGGAAATTGCTAGACTACTGTTGCCGACTTTGCATAGAGCTTGGCTACCACGCAGAAGCAAATGAAATGGAAGACAGAATTCGATCGAACTGTCGCAGATCAATGTTTTGGGGGTTATATACTCTCGAAAAGACAATCAGCCAGCTCTTTGGACGAAGTTCTGACCTGCCGGAGACAGCAATCACCACTCAGTATCCTCAATCAGTTGAGCTTGCTCATGAATCCGGGAGCATGAGATCACATGCAGACCCTGCATCATACTATTACCAGCTTATGCAATTTCGATCCGAAGTTTTCAACGAATCATATCTTCCGGCAATTGCTCCAAATCTCCCCATTACTTGGTATCAGGATCGACTTGCTATGCTTGAACAGTGGAATTCGGAAAGGAGTTCCATATCGCCGCCATCAGACGTATTCTCCACGACATGCACGATTGGTTATCATACTACAGTACTCCTAATATGCCAACCTCTCATGTTAAATGCAATGAAAGTTATCGACCAGCATTCAGAACAGCCAATGTTGACTGCTCGCTTACCAATTCCAATAGACAACTACAACTCTGCGTGCTCAATCCTCAACGCCTATGAGGCCATTACGAAATGCTCCGAAGCATCCCCATTGAGCAGTTATCCACTCACTTTCGTCTCTGCACACCATATCTTCTCCGCCAGTCTAACGCTAATGGCACATTCTTTGCTCGCTCTTGCTGGCAAAAGAGGAGTTTGGTTGAGGATGGCAAATGTGTCCGCAGATGGACAACAGGTGCAAGAAATTGATTTCAGCCAACTGTGCACAGCATCAAACTCTGCTCTTCTTTTGCTTTCTTGGTGCGGAGAACGATGGACCGAGTTCAAAGGCATGTTGGAGGTTTACAAGAAGATTGCAGACCAGATAATTCCAGCAATGTTCAGAAAGGGATACATGTAAACATAAACGAAATTTGAGCCCTTTAGAAGATGTCGGTAATGTCGATGAAGGATACTACGAATACTAACAGATCTATTGCATTTTTTATTCATCTTTTTGAAGCCGATTGCAGTCTTTTTTGCTAAACCACTGACGGTTCAGGCCGCTCAAGTTGAAAAGCGGAATTTTCTCGCCTATTATGAAAAACTCAGACCTCCAATCCCTTTTGTGTGTCTTTCACATGTGCTGTTTGTGATATTGATATCTCATGATGCTAGATAGCATTACAACATGAACTGAAACACTGTGGAAACATCTATCCTCTCTGAGGTCGTTTAGATTCAGAGACGTCATTCTATGCCTCAATCGACCGGCATCATCCTCACATATTCCTCATGTAGCTGACCAGTAATTGATCAGAAATTTCATTGAGTTATGTTATTTTTGCCCTTCGCGCTAACAATGCGAGTGGACTTTTGCGTCCGTGTCAGCATTCATATGTCTCGAGAAAACCATCGATTGATTTCCCTAGTTAAGAGAAAATTTTGTTCTCTGCTCGTGAATTTTTGTTTTCTTTCACGTATATTCCCCAAGCAAATATTGGAGCTATGTATATGAGTCGACTGCTTCGCAAAGTCGATACAGGTGAGTGAATGACATACATTCAATGGGCAATATTTGAGCCAGAACTTTAGCAGAACGTTGGAATGCAAACTCCGGCAAGATGCGTCTTCCGCTATCATTCGAGACAGAAGATTGGATACGAAGAAAACTTTTTGTTAGCAGCTGATCGCAGCTTCACCTTCAAACAATGCGATGGAAGCCGACCTACGGCGCCGAGATAACATGCGCCAGAGCAACCCCGTCACAATTATCATTTCTCTTTTCTGTAAGCGTGTCTCTCTTTGGCCATTTCGAATCAACCCAATTCTGCATGGTAATGCCGTATATGGCCGTTACTGCACAAAGTGAGCCGCCAATATATACGAAAATGACGCTGATGGTGCATGCCATTCCAACGCCAACACCATCGATTAAAGGAATTGATACACCGCTAGCAAGAGCCGAAAATACGTATTGGATAACATACTTCGTCGCAATAGCTTCTTGCCGCGAGTTAGGGAAGACTTCTATGCTAGGATTAGATAGCACCATGCTTAAATATCACTTAAACATACCTGCGCAATACGTGTTAACGCCAGCGAATGCGGACAAAATACCAACAGAGGTGAAAAATGCCGTCACGATTGGCCATGCTAGCCCGCCTATTTGATATTGTACTCCCCAACCAAACATTAAGTACGCTATTGGAATGAGAATGAACCAAGAGGGGAAGCCACTTCGAAGGCGATCTTGAGGTAAGCGCAGACCATTGCGACGTTGAATCCATTTCCGTACTGTCTAGACGGCATTAGTATTCGTACGCAACTCACGTTGGATATACATACTCGATCGGAAAATCGGCCTCCTATCAAGGTGCCCAGAAGCAAGCCTGTAGCTGGAGACAAGAAGAAAAGTCCTGACGTTAAAGGAGATTCCAGATGATATTCTGACAGGAATATGTGGCGTGGGCTTGCTAGCAACCCATACTGCGAAAAAGCAAGAAGGCCAGCAGCAAAATCCTGGCGGGTTAGTAAAGCTTTATTTGCAAAATTCCGGGATGATCTCACTGTAAGTAACAGATTTGGGTAACGTAGCAGTCTTATGATTCGCATAGGATTATATGCTCGAACAATATCTCTTATGGAAGGATTTTGCATTTTTGCCGGTTTTCCGCCTCTCCCTAATAGTAACAATGAAAGGCATAGTCCAAGCGTGATCATTCCACATTGTAAGTACAGAATTACTCGCCAAGAGGTGTACTGGGTGATTATGCCAGCAACCAAAGGGCCTGCAAACTACGTCAGTCAATCACGGGCGAGCGATGGATATCATCATACCTAGAGGAGGTCCGAGGACAGTACCACTGAGAAAGAAGCCAGTTGCTGTTCCTCTTTTGACGGGAGGGAAAAATTCAGCAAGAATTGCTTGACCAGTGACGTGAAAAAAGGTTCCTTGAAATCCGGACAAAACTCTGAACACGATGAACGAAGGAAGATTCGGTGCAACAGATGCCGCTGCAGTCCAAACAAGGAGCAATAAGATGCAAGAATTCCATGCATACAAACGCCCAATCAGTGGTATGAGCGGGCCCCATATGAAGTTTGAGAGGCCCATGGTCATGAGCAGCCCAGCATTTGAGGCATTGACAACGTCAGGTGTGCTATGGAACTCGTCCGCTATTTGAGTTGCTGCGGACATCAAAGAAGTGCTGCTGAAGCATCCCGTTAGTGTCACGAAACTCGTGACAAAGACTACCAAGCATTTTTGTAAAGTCGGCGCATCATATCCAGGTGAGTGTTCTTCGATATCTGAGATGGAACTTGCTGTCGATGAAGACGGCGGGGGCAGCGCCTTCTCAGAATCAGACGGTTCTTGACACGACATGGTAGAAACTTTTTTAAGAATTGATATATCAATTCGTTCTCGCTGACCAATGTATGCTACTACATTAATATACTATAGAATTCGGGCAGCCATACGTTAGGCCGAGGAGGCGTGGAGCCCGCTGAGAACTCCGGTTCATCATAGCTGCAATCCTCGCCAGATATAGATATATTGTGGACCTTAAAATCCTAGCACATTGATATGATGATGATCTATGGCTGGTTGGTTGCAGAATTTGCAATCTGCTTAAGGGAGTCCGGCGTGTTGGGCCGGCGAAAACACATTTGGCCGAGAAGCACGGAGGTCATCGCTTAGAATGGCTAGCAAATTGCCTATATAGGAAAGCTGTTCCCCCTACGCCTTTTCGCGGTCGCGGCGGATTTTTCATTTGGCCGAGAAACTGCTACTTCTGTACATACGACAATCGAGCTCATTTGTGACGTTTTGGTCAATGTCTACAACGCCGAAACAGCGGATCATAGCGTACTACACGCCTGCAGGATTGATGTGCAGCTCTGCTGATATGATTTTAGCTGTCGAGAATGTCATAAACGGAAGATAAAATGCTCCGGGAGCAGGCCGACTTGCACGGCTTGTGAGAACGCAAAAGCAGAATGCATATATCCGGTAAAAGATCGCAAGACAAAGGTCGGGCAAAGGTATGACATGATATGTTAAAGAACTAGTCGATTCGGTCTGATTTATAAACACAGTTACCTTGATCGAATATTGCAGGAGAACAAGCGGCTTTCAGCCCTTGTAGAAAAGGCCAATCATTCGAGTATCGGAACGTCTACAACCACAGCAACAACCACATCTTTACCTCGAGCCGATAATGCGGACCGCAACCCGTTGGTTGAAGAACGGCCATGGTTTGTATCTTTCCCCGCTGCGGGCTTGCCCATTCACATCGGCGAGGCTGCAGACGCGGCGTTCGCGACAAGACTTCGACAGGCACTCTCCAAGAACTCTGTTAGTCATCTTCCACGCGTACAGTATGTGAGCGACGACGTGTTGCGATCCCTGGCAGAGAGTCCTCCGGAATGGCCAAGGCCGTCACATATTCGCTTTCTTGTGAACGTGGCTTTGAGCAGGATCGCAAAATCGTTCCACATGGTCCGCAGGAGCGATGTTCTGAGCAATGTGGAGTTGCTTATTCGGAACCCTTCTTCTTGCGACTGGCTTACCCAGTGCCAGATCCTGGCAATCCTTGCGATTGGCGAAGTTTATTCATCTCGATCAGCCTTACCGAATCGTCCTTTCCCAGGTTCACATTACTGGGCTCGAGCGATGGCGCTAGTATACATGCCCAGTGAACGGCCACAGTTGCAGCTGGTAGAAACGTATTTGCTTCTAGTGAGTCTCCTAGTATATGGTATTGCCACTTCTGCTGACTATTAAGCAGTCATTTTATGCAGCTTCGATGAATCGTCGACATACTTCAATCACATTAGCTGGATATGCCGTACGTCTGTGTGTCATTCTCGGCCTACACATCGACATCAGCGAGATGCAGATGCGAGATCCCGCATTGCGTGAGCATAGATGTCGTCTATGGTGGACGGCATATCGCCTTGATCGAGCTTGGTGCAGCAGGATCGGCTGGCCTCCATCCATTCCAGATGAGAGCGTCGAGATCCGCTTTCCTTCGAATGAGGGTATTCCTGAAGAGGCAAAGACAGACTTTGAGGACGCACAGTACATAATTGCTGCAATAAAACTTGCCAAGATGCACAACCATGCCGTACTGACTCTGTATGTCCGAAAGCGACAGCCCACCTCGTTCTCAGAACGTGTCCAGGTTGCGGTGAGAGCACTCCGAGACTGGGCTAACAGCTTGCCTGAACACCTTGGAGTTAACTCTTCGGGCACCGAATCGATCGCAAGTCACATCTTATACCTCCACCTCGCCTACAACCAAGCCGTCATTGTCATAACACGCCCAATATTGCTACATCTTCTTAGACAACGTCATGCTCAGACAAATAATGACACACCTGCAGTTGTCCTTTCAGAGTCTGCTCGTTCCCTAGCAGCCGCATGTATCCAGTGCGCTCGTCAATCTATGAGTTGGTTGAAACGTATTTGGGCGGATGGTACTTTCCAAACTTTTGATTACTATAGCATGCAGTTTCTCTTCTCATCAGCAACGATTCTCGCATTGTCGTCTTGTATGCAGGAGCCTGGCTCTGTTAGTGACAGGGAAGACTTTTCACTCGCATGCTCCTTCTTGCAGCAACTAGAGCGCAGCGGAAATTTCGGGGCTATGGAGTTCTGCACCCATTTTGATGCAATTCAAAGAGTTCTGTCAGAGAATCTTGCGCCGTCCGGTAGCATGGGCGACATATCTGCCACGATCGCGACCCACAACACACCAAGAGGGATGAACGACATCACGCCGCCAATACAATTGCCGTCAATGCCAGGCGCTCCGCTTCAGGACTTTCTCAATCAGAGCAACCTGGATCTTGACTTTGTGGAGATGGGTGGTCAATGGGTAGACTGGCAGGACGTGTTCTGGCCGCAAATTGATTTGCCAGCAACATTGCCTTAAATACCTCCATATTCAAATATTAACTCGTAGTCCAAGCTGATCTCACGAAGATACAGCTTCAATCCGTTGTCAAAGTTGTCAAAATTCCATTTGCCGGATAATCACGTGAGTTCGACGAAAATGGTTACTCAATGGGGAATATCCAAGTACAACTTGAGAATTCTCGACGCCACAGACTTGACGGTGAGCTTAGTAAAAACTCAAACAAGGGGGCATGCAAGCGCCTGTCGTCCTGTCTCTTATATCGCCTATTCACGCAAAGTACCGCGAATCCGCAAATGGGCGGGGTTTGTCGGTCATATTCCGCTGTGCTAAAATGGTGACAACCGAGGCCGGTTTGAGTTGACAAACGTCTGCAAAGTCCAAGCATTAAATCATTTTAGATAACGCTAGAATTCGATGTCCCGTCAATTGTAAAGGAGAGTGAATTAATTTTGATCTAATTGCTATCTTTCAACAGTCTGTGCCAGGATTTTTCGGCAGCACTTCCCTCGCACCGTCTCAAGATGACGCTTTGGAAGTCCCCGCACCCTGAACTTGACAGTAAGTACTGGAGCACGAGACTTCAGGAAACATAGAAGAAACTGTGTTCTTCCTCAAAATTCATGAGATTGACTATACAATTGGGTCTGACATCGTTTAGTACCAACACATTGCACGACATATCAGCATTTTTTCGAGGAAAATCCAAAGCTAGAAGGAGCTTATGAAAATGTTGCAACAGGAGAGCGCCTAAACTTTGACTCTGTAAAAAGAAAAGCCGAGATACTTTCCAGCATCCTTATCCAAAAGTACGATCTAAGACCAGGTCAAACCGTTAGCTTGTTTTCCGGAAACAGTGTTTGGTACCCTGTTGGGGTCTGGGCTATCATCCGTGCCGGTGGCAGAGTCAACGGCGCAAGTCCCAGCTACAATGTAGCGGAGACCGAGCACGCCTTGCGAACAGCAGGAACGAAAGTGCTTCTCACCTTGCCAGGCAGTTTGGCAGTGGCAAGAGAAGCTGCAGGAAAAGTAGGCATTCCGGAATCTAACATTTTGCTGCTCGAAGGCGAAGTAGACGGCGTAGCGAGCATGCAAAAATTGATTCGAGAAGCTGAGAATGATCCATCATTCCGCATTGTGCCGACGTGGAAGATACCCGCAGATACAACTAACAAAGCCGTCTGCGGCTACCTCAACTTCAGCTCCGGCACGACTGGACTCCCGAAAGCCGTCATGCTATCTCATCACAACATTATCGCACAATGCTATCAGTTGCGCCAACTCCAGCTCCTCGCAAAGCCAGAGCCACCTTCATCAACCCATCCTTACGGCTTGCCGGCGTACCGCATCTTAGCGGTTATGCCTTTGTTTCACATCACGGGCCTAGTCCGTTTCGTCTCTTATCCAGTGCTGATGTCTGGATTGTCAGCGATGCTGCCCTCGTTTACCTTGACGGCGATGCTTGAAGCCATCATTCGCTACAAAGTGGAAGAACTAATTCTTGTCCCCCCGATCTTGATTCGCCTGGTGCAAGACCCTGCAGTCGAGCCGTATCTATCTGACTTGCGAAAAACAGTCAGAAGATGGAGCAGCGGATCCGCGCCTATTGCGCCAGAGGTAATCAAGGCTCTTCAGCGGAAATTTCCCGAAACCGGCTTCAGGCAAGGCTATGGGGCAACAGAATCCACGGCTTGCATCAGCTCTCATCCACCGACTCATTTTGACTACAAGTACGCGCATACAGGTGGCAAGCTGGTTGCTAATACTGTCGCTAAAGTCGTCGCGTTGGCACCACCATCTGCGGACGTAGACAAAGTTAGTTTAAGAGAGGAGGTGTTACTTGGTCCCGGTCAAACAGGAGAGATATGTGCAAAGGGTCCACAGATTGCCATGGGGTACTTAGGGAATGAAGCTGCCACGCGGGAGACCTTCGATAAGGATGGTTTCTTGCACACTGGTGATGTTGGTTATATCGATGAAGAAGGACTCATCGTGATTAGTGATAGGATAAAAGAGATGATTAAGGTCCGTGGACAGCAAGTGGCTCCTGCTGAGCTAGAAGATCTCCTACTAGGCCATGAGCTAGTAGATGATTGCGCAGTGATTGGGATTCGGGATGACTACTCCGGAGAAATTCCAAAGGGCTTTGTTGTCTTGAAAGATCGCAAGAAAGAAGGAGAAGAGGTAGGTTTACAGTTGATGGAGTACGTGAGAGGACGTGTTGTTGGTTATAAACGGATAAGAGAAGTGGAGTTCGTAGATGCCGTTCCAAAAAGTGCCACGGGGAAGTTGCTGAGACGTGTATTGAAGGGATGGGAGAGAGGAGAGGATAAAAGCAGACGCAGAGGAATAGTAGTAAGAGAGAGACAGTCAGAAAGAGCACGGTTGTAGAGAGTAGAGCTAGAATTTCCAATGAGTCGTGCTTAAGACAATTAGGCCAAGCATAGCGCCTTCTTTATCGCTTGCTCGAGCAATGATTCTGCATCTTTGTTTTGTCTTCTTGCTCTCCATACCACGAAATCATCCGGTCGTACGAGTAATGCCCCTGTAGAAGAAATGCCAGAAGCGGTCTCAAACACACCACTCCTTGCTGTAAGATCCCCCCTGGGTCCAATGCAATATGTGTCAATGTTGACTGAGGATGTTGAAGAAAGTTTCTTTGCTGCAGCCAGCCAACCTGTTGCTTCTGAGCCAGCAAAGAGCACAAAGTTTTTGCCGCAAAGATCTATCGTAGATATGCGTTCTCCATTGCGCTTGATCCACACGTGTGGAACTCTTCGACCTGGTCGTCCATCTATGGAGAACATGAGACTAGGGAGCGTCCACGGTCTCCATGTCCACCCACCTAGTGGCAAGATGCTTTCACTTGTGATTGCCGCGCTATTGTAACCGTAGCCAAATCCAGCGACAATGAATAGCTTGCTTGCCATTGATTTGAAAAACTCCCAGTTTTTCTTCACAGGTAGCATCCCTTTCTCGTCGCATCCTATCGCGGATATCTCGGCAGCTTCTCGCCCGACAGGCAATCGTTCAGCCTCGTAAGTCTCCAGCAATGCGTTTTCTGCCTGGCCGTTCAGCACCGCTGCGAGCTTCCACGCGAGATTGTGTGCAGAAGCAACTGCTGAGTTCGCGCCCTGCCCTGCATAAGGTGGCATCTGGTGTGCCGAGTCACCGACGAGAAAGACGCGTCCTTGTTTCAAGTGATTTGCCACGCGAATTGAAGGCTCCCACGGAAGTATGCTCTTAATATCGATTTCAATGCCCGGTATGCCTAATGCAAGACGAATGAGATCTTTGCATTTCTCGGGTGGAAAGTCCTCTGGTCCTTCGCCTTTCGCTGGGTCGTAATGAAGATGAAAAACCCAGACGTCCGTATTATTGACTGAAGTGAAAAGACCCACTACCTCAGAACGTTCAATCAAACATAGCGAAAATTCTCGGTCGCGCACAAGATCTTCCAAATCAGCTTTAAAGAGTATATTAAGAAGTTTGCCGAACGAGCCTCGACCTGAGACCGGAATCTTGAGCTGCTGTCGAACTGGGCTTTTCGCTCCATCGGCGGCAATCAGATATTGAGCATTTATGCTAAAAGTCTCTTCAGTGTCTCGCTTCTTCACACTCGCTGTAACTACCTCTTCGTCTTGCTCGAAACCGACAAATTCAGTATAGAATCTTATGTCCACACCTTGTCTCCTGGCTTCGTTCACAAGAACTGGTTCAAGCATGTCCTGGGTCACAAAAGTACCATTGACGGGAGTGACTGATTCCATGACCCAGGTAAAAGGAAACTTTTGGCCACCTTCTCTTCGCGGTCTAGCATCTATAACTTCTTTGAGAGACGGACCGTGAAACATGCCTGCGCTGGCTGAGATGCATGCGCCTGCTTTGCGGATTTCGTCCACAATACCTAGACGTCGATATATCTCCATCGTTCGTGCGTTGACGCTTCGTGCTCGCGGGTGAATAGAGGTAGTGGAGTGTCGCTCAATGATCATAGATTTGATGCCATGTTGCGCCAGGAAGAGAGAGGAGGAAAGACCACCAACGCCGCCACCGACGATCAGAACTGGGACAGACTCTGCAGCCATCTTAATTCCGTATTGATGTAAGACAGGGGAATTTGAATGATGGAAGCAGTTCAATCACATGGCCCCGACCTCAGATTGATTGATTTATATACCGTCAGGTCGGGACACATCATCGGAGAGGAGCGTTCGGAGGTCTTGTCAAAGTCCGATCCCTCGTAAACGCTATTGCACATAGATAAGTGGCGCAAGTTCACGGTGGATTCAGCCGTCAAACTCATTATGGCAGCCTAAAAGCGTTCGAGAAATAGGCAAGTCTTTCGATTAAATAAGCCGGACGCCTCTTGTCAGTCTAAGCACATACCAAGTATCACGTGACATAAGCAAACGCTGGCTAGATAAGAGAGGAGAGCCAGGGGTAGGGGACAGGAGAACAACCATACAATCCATCAGTCAAGATAGCATATAATGAACTAAGCAGGTTTATAATCTCACTTATGCACCATTCATCACTCCCGTGATCTTCCATACAGATATTAATAGTTATGAGCCCGGTTAGCAACCAATACAGTACTATATGAAGCGAGAAGGTGCAGCAGCATACACGACCTGCAGGATGTCATGGGGTCACCCCTATGACACTGTTAGGAATACTTTCCCTATACCGACTGGCTTCACCGATGTAAGCCACTTCGGAAGGGGTTAGCTTCCTAGAGCAAGGGAACAATGTATAACTAGAGCTTATT